ATGCACCATTTTTCCAGTGTCTCTGGATTGATGGACAAGGCAGCGAGGGGTACTGGTTTTTAAAGCAATGACCGAGGAGAAGCATTACATAGCTTTGAAACATGCATTGTGAAATTCAGGGTTTACTTTTGCAATCCAGATAAAGTTAAATGTAAAGTGATTTAAGACAAAAGAATTTTTAAACAATAAACAATGCACTACTCATTATATCGTTTCGCCCACAAAATGTACAGTCAATTCACTTATGTTTTGTGAAGCGCTTTGAGTCGTCTCGCAGATGTGATAAGACGCAATATCAAATGCAAAGATTATTATTATTATAATCATCAAACTGGCAACAGGCTGATGAATGGCAGACTGGACTAAATTACCCAGTCTATAGCACAGCACATCCTTTACCATTCAAGAATATCCAGTAAAGCGAATTGACTGTATATTTTGCAGACAAAATTACCTGGTTATAAAGAATATGTTAACCATGTTAGCCTTCAACAATAGCAGATCTTGCCTCAAATCCTTCCAGCAAGTGAAAGTTTTCTGAGGCCTTTGGGAAGACGTAGAATATGTACTTTCACACGTACAAAACTACTAAATTCATCTTCTTTGTGGATCTTCTGTCACAAATGGGTTTGGCACATCCACTATCAGATGGCTTGCATGCAGTAACAGCAACACAAACATATATCCTGTGCTTATTGTAATGCTCCATGCAGTCACCTTATTACAAGTATTATAGAATAAGAGTGTCATTTGATCTATTAATTAGGTCAAATTATAATAAACAGAACAAAAATACTGCAGATGCTGGAAATCAGAAACAAAAAGAAGTCGCTGGGAATACTCGGCAGCTCAGGCAGCATCTGCAGAGAAAGTGAGTCAACGTTTCGGGTCCACGGCCCTTCATCAGAACTGGGGCATGTTGGGAGAGAGAGGCTTTTAAGGGCTAACAGAGAGGGGAGGGGCAGGGCAAGGAAGACAAAGGAGAAAGTGGGGTAGAGAACAGGGGATGATGGATTAAAGAGGTGTTATTGATGCAAACCAAAGGGGGGGATTTCAACAAAAAATTCTTACATTTGATATTGCGCCATTCATTTCAGGAGGACATCTCAAAGAGCTTCAGAGGATATACTGTAAAGCAGAGTGACTGTGTATTTTGTGGGTGAATGAGGCAGCAACTTGCGCACAGCAATATCCCACAAACAGCCATGAAGTGAAAGACAAATTTTATTTGGGGGATTATTGGTCAGAACCTCGGGAGAAACTCCTTCCTCTTTTTGAATAGTGCCGTGGGATCTTTAACATCCACCTGAATGAGCAGATAGGACTGCATTTTCACATCTCACCTGAAAGATGGCATCTCTAAAATACAGCATACCCCCAGCATTGCACTGGAGTGTCAACTGGCCTACATTTGAAAAACATAGCAAATACGAGTTCCATGTTCCGATTATGGGGCTTGAACCCATAACTTTCTATCTCAGAGGTGAGTTCGAAGATTTCGGGTTCATTGTGAGCTTTGTATCAATTTTAGTATAAAATACACTGTTGACAATCTTTTAAGAAATCGAGGATTAAAAGCTTGGGCACGGACATACTGACTGTTGTGTTTAAAGGCTCTCTAATATCACATACTAATTGATGCTGAAATGCACAGAGCATCATTATCTACTCAAGTCAGTTTGAAAGTACAGTTGTCTGATTTATAGTACAATTATTTAGCAAGCTCGATAACCAGGACATCCATATAGGGTTGAGCCTCTGCAAAATGAAAACCTGACCATTGATGGAGCCCAAGACTAAAACGGTTTTGTCACCACGTGCTTCCGATCACATTGTCAATAGCTGTGATTTGATCACCTGTATACAGACTCCAGTCTGTATCCAATACAGTCACGTTGCACATCCCAAGCACAAATAGAAAGTTGGCAAAGCCTTTAATCACCTACCTATATAATCATAGCAGAACACAGAAAAATGGCTGAGAGCCAAGGTATTTCATATTCAGATTATTCAGGTGGAGGGCTGGGTGGTTGCACATGTGTGGGACATCATCATGCCATATACAAATTTTAGTCACGATCTGTATAATGACACCATGTAGCACAATAATCATTGCATTTTTTTCCCCTCCATGTGATATTAGATTGTAAGCCATACCAAGCAGAAATTCCCAAGCATGATTTCTGATCCTGACTGAGTTACCTAATCTTAGTTAGTAAGGCTGCAACAATTGGCTTGTACCCCCAGGTTAGAGGGAGGTTTGGGGGTAAAGGGGAAACAAAAAAAAACTGGTTCCTGATCCTGAACCAGTGACCCTGCTGGAAAATGCAAATATCAGGTGAAAACACTATTTGTTTTGGTTGCAACACCCTCGCCCCCTCTCATGGATGAACAAATTAGTCACTCAATTTTACATACAAGGAATGGATCAGTTAATTCAGAGACTTCCAATTTGCTCCTGGGAAAAGAGTGGAGATTAAACAAAATCTATTTTTGTTTCATTTCAAATTGAACAATCAAGCGTAAAAAGAAAAACACCTAACACTTTGAATAGAAAATATTTACAAGACCCCAACAAGCTATCCATAAAAGAAGTCAATGCCTTCTTCCCTTTTAATCCTAATCTATACTGAGTTGTGGATCTCAAGCCATATGAGCTCAAGTGAGCCATAGCATCTCTGGACAAAGGGTGGGGGGGTGCGGGGGGGGCAGTGTTGAAAAAGAGAGAGGAAAAATTAGTCAGGATTTCCACTCCTGAACATTTTCTTGTGGCTTCTGTTGAAAAAAGCACAGGTGTCAGCACTGGCCAAAGGCAGTATCACTCAATTTGGAATGTACAAAGGTGCTTTCATCTGCCAAAACTCACTGCACCTTGGCTCACATGCATAGAAAATCCACTTGGGTAAGGTGACAGAGGGCACTAGTACCATTGGAACTGTACTCCAGCAAGAGTCAGCAGCCTCAGGAAAAAAAACAATTGGATCCTTTATATCTCTTCTTTCCTCCTCCAATAACTTAGATATAGTAATGAGAATACAATGTACATGTTTTGCAATTCAAGTCCTCTCACACTGAAATTAAAATCTCAAACCCTCAGCAACATAAAAGGCAAACCTTGAAATTTCACACGCTATAAAAAAACACAATTCTCAGATTAGCAAATGCACACCAAAAAGAAAATTGTAATGCGGCTACTGGAGTCTGGTTTTGCTGCTTTTTCCAAGAAAAAAAATCAATATTTAAAGTCACAGGGATTTTTCAGGGAATTTTCATTGGGCTCGATCTTTGGAAATGTAAATTACTACCATATTGGCTGCTTGTTGCAACAAATACATCTTCAATGTAGGTTCTATGGTGTGGATTCAATTTAAGATTTTTTTGAAAAATTAAAAACCTTCATTCAACACAAATCAATGTAAAAAGGCACTTGGTAAAATTATATTTCAATCACTTTAACATGTCCCTTTAATTCCACAGATCTGACCCTCTCCTCCACTTATTGATTTTAATTTAAAAAGTTGTAAATCACACGCCAACTCCCAGACGATTCATTCCACATTTTACCATCACATACATCAAAATATTTTGAAATTCTACAGGAGAAAAATTGATGGCCGGCAACAGTTTATGCAGTGTCAAAAAATCAGATATATGAAATGGGTTTTCATTTCTTCAGCCAGACTTACAAATAGAACCAAGAAACCCTTCTGAATATTGACCATTAAAATAGTGCCACATTACAGATTCAAAACAAACAATACCCCAAGTAAGAGCCTGCACACGCCTGAATGAACAGCTGTGATTACCGAGCCAAAATTCCTCAGCAAATAATTCTCCCTTGGTACCACCACAGCATTTTGCATGTATACCTCATAATAAACTGCAAACTCCAAAACAAACCAGACACTGAAAACCCATCATCAGCCCAAAGCGAATCTCTTCTATACTGTATAAAACACGGGAGATTCTAATTTGGGGTAATGCTACAGCAAGATGTGCAAAGGAAACACATTGAAAACAGGGACAGTAAAAAAAAAAATTTGATTTGCCCCAAATATTCACAAACTGAGCAGTCACTCCACATAAAAAATAGATGAAAAGGGAATAAATCAATGGGGTTCCAGGAGCCCAGAATGTTTCCTTGCCTCGCTCCCAATCCCCCACCTCACACACATGCACACATTTAATTATAAACTAAAAATCATGGAAAAGGGCAGTATCCTAAAACCGTCAGATTTAAACCGTCGATTGCGTTTCAACTTTTTCCCCCCAAAAAAACTCGATTTGAGCTCTGCACCAATTCTTTAAAGTGTGTGTGTAAAAAAAATAAAACGCCGTGACACATTTTACCCGCTGAAACGTCGAAATTAACCCTTTAAATATAATTCTGCGTGGATTCCCCGGGGGATTCCAGAGAATTGTAAACGCAATCGCTGTTTTTAATTATTATTATCATTATTATTAATAATAAGGATTTTTTTTAAAAAAAATTGTAAAAACCTGCGCGTGGGTGAGGGAGAAGGAAATACAACCATATTCCCCCACCCCCTAAAAAGATTTTTTTTTTTTGAAAAGAGAGGAGTAATACCAGGAGAAAATTGAGGAAAGTCACGCACAGAGAGGCGAGAGAGAGCCCAGTGACCGACAGCACACAACACATTCAAAACTGGCACAGGGAGGGAGGGAGGGAGGGGGGCAATTCCCCTCAAATACGCACGAACTGAGCCATCGCCACACACAAAACATAGATGAACGGAGAATGAAGCAATGGGGGTCTAAGGGAAACCTGCCTCATCCCCCCCCCCACCCCCACCCACACACACCCCCACACCCTCCCTCCCTCCCTCCCGCCCGCCCGCCCGCGAGCCCCAGGCCATTGTGAGTGGTCAGGATGCGGAGTTGCTGCCCGTTCACCGAGCGGCTGAGGCGCCGCCGAACCACATCTCCTTCCCGCCGCCCCCCACTCACCCCCGCAGCCCGGCCTGGGCTCCCGCCATTACCTGGATGTAGTTGTTCTCGCAGTACTCGGCCACCCGGTCGAGGTTGTGGTAACTGTCCAGCAGCGCTCTCCTGCCAGCGGGGATCTCCTCCTCCAACAGCATCTGCAGCTCCGCCATCTTCCCCACATCTTCCGACACTGAATGGGGAAGAGAGAGAGTGTGGCAGCCGGGAGGGGGCACCGGAAACGGAAACACCGGGCGGGGCCGTGGGATACACCACTTCCGCCAAGAGACCCTAGCAACGGGCATCACCTTAGCAACAGGGTACACCCAGATGGAGACCCTAGCAACGGCATCACCTTAGCAACAGGGTACACCCAGATGGAGACCCTAGCAACGGGCATCACCTTAGCAACAGGGTACACCCAGATGGAGACCCTAGCAACGGCATCACCTTAGCAACAGGGTACACCCAGATGGAGACCCTAGCAACGGCATCACCTTAGCAACAGGGTACACCCAGATGGAGACCCTAGCAACGGCATCACCTTAGCAACAGGGTACACCCAGATGGAGACCCTAGCAACGGGCATCACCTTAGCAACAGGCGACAACTCCCAGGTACAGGAGAACCTAGCAACAACATCACCTTAGCAACAGGGTACACCCAGATGGAGAACCTAGCAACGGCATCACCTTAGCAACAGGGTACACCCAGATGGAGACCCTAGCAACGGGCATCACCTTAGCAACAGGGTACACCCAGATGGAGACCCTAGCAACGGCATCACCTTAGCAACAGGGTACACCCAGATGGAGACCCTAGCAACGGGCATCACCTTAGCAACAGGGTACACCCAGATGGAGACCCTAGCAACGGCATCACTTAGCAACAGGGTACACCCAGATGGAGACCCTAGCAACGGGCATCACCTTAGCAACAAGCTATATCCTCAGTTACAGGAGAAGCTTGCAATAGCATCACCTTAGCAACACGGTACGTCCCAGCTACAGGAGAACCTAGCGGCCGCATCACCTCAGCGGCTCCGAAAACCATCAACATCATTTCTATGGGTCTGAACTGCTGGCGGGAACGAGGACCTGGTGAGAGGCATATAATCACAAGACACAGATAAACCCGGGGCAACAGTGATCACCTATCCAACAAAAAGAGAAAAGAAACAAAAACATTTGACAGAACTTGGGAAGTTTAAGTGCCTGCACTACAAATAAGGAAGATAAGGGCAACAGTAAACAGCGAAGCATTGCAATCATAACAATGCTTTCGGTTTTGGTCAGCCAGGTGTCTGATATGCAGAAACGCATCATGGTACTGAAGAGTATCCGAATCAGTTAGAGTTTCATGCATCCCACCTGCATATGGAAATTCCCATGTTTGGGTTGGAATGTGCACTCGATCCCCGGAGTGTCATACACTGCTTGCCAAATTCCAGAAAATATTAGGCACAAGTAGGCAACAGTCAAGCACTGGGGACTCCAAAGTGTGTACAACAACAACTTGCATTTATATAGCTCCCTTCACGTGGGGTAGCATCCCGGAGCACTTTACAGTGGCTTTGACGCCGAGCCAGGTGGAGAGGGAGGGGAGATCAAAATTAAGGTCTTGAAGGGGGATTTGAAAGTGGGGAGGGAGAGGGCAAGGCACAGCGATTGAGGGAGGGAGGTCCAGAGTTTTGGGACGTAGTAGCTGAAGGCACAGCCACCAATGATGGTGCGGAGGGGATGAGGGACAAACAGGAGACTGGAGTCAAAGGGTGGTGGAGTGGGTGGTAAGCAGATCGGGTAGGTAGGAATGTGCGAGGGCATGAAGGGATTTGAAAACGAGTGAGAGAATCTTGAAATCAATCTGTTCGGTAATTGGGAGCCAGTGGAGCCTGGCAAAGCCTGGTGTGATGGGGGTATGGAATTTTGTGCAGGTGAGTATCTGAACGGCGGAGTTTTTAATTAATTGAATTTTGTGTATGGTGGAGCTGGGGAGACCAGCGAAGAGGGCATTGGAATTATCCAGCTGGGAAGTGACAAGGGTGTGGACGAGGGTTTCAGTTGCGTGTACTGGGGTACTGCTGGAGTTTACGCAGCTAAAACAACACAGCTTGCCATTGAAATTACTGTCTGGCAAGCTTCCTGCTGCTTGTCCAACAACGCTTAGCAAAAGATTGACTGCAATAACAAGGGAACAGATTCCCAAAAATTGTTACAAATGCTTACAGAGACAACAAAATCATTTCACCCATCAAATATAGCCAAGAGCAGAACCATCCTAATGTAGATTACACAGACTCTCCCACTGTGATATGATGGAATGGCGACATATCAGACCATATCCTGCAGCCTCTTCCTCACAACATTGCAGTTTTGCATGGTGATGCTTAGTTTCCTGCATATCCTGAGACAAGAAACTAATATTTCAGTATCCCTGAATAATACATAATAAATAATAATCCTTGTATTTAATATAACGCCTTATAAATCTTCGAGAAGTCTCGAAGCGCTCCACAGAATATACTGTAAAGTGAATTGACTATATTTTGTGTGCAAAACGGGGCAGACAATTGTGCGCAGCAGTATCCCACAAACAGTCATGGATTGAAGTGACCAATTTATTGAATGCCAATAACTGGCAATCTTTCGCCTACAAATATACAATCAATTCACTTTACAGTATATTCTGTGAAGAGCTTTGAGACATCTAGAAGACATGAAAAGCGCTATATCAAACGCAAGGATCATTATTATTGAAGCCAAGACTGCTCTCTGTGGACTGTGATTTATGAATTTTATTCCACCATGTCTGCCAATTCATCCTTGAACCTTGGAGCTGGAAGCCTTGTCGGAGTGCAACCAGAATGCTGAGAAGCAATGTGGCCTCTGTAACTTCACTAGGATCTTTTTCTCGTTTTCCTGGTACAGATACAGCCACTTTGGTTCAGGGTGGGGGAAGGGGGTTGTGGTAAATGATGCTAACCTTTCACCTCCAAATTTATTTTTAGATGCTCTGGAACCGCAGGATCGTTCTATGTCATCTAGAATTCCTCCAGCGATCCATACTCTTTCTACCTCTAGGGAACTGAATGAGGGTATAAGGCATCAATGGCCAATCTAACTTTCCTCCATGAAACAGGCTGTTGCTGAAATGTGTTTCAGCAAAAGCTGTAAAAGGCTCACTGTCTTTAAGAAATTAACAAGATCTGACATACAATGGTTGATTGCAGCTCAACATAATTTACACAACTTTAATCGTTGTCTTCTTCGATTATGTTTAACTGAGTGGTGTTCTGATCAATTTCCCTGCATGTATTGACAAACTTCATTTTGTTCCCCAACTTGCTCGAAGTTTTTCAGTTTTAGCTCCCATTTTTGCAATGCTTTGCTCAGAATTAATGAGGTATTCTGCATAATATGCTAAGTGAATTCAGGCTATACCTGTAACCATTGCAGAAAGAGGGTGTGACAGGTGTCTGATGCAAAGCAATTGCTAAAACAACAAATTACATTTGTATAGCGCCTTTCACTCCAGGAGGACATCCCAAAGTGCTAAAATATAGACAAATGTGTGTGAAACAAAAATGCTTCCCAGTCCAAAATGTGTAACACCACGATTATTTTTCTTCCAAGTTTCTCCCATCTTCTCACAATATGACTCCAGATAATGAGCAAACTCAGCGTTGGCAAGCAATAAAGAATGACAGAGCAAAGTCATTCTCATTGAGTCTGATTCTGGCTTCGTCCAACTATTCACATCAGGAAATAAAGTCCTTTTCTGCTACCCCCACCGCCCGAGCCCAATGTAGATGAGGTGAGGCTAACTGCAGCATTCCCACTACTAGCACTGGTGCTGCCTTCCAGATAAGATCACCAACTTCAGCACCACCGCTTTTTTATTTTTAAAAAACGCTGCACTAACAGAGTTCCTCCCCATACTCTCCACACAAAATTAGCTTCACTGTTCAAAGAATTAACTTTGAGAAACAAAGAAAACACATAAATCAGGTACAGTATTCATTTTGTTCAGAGAACAGAATGCAACTGTGGGCGTTTCAGGTCACAATCCCACAGAGTGGGATTAAGATACTGATAGCAGGTCCAATATCAACCAGCAAGATAGCAGGAGTCACAATCCACAACGCTGTGTGTACAAGAACCCATTCATCTGAAAATTGAATCTTGTATAAAAAGAGAGATTTGTTCTTATTTTGTACTGGATCTTCTTATCTGCATCTGTGCTGACTGACAATGTCAGGACACTCCAGTTACAGGAAGCGATGCAGCAAGTCACAGGTGAGCCAGAGTACAGAGAGGCTGAGGTGTAATCCAACTCCAGTTTGTAGCTCAGCCAGCCATGCTCATTAATGGCTTCCTTTCAAGCTGCACAAAAGAACCAGCATCTTAACCCTTCAGTGAATGTACCCACTTTTGTACTTTTTTTTCCACTTCGCCAGTATTTCCCTCCAGTTATCTCCGGCGTTCCTAAAAGTGTTTGATTCTTTTTACCTTCCACTGGAAAGTGGATCAGTTTACCTGGCTGTACTATTTAAGGCAACAGTTGAAAATCTGAGAGACACTGATGCAATAATGCAGTTGCCCCGAATACTAACACCATTTTGGACTGTAAGGCATTAGGTTCATTTGGCAGCCACTCCACAATGTTCCCTCTACCCATTGCACAGTTTACCGTGTACCTTTGCGAACCACAAAAATAACCCGAGAATGTTTAACATGCTGGGACCATCTTTTCCACAATTTTCTTATTTCATTGCTCACCTGTTTAATCTTGGTAGAGTTTGGCCCTGTGCGCCTTGGTCTTTCACTTTGGTGACAATTTTATTATAAACAAAAAAGGAACTGTAAAAGATTGTAATAATACTTTCATGAAACCCGTGTGGAGGCAGCTATCTGATTTACATGTATTTAATGCACAGAAGATACGTAAAAGTTAGGGAAATGGGACTAGAGCAGATTGCTCCAGTGGGGGAGCTATTGCACGATGGGCCAAATAGCTTCCTCCGTGCTATTTCCATGATTTAAACACCTCACAAATGAGAAATTATTTAAAGAGGATTAATAAGCAAAATTGAAATACCAACAGGGATTTAGATTTTATGGTGCCTGATTTGTAGTTCTTCCAGTTGACAGACTTGTCTGAAAAGGCAACGATGAACTAATGTCATCATTAGCCATGAAAAACCCCATCTTGTGCATCAATGACTAAATTAACCTGTTCCTAACCACTACAGAATTCCTCAAGCAGAGAACAAGTACTCTTTTCTCAGATTGTTTTGCTGTTATTCCAGTCAAGCCTGTATTTCCCCATCACTCATGTAGTGCATATTTTATCAAGAGTTCACACTCACAACCGTTAGATACTTTCCTCCAGCTGCAGCTGTCAGTCCACATCCCTAGAGTTTGGGCAACGTAGTCCTACCAGACACAAATTGCTTTGGTTATCTTAAATACACATCTCATCAGCATTAATCGTCATCTGTCATCATTAGCCACCGACGCTGGGGCAGCAATACTAATGGTGCAAACACAAGAATGTGGGGTCCTGCCAGTCATTTTCCACTTTTAGGAAACACAGTAAGTACCAGCCAATTATTTTTGTTGCTTACCTTCAGTGAAATACAATTCCGTTTGACTTAGAATTAAAAATCTATCTCCCAGATCTACTGATTTAGCTCAGTCAGGGTCGCAGTAAGAACACTGCAACTAGTTTCAACTCAAGGTTTAAGAAAAGCTACAGTCTTTAATAATTTGTAATAATTTTAATAATTTTAAATTTTTCGCTTCATAGCCTTTAAGCCTTCCATACATCACTCAGATCTTCATTCTTCACACGCGAACCAAGACGTACAATGCAACCGTGGAGGGTCGAGCCTCATCAAGTCCTCACCCAAAAACCACACAAAGGGCACTCTCCATCAGGAGTCACTGGATAGCAATCAACAGCAGGAATTCTGACTAGTTTTCTCCTTTCTATAGTCCAGGTGCTGAGGCTTATGTGCCATCACCACCACCCAATTTTAGATCCGTATTTATATGCTTCAACTGCATAGTGGGGTAGTGCAATTATCAAAGGAGTGACTTGGGACTCAGGGAGCATAATACAGAGGCTGGTAGTTACTGCTTTTGTTTCAAACATTGGTCCAATGTTATGCCTTATAATTACTGCAAATAAGATTAATCTCATAAGATTATTTTTTCTGGTGATCTGGGGAAATTAAAGATCTCACACTGGTATTTCTGAGAAAAGCAAGAAGTTCTCCCAGTGTCCCCCACCGTCAATATAGAAACATTGAGCAAGTTTCCTTACTCCACATGCCTGTTTACCTAGCAGTATAGGAACCTGGTTGTTAGTCGATTGATGGATTGCTTTTCGCCAGTCTGTCATTGGTCTTCCACCTTCCTCATCAACATTACATTCTTGTTTCTTGTAAAACATTTTTATAATAGCAGAACTTACTCATCCCCAAAAAGTGAGGCTTGTGAGGCTACAATTTTTAATAAAAAGCAAGATGAAGATGTGCACTCTTCCCACACTGCAAACTTGCCACGGCACCAGGTCCAAAATCACCAAACCTATATTTACTGTTCATATGATGCTGGCAACAGATGACACAACTTTAAACTGTTATGAAGAAAAAGCATTATCTTCTATTGTAATTTAAAGTTAGTAATGCAGTCGAGGGAGGGAAAAGAGAAGGGGGTGGGGGGAGGTTGGTCAGAATACAAATTGTTCATTAATAAGCTATATCCTTTCATGCTACTTCTTTCCCCTCCAACCATGTTGTAAACTGCAGAGCAATAAAGGTTGGACTTTAGTCTGCTCATTCAGCGAATGAGTGTTTTGTAATGGCCAATTCATCTTTTATACAGGGTTTCACTGATAATGCTCCTGGGTCCACTCAACCACAAAGACAATCAACACAGTTGTAATTTCCACATAGTAGGCTCAGTCATGGAGGTCGTTCCATTCCAACGACTTGATTATAAGATCTAACTGTTATTTAAGCAGAGGTTCAGCCCCTTCCCCACAGTGAAGGAGAAAGACTCGAGAGTGAGCCTCTCTAAGCCGATTACTGCACAACCCAGACTGGTATATTTGTGTTCGACTGAAAGAGGCAACAAAGAGGAAAACAATTACACATAGTGAGGAGCAAACACCTTCATGAACTTTGAATGCTTTAGAAAATACCTTCAACTGCGCTCTGCTGCAGTGACGGAGAGTATCAGGGTCGCAGCCTCCACCACACCAACATGTTGCCCAAATATACTTGTGAAAGAGCAAAAGTACAACAGCTGGCATTCGTTGTGCCTATCTTGTTGAATAGTATCTGAACGAACTTACAAGGATAGTCTGAAAAGTGGGAGACTGGGAAGGAGGGGACCAAAGGCATGGTTGAAGAAGCAGGTTTTTAAGAGTCTTGAAGGGTGCGAGGTAGAGGGATTTTCAGGAAGTCCCAGAGACCTGGGGCAAGTGGCTGGAAGTACTCCCTGTTTTCAAGCTAGCAACTGCAAAGATGAAATGTTTGCAACAACACCGTTTCAAGGGCTTCACATTGATTTCATTAAGACAGAAAAAGACTCAAGATTCTGAGGGAAAATAAGTCTTTAATTTAAAAAAAATCTCCCTTGATCCAAGTATTCCATTAGCAGGCAGTCATCAAAATAGATCTAACCATACGGTTAGACTGTCTGTAGAGAGCAGTGCAAAATGGTTGCAGTAAGGTATATAATAATTATTCTTGCATATGATGTTGCACCTTATCAGGTCATTGAGATGTCTCAAAGCGTTTCACAGGATATACTGTGGGCGAACATGGCAGCTGTTATGTACTATACAGAGGATAACACCTGAGCAATGATCGCTTCTTCCACTCTCGCTCCAAATCAAACCCATCTTTAAAACGGAATAAGCAGCCACATGAATTATAATTAACAAAATCCTCCATATGGCATTAGTGAAATTATTATAATGTAAATCTATAGATTATAACTTCCCATCATGAACACAGTCAATTGTCATCTCACATACTGTCACTTCGTATTCTCCGTCCATCAGTCCCCATAAAATCTCTACCAAATGCTCAGATCCATCTGAGTTTTCAATCAATGTTTCCTTTTTTGACTGTCATACACGTAACTTCTCAAGTTACACAGCTGACATCCGTACACAAACACTGCCTCAGCAGGACAAGATTGGGGCTCCACTTTGAATGCCGGAAAAACATTCAGAAGCCACCACAAATCAGCACAAGAAAGGGATGGCAGATCCAGTGACTCTCTTCTGGAAGAGATGCCCCTAAATCCATTCCATAGAGCTGCTTGTGGCAAAACCCTGTAATTGTTGCTTCATGCGAACTGTTTTGGTTTGGTGGATCTGGGTGGCCTGCAATCGAAAGTGACAATAGAAGGAATCCAACTGTATTAATTTGATCATAGATCTTTAACAGTCAATGCCACACCTCCAGAGAGGGCAACCTCTCTGACAGTTCTATTATCGTGTAACCTCTGTGTCCCCAGGCTGGCTCTAGCTCCTTTTGCTGACAGCGATCCAGGCTTCTTCTCTAGGAGACGTGACAAGCTCATATTTCATCTCCACGACTTGATCCTGCACCGGATGCAGCCGCAGCTTCCTGATCACCGTGCACAGCACAATCATAGCCATGGTATAAGCAAATCTACCATGAGAAGAGGGAGGGAGGGAGGACAGAGAGAAAAAGAGAAGGCATGAACTTTGAGACCGATTAGAAATGCTTCGCGAGACCCTACAGAAACCACGTGGTCCCCAAACTGTCCATAAAATGAGGAAAGATTCCCAATTGTGTGAATGTTAAGGACATGCGAGGATTGCACCAAACATGTCTAAGAGTTCTATCCATAGGAATTATCCCACTTTTTTAAATAAAATATTGGAACCGACGTGAAAGGTGCTATATAAGTGTAATTTTGTTGTTGTTGTGGAAGTGCTACATTACAATCTATCTCTGGGATTTCTATCTGTGGCTGGGATGCATGGAAATCTCAGCTTGTTCATGTCTTATTCAGCCACTCTGCCCCCAACCTCTGGAATTCCATCCCTCAATCACTTCGCCTCACCCCCTCCTTAGCATCCTTCAAGTCCCGCCTCAAAACCCTCCTCTTCGACCATGCCATCGGTCAACCCCTTCCCCTCCCCTCTCCCCCTCTGACCCCAGCTCAGGTCTGAAATGCTGTGCACTGTCTAGTGCCTTGGGACGTCCTCCCGACATGAAAAGCGCTATACAAATGCAATCTTGTTGTTGTTGGTTTGCATACTTAATAATGGTGATGGGGTTCCACATGTTTCAGACACCCGGCTGACCAAAAATAAATTTAAAAATTACACACTTTGGTGATGCAAGGTGCACGTTATTAATCTTAGGGAAGGCAATAGGAGAATAGTATTGGAGAATAAAGTATCTTCCCGCCAGTAAAGTAACCCCCACAATCATTTCTCAGTGGTTTGCAGATGACTAGAAATTACTCCAGGAACGACAGGGAGTACTAAACATGCAAGTCTAAGTTGGGGTCACCCAGCAAATTCATTTTGCCAGTTAAATGCAAAGGAAATTTGATAACCATAAGCAAGTCAAAACATTAATAATATTCTTCCTGAAGCCGTCCTGGCTCTGAGATATGCCCGGCAAAAGACAGGTAAGTCCACAGTAGTTCACATAGTAAAGCAATGTTGATGGTTGACTAGACTGTCTGACTCATTAATGCAACTTGGAGATGTATATGTCATGTCATCCCTAAATTCTAAAGCCCTAACAGGTAGGGAGATCTGAGAGGGACAAGTGCATGTGAAACTAACAGTGTTTCATTGTGACAAGCAGTGTGTTTACAACAACAAGATTATATTTGCATAGTGTCTTTCACGTCGGGAGGACGTCCCAAGGCGCCGAAACCATTGTTTAACCATTGTTTCAGTGATTGAACAGGTTCTAAGGCAATTGTGAAAAGCAAATGTTTGTTATACAAGCCTATTTTGAAAACTGCTCTGTGACAAGACATCCATTTATAAAGTCAACAGACCTGGGGACAGCATTCTGAGTATGACTGACACTCATTGTAAAGATCTTTGTTGGCAGAGACACCTCATAGTGGAACTCAAGATACTTTTATTAATACTTGATAGTTAGTCACACCACCATGCTTAGACTCCATGGATTCATGAAGACTGAAGGGCTTGGAAAATATGGTGTTCAGGGTGCTCTCTCATACACCAAGGTCCTCACCAATAACTTATTATTGGTAGTGTTGTACTATATGTGTTCTGACTCAACATTCATTCAGTGTATTGGGCACTGATGCAAAGTCAGATCATTGGTTATGTTACAAGACAGTTTGACTAAGTACTCCTTCCACTGCTAAAGCTATCACAGCAATTGAGATTCACTCAAATTAAATGGAAATCTTCATGATCAAATCCATCAGTACATTTATTTTGCAAGAACCTAAAAACAGTCTTCATTTTGAACCCCATTGTATTAGCGTCTTTCTCTCCTGGGCAATTGGCACTTGCTCTTAATTTCTGACCACATTTCTCTGAAAACCATTGGCTACAGTGAGTTATTTGGGGTTTGATATCATGCAACCATCTGTAAAAAATATTAAGTTATGTGTAACTGAATGGCTTCATGGTTTGCAAGGGGGTGGGGGAGAGGGAGAGAGAGAGGGTCTCACCCTCCATGAAACATGTCTTTTTTCTCTTTGAACATAGAAAAGGTCATAATATACTGAGGGTGTGACAAGGCAGGTTGCCATGAATTACCTAATAAAGCTGTAATTTTATGAATTGGAATGCATAGTGAGTGCAGTGGACTTTACAAAGCAGCATTTGGAGAAGCTTTCTCTCCTTTTACAGAGGGTTGACCTACTTTCACAGAGAAAGAGAGAACAGATTTCTATTAAAAACAAACCCTCAGTGAAGAATACAATGTTGCTCCCAGACAGAAACTGGCAGGACGCCTCTGGAAACCCTCGAGACCAGGCACTCCTTATTAAGGAACTCGGCCAAAATGAAGTGCTGGACATCCGTGCTCTCTCAATCGACAACTTAGCAGAAGATCATAAAAACATTGAGGTTCAGCAGAGAAACAGGCCATTCAGACCCCAAATCAATATTTGTGTTTTTCTCCACTTTTTCTTTTGGCCAGCTGGATGTCTTGACACAGGCAGAAACCCTTCCATCACCAGGCGTAAGAGTATCCAAACCGCATAAGAGTTCCAAATATGTTTGCCACCTACATTTGGAATGGAATTTGCACTCTCTCCCTGGAGGGATGCACCCTGCTCACCTATTTCCAGAGAATTTTAGTCACAGGTTGGCAAGAGCCAAGGCGTGGGGATCCCAGAGTGTATGTTTGGGTATTGCAGAACTGCAACCAGTAAAAACCACATAACTTGCTATTGAAAGCTCCTGGCAAGTCTTTTCGTGCTTATCCAGCTTAGACCACCCAAACCCAAAAAAGGGCTTTACTTGCAGGATTAACAAGAGTTGAATAGGAAAAATCTCTACCCTCTGTAAATTTTCACCACTTGAGCTACATAATCTAATCTCATTCTCCGACTCAGTTCCATAATCCCTAATTTTCCACTTTAACAAGCATTTATTAGATTCTCTTTTTAAAAAAGAAATGGTCACAACAACATTCCAACTATTCTGTGTAAAGAGATGCAGATATTTCCTTCTCTGACATGTGAGGGCCATCACTGTCTTACCTGAGTTCTGGACACTCCTGACTCCCGGAAAACCCCAGCAGGGTCAACTGCTTCTTCGCATTTTCATCATCAAACCTTTCAGGATCGAATCTGCAAAATGAAGAGAATACAAACCTGTTCAATTTTAGAGGACCTTGCACCACAACAACTGCAGGAGTGTGAATTATGAGGTGACAAGTTACACTATTCACATAAAAGAACACAAAAACAGGAAATATATTGCTACTGATGGAATATTTAACTAAGTTTCTCTTCCCCAAAGGATAATGCTTCTTGCTGCAGTACAAGTATAAAGACACCTAGCTCAAGTGGCCATTTTTCTTAGGTGAGCAAAGCTGGGGAAGTGCATGGAGCAAATCACAGCCAAGCCTGGTCTTATCCCCACCCAATATCCACAACCGCAGTGCTGTGCAGAACACATATTACCAGCAGTTAGGCCACTTAGTCCATTGTTTCACTTACAAAACACACAATCCACTTTACAGTGTATCCTGTGAAGCGCTTTGAGATGTCTCAATGACGCGATAAGGCACTACATCAAATGCAAGGATTATTATTTTTATTATTGTGCTGCTCCCTTTTATAACTTGGTGATAACACTACGTTCCCAATTGCACTGATGGGCCAGCATGCCTCAGAGTTGTGGCACGAGTTCTCTACCACTTTTACTCAAATGCCTAATCCCCATTGAATCAAGGAGGAAGAACAGGAAGTATCAACCTCTGGTTCTCCACCTTAATTATCCACCATTATCCACCATAATTAGTACAAAACCAGAGGGTGACAATTCATTGAGGAGGAGAATTGTTTTTATAGTAAAAAATTATAGAAGTGAGAAATAGGAGTCAAGATGATGTTTCTGACCCATTGGCTACAGGATTAATTACAGCAAAAAACTCTTAATGGCATCAATTTATGTTTGTTTTGTGTATTAATTCCTACAAGTGAGGAGGTTGAGAGGAGAAAAACAGTCTAGCTTTGTAATAATCGTCTATTCAACCAAGCTTGGTAAAGAGCTTCTCTCCCACCTGGAGGCTGAGCAGATCATTCAACTCAAACCCTTTCAACTGGAAGTTTACCAATGACAAGATGCCAGGAGCTTCAAATGCCAGAGAAGGACAGACAGAATCATTATAAAAACAGTGTGAATGTACCTGTAAGGTAAGGGCCATGCTGTACTGTCCTGAAGCACCACACCCAGGGCATAAATTACCAAAGTCTGATCAACACAAGAATAAAGAATTAGGAACAATACAGCGAGTGTAGGCAATGCATTTTCTGAATCATTTTAGGTGAACTGCACCAACTGAAATACAGAAAGAACACTTCCCAATGATGATTTAATTGAACAGTGTACAATCTCATTGCGCTCATCTGGCTGAATAGCTTCATATCGAATAAACAGCCAATGATTATTTACTTTCTTACATGTTGGGTCCAATCAAAATCTTTGCTTTCATCGTGTCTCGGCTAAATTACACTAACTCTCTGCTCGCCAGACTACCTTCCTCTTCCCTTCATAAACAGCAAACTATACAGAACTCTGCAGCTCATGTCCAGCATTAGACTCCAAAAGCCCATCACCCGCATCCTTGCCTGGCTCCATGGCTCCCATTCCCCAGTGGATTAATTTCAAGATCCTTGTCCTAACCTTTAAATCCCTCCATGGTGTTGCCACATCCTACCTCTGTGACCTACTCAAACCTTACAAACCCGGTCGCTCCCTCAGCTCTGTGGGCATCAACTGCTTCATGTTCCTCGCCCCTTAATCGATGCTCTGGCTTTCAGCATATCTGCCCCACCTTTTGCAACTCCATTCCAGAGCCCCTTCCTTTGCCTTCTTAAAGATCTGTCTCAAAACCTTTCTACTGGTCATCTCACCCCCACCTCCCACCCACTCAGGCCCACGCCCTCGGCCCACCACCAGCTCAGGTACAAATCTTACTGTCTAGCGCCTTGGTACGTCCTCCTAACGTGAAAGGTAAATGGACATTTGTATTGCACTGTAAAAAGCACAGATCAAACTAAGCACACCATCCATCACTAAGACTTCAGTGGGTCTAAGAGGGTTCAGAAGGAGAGTGAGTGGGTGACCAACCGGCATAGTAGGTAGAGGGGACGGCAGTGCAGAAATCTCCTGAGATTGTGGCACTCACAAACTGGTTCTCTGTACTGAATACTGGTAGAATTTTTTGATGAAGTCACGGAGAGGGTGGATGAAGGCAGTGCAGTTGATGTAGATTATATAGATTTTCAAAAGGCATTTGATCAAGTGCCGCATAAGAAACTTGTAAACAAAATAGAAGCCCACAGTATTAAAGTGACAGTGGCAGCATGGATACGAAACTGGCTGGGAGGCAAAAGGCAGAGAGTGGTGATGAACGATTATTTTTCTGACTGGAGGGAAGTGTGTAGTGGTGTCCCCCAGGGGTCTGTATTGGGACCACTGCTGTTTTTGATCTATATAAATGACCTGGACCAAGTTTGCAGATGGTACTAATCTAGGAAAAGCAGTAAACAGTGAGAAGTATAGTAGAAGACTGCAAATGGACACAGACAGACTGGTAAAATGGGCAGATACATGGCAGATGAAGTTTAATGTGGAAAGTGATGCATTTTGGGAAGAAGAATGAGGAGAGGCAATTTAAGCTGATGGTACAATCTTAAAGAGGGTGAAGGAACAGAGAGACCTGGGGGTTCATGTACGTAAGCCTTGAAGGTGGCAGGACAGGTAGATAAAGCTATTAAAAAAGCATATGGGATACTAGGCTTTACGAATGGGGGCATAGAATCCAAAAGTCAGGAAGTTATGATGAACCTTTATAAAACACTGGTTAGACCTCAGCTACCACACTTTAGGAAGGATGTCAAGGCACTGGAGAGGGTGCAAAGGAGATTTATCAGGATAGTACCAGGAATGAGGGACTTCAGTTATCAGGAGAGGCTAGAGAAGCTTGGATTATTCTCCTTGGAGCAGAGAAGGTTAAGAGGAGACTTAATAGAAGTTTTCAAAATTATGAAGGGATTCGATAGAGTGAACAAGGAGAAACTATTTCCACTGGCGGGTGCGCCGGTAACCTGAGGACATCGATTTAAAATAGTTGTTAAAAGAAACAGAGGGGAGGTGAGGGGAAATTTTTTCACACAGCGAGTTGTTTGCATCTGGAATGCATTGCCTGAAAGGGTGGTGGAAGATGATTCGATAACAACTTTTAAGAGAGAAGTAGATAATTATTTGGGGAGGACAAGTTTGCAAGGCTATGGGGAGAGAACGGGGAAAAGGGATTGATTTACGTAGCTCTTTTCAAAAAGCCAGCACAGACATGATGGGCCGAATGGCCTCCTTTTGTGCTGTATATGTTTGTTTATGTATAAGTGAGCAATACGGAGCAGGAAGGTCCCAGGTTTGCTCAATGGTCACTGGTTGAGTTAGCTATTACAGCCAACACAACAACACAATGGCAATGATGCTAAACTTGGGATCTGTTTCTCTGGGTTTAGGAAGGGAGACTATCAGCCAGAGTTTCTGCTCCTGATCACTACCCAGTGACCTCTTGAATGAAAAGAAGGAAAGATGAAGGGGATAAAGAGGGGAGAAAGGAGAGAGTGTATAAGTGACTCTACATTGGAGATATTGCAAATACCCATACGAGTTGCAACCAATCCATTCTATCTCAGCACCTGTAACCACCCCCTCAATAAATGGTGCCAGTGCGGAGCTGCGGCTTTGGACTTCAGGCTCACAGATCGAGGGTTCCAATGCCTACCTTTTTTAGATTTGGGGGCTTTATTAAAAAAATCACAAAGCAGACTTCATGATTGGGAACTCTTGAACATAACACTTATATTCAATGTGTTAAATATTAAACCCAAATTGACTCAAATATTAAATCTTAGCTTCAAGAACACACAATAAGACATGATAATGAATTGAGATTTATAGTTTTTCCATGCGTGTCAGCATTACGCACTCTCAGCTCTGATAAAATGTGGGTATCGATGTGGTGTTAACCTGCCTCAACTCATTAGCTTTTATTGAAACCCTTTGTGTATTATAAATAATAATGGAACCTTTTGAAGTCTTAGTAGACTGGCCATCAGCACTTCCCATTTCAGGAGGTGGCAATTCAATTATAGTTCTCTGCGTTTTACCTCTTTAGGGATAATGTGTTGATTGACGCTCCCTTCCAGCTCCTGGAGTCGGGCTGCCACTGGGGTCAGCTTTGCTGTCCTGATAGTCTCATTCAGAACTTGCTGGCAGTACCTTCCCGGTGAACAAAGGAGAGCAGATTCAGTTACACCTGTATCGTAGCACACAAATATTTGAAGTGGAGAAGCCAAAACGCCTCCATTCTTTTTGTGACTGGAGGCCAGGCACGTCCTCAGCGGAACCTTGGTCGCCACCTCCCAGAGGTTGGCCCAAAAGTAGCACTGGCTTAGGTTGGACCGAGGTAGTCTGTCTGTCCTTTCAATCCAATAAATTAAAAGCGCTAAACAAAACACCGCAACAAAAGACACAACGTGGCTCTATCACATGATCCTCTTCCCCTTTTTTCTGTCTAGCGGAAAGGGTCAGCAAACAACCTACTCCTGGGCCTGTGTGATCTCTATGAGAAGCCATTGAGAGAGCAGCACTGGGTACTCTTCTTTATTGTGGAAATATTTAATTCCCAACCTCTGAAACACAAGCCGGGATTGGAAATTCCACGCAAAGACGAATATCGGATCACTTCACATTGGGAGTCGCAACGCACATAAAACCTTTTCACATTAAGATTCATATTCCCAAGTCAATGCGACACAGTTGCCCAGTGGGGATATGTCTGATCTGAGCAATGAGCAATTGATTGCCTTCTTTCCTCCATCAGCAAAAGAAAATACGGCAAAAGATTGAAAGCACTGACTTGAGCTCCTGCAGCTTCTCCAGGGTGAGTGGGCTCTTCCCCAGAACCTGGTTCACCTCCTGATACAGTTTCTCCTGCACTGCTTCAGATGTTGCCAAAAAATACGATGACCAAATGCACACTGAAAAACAATGTAGATGGCACTTATTTTAAAAAGGCATTCTATATGCTATTTAAACATTAAGAATAAGAATAATTATCCGTGCATTTGATGCAGACATTTTGAGATGTCTCAAAGCACTTCACAGAATATATTGTAAAGTGGATTGACTGTATTTTGTCGGCAAAATGCAGCAGCCAATCGCACACAGCGGTGTCTCACAAACAGTCATGGATTGAAACATCCAATTTTTTTTAAAACAGTTTGATTTCCATTGAACAAATTTATATCTCGTCCTAAGCCAGGTGCCACCATTCAGAGAAACATGAGATTTAGTATCTCATTGTTCATCCTTAAAATTGTTGCAAAATTGCCTTCTACATAGTTCAGCCAGTTTCTGCACTGCTAGTGCATTGTATTCAGGCTTATATAACAATGATAATCCTTGCAATCTGATATAGCATCTTTTACGTCAGGACTTCTCAATGTGCTTTGCAGGATTTACTGCAAATTGTAGTAATTGTGTAATTTGTAGGTGAACAAGGCAGACAATTTGCACACAGCAATGTTCCACGGATAGTTGTGAAGTGAGTGACCAACTGTATCTGGGGGACTGTTGATCAAGCCACCTGGAGAAATTCTTCTCTTTTCCAATCGAGCTGTGGGATCTTTAAATATGCAAACGGGACCTTGTGGTAACGTCTCATTCGAATGGGGAACATCCAACAATGTGGAGTCCTGTAGCTCAGTGGTTAGAGCACTTGCCTAACAAGCGAGAGTTCGATTCCCAGCAGGCAAAACCTTGAGTAAGTTTCCTTACTCCGCATATCTGATAATAATACAAGAAAAAAAACAATAATAAATTGGTCACTTCAATCTACGACTGTTTGTGGGACGCTGCTGTGCGCAATTGACTGCCGCATTTCGCCCACAAATGTACAGTCAATCACTTTACAGTATATTCTGTGAAGCGCTTTGAGATATCTAGAAGACATGAGAAGCGCTGTATCAAATGCAAGGATTATTATTATTATTCAAGCACTGCAGTCACTTCAATACTGCAGGGTCAACCAAGACTGTGAGTTTAAAGTCCCGATATGGCGGGGGTGGGGATATTGTGGGGTTTGAACCCACAATCTTCTGACTCAGATGCAAGGTTGCCACCAACTGAGCCAGGTTGACACAAGATTTCTTATATTGCAAGATTTCTCAAAAGGATGCGTAAACAGCTAATCTCTGATGGATGACACTGTGAACTCCACTCAAACACCGATCCAAAATCAGACTTCCATGAGACTAGTGTCCAAGTAACTTCCATAGTCAGCCTGAGATATGCTATTCAGAAAAGATTTTGCAAATCAGGGATATGCATGGACTCGCGCACTTACTGCATCTAAAAAAAGTATTTGTATTCTAACAAGTAACCAGTGGAACGTTTCAGAATCAGTCCCACTACTGCAAACTGTGCCATTGGAGCAAATAAACTTCTCTTTTTGAAATGAGTCAGGCAGCTGGAGCCACCTGATTTACTATCTATCCCCTTAAAGCACTCATCGTCAGTGTGTAATTTCGATGCATTTATTTCAGAATCAGCACTCCACGGAAAGTTACTGAACACAAGCCAGCCAAAAGAGTGATGTCATTGTAACCGCAGAGGAGTCATTAGTGTCCTGATCAGAAAGTAAAACAATTACGCAATTCAGAGATGGTAGAGCTCATAAACAGGCCATTCAACCCGGCTGGTGCTTATACTCCATAGGAGTGCCTATTCTATATCCTATCCCTAGTCCCATATCTCTCCCACTCCCCCCAAAAAAAACTAAAACACTAATTTGATAACTCAATTCATAATTGTGGGATACTACTGTGAGAGTAATTGGCTGCTGCATTTCACTCACGAAATACACAGCCAATCCACTTTATAATATATTCTGTGAAGTGCTTTGAGACGTCTCAACGACATAAGATGCTATATCAAATGCAAGGATTTATATCCCTCAGATTTATTCTCTCTTAACAATGTTCCAGTCTTTTTTTTTTGAAAATGGACATGGTTGACATTCCAACAATCGACTGTTGTAACCAGAGTTACAAAGAGCGGCAACGCAGGTTGGGAATGTTTGTACTCAAGAGAAGGCTGAGAAGAAATTTTATTAAAGTATTCAAGATCTTAAAATTAATTGAACCTCCATAATGTTTAATATGGTCACAGGTTCTACACAAGGGGGCACCGACTACGCTCAGGAAATAGAACATGAACACACGGTTTGGATTTCATTACAGTATTTTGCAGAGTGCTGATTATGTGGGGACTAGCCAGAAAGATTATGAAGTCAGATTGTCTCTGCATATTCAAGAGGGAAGTTTATAGGTACTTGGCAAGAAATTCATTGAGGAGCATGAGAGATTTTTTTTCCACTTTGGGAGCAGCAGATGGACCTCAATGGTTCTGTACATTTCCATTGGCAGATGCAGGTTTACTTACAGTTTGCTGCAATCACACAGCCAGCCAACGAGAAGATCATACTGTCCTCCAGCACCTGGGGAAACAAAGAAAGAGTTTGCAGCAATGCTTGCCCAGTGGTAAGATATTAACTGCTACCAGAAACGCTACAGAAACTGGCATGATATGGCAGACAACGTGAGAGGTAAGATTAGCTTTGTAGCATACCAGAACCCAAGGTTGCTAGTGGTGAAGCAGACCATGATCAACAGTGCATTTGACCAATTTATTTCCACTGTCTACAGCTATACGTTAATAATAACCCTTGCATTTAATATTGTGCCTTTCAGGTCGGGTGGACTTCTCAAAGTAATTCACAAGATACTTTAACTTTAAAGTGTACTTGTAAGCAAACAGGGCAGCCAATTTGGACACAGCAATATCCCAGAAACAGCCATGAAATATATGATCAATTTTATTTGGGATCATTGGCCAGGATTCCGGGAGAAACTCCTTTTCTTTTCCAGTGTCATGGGACCTTTAACATCCACCTGAACACGTAGAAGGAACCCCACTCAATTTAACATCTCATCCGAAGGGTGACACCAGCAATAATGCAACCTTCCCATAGCACTGCACTGGCGTGTTAGCCAAGTCTGTCTGAATTCAAAGTTCTGATGTGAGGCTTGAACCCACAACTCTGTGACTCAGAGTCTACCAACTCAGCCAGGCATAAACACAAAGGCTGCAGAATAAGTTGTAAATGCTGAAGAGTTTCGATTAGCCTGTCCCCCATTCAGGATTCAGCCTGCAGGTCAGCCACCATGAATGCAGTCAACCCGACTCAAATCAACGCACAAAGAGTGAAAACCAGGTAACACAGATCAATCAGTACAAATTTAAGTATCTACCACAAGAACGATTTTTTTAAAAGTGTTCACGAAAAGAATGGCTCACATGAATTCCTGTGTGCAGCACAAAGGAATCTCTGCTGATGTCACCACCATGGATCCAGGAAGCCGACACCCTATGCCTTCCCACTATGCACAGGGACCAGCCACCCACCCACTCAACCTCTTACCAATTGGGGAACCCCTTCCATCACTTTTGTAGATGCATTCTTCAGCGGTGTGGCTCCCAGTATGCTACTGCACTGAGCCCACTCCCTGATTCTACTCTCACATTGGATGCCCTTTGTCAAGTGCCTTTCCAACAACAGGATGGTTTTAGGTTTCTCGTGCTAAAGCGCTCTGAGACGCTACCCTGCGTGAAGGGCACTATTTAAATGCAAGTTGTCATTGCTGTATGGGTACTGGCCATTGAGAACTGAAACTTAATAAGGAATCCTAGTGAGCACTCCTTAAGGTAACCAGAAGTACATCATGTGGGAACTCCATTATGAAAGCAGATCCCATCAAGCAGTGTTCCATGGGTTGGGGTGGCATACTTCCACTTCCGTATTAAGCAATAGTTTTAGGAGCCTTACAAACTCATTATACAACACTGGCTTGGAACGTCTCTCCATGTTAAGGTCCCTGGAAGGTAGGTATGCAACACATGATGTGGTATGACTTGTAAACCAAATTATATGATCATTCAAACATATTGCACATATTTCCGCAGATGGTACAGCTTTGCATGGCAAACAAGGTTCCCAGTTTTAATAGTGAGCTACACAGAGCCCTGAAAGAAGCAACCTGACTTTACCTGCTTTTCACTCAGGTTGCCTTGTAGCAAGACATCCATAAACACTTGCTGGCTGGAGCTTTTCCCCTTCCTTTCTTTCGCCACTTTCTTCAGCACGTCTTCCATTTCTGTGAGAGCTGTGTGGGTGGTGGGTTGTGTTTGGATGGGGGGGAAAGAGAAAGAGGATAATATCAAATAAAATTCCCCCCAACCTTCAATGGGAAACAAACTACAAAAACAGAATATTTCAGGAGGCAAAGTGAGAACTAATGAGCATTCTTGTGTTTCTAGGACTCCACCCGATGGCAGAATGGATAAAGGCACCTCCCTCCCCCACACAGCACTAAATCATATATGTGGACGAGGAGGTTGTGGGTTCAATCCCTAGTTCGTGCTGAGTTAATTAAGATCCAGACCTGCTTGTGATGTGAATGGCACTATAGAAATGCAATTTGTTGTTGTTGTAAGTTCAGCCAGGGAAGTGGTTGGGGCTACAATAGGCCTCAGCACCACTCACTAGAAACAATGGGATTTGGAAATGTTATTTACAGAAACGACAATATCCTTCTACTGCATGTAACTTTCCTGACTCCCACTGGTGGCTCAGTGCAAAAATGCAGTGCATGGGGCATTACTAAGCTAATCAGACTCAAATACCTAAATTTGATCCCTGGATTAGCTGTCAGTAGAAGTATTTGGGTTTCTACACAGAGTAAGGAGGAAGGAGAGAATCATTGCCTGCTATCAACAACAACAACAACAACAAGATTCCATTTATTGAGCGCCTTTCACGTCGGGAAGACGTCCCAAGGCGCTGTACAGTTGGGTCAGGACCCGAGCAAGGGGGAAATGGTCAGGGGGAGGGAAGGGAGGGAGCGAGGAGGGGGAAATGGTCGGGGGGGGAAGGGAGGGAGCGAGGAGGGGGTAGAGAGTCGAGAGGGGAGCTGAAGGCACGGTCAAAGAGAAAGGTCTTGAGACCGGCCTTGAAGGAGGAAAGGGAGGAGGCAAGGCGAAGGCACTGGGGATAGAGTTCCAGAGCCTGGGGGCTGAGAGGCTGAAGGCCCGGCCACCGATGGTAGGGCGGTTGGGGCGGGGGATGTGGAGCAGACCGGAGTCAGAGGAACGGAGGGTACAGGCAGGTAGGTAGGGGGATAGTAGGTCGGAGAGGTAGGAGGGAGCAAGGCCGTGAATGGCCTTGTAGGTGAGGGTGAGGATCAAGAGATCAAGAGATCTGCAGGGTTTTGTGTTTGGGTTGCCATGTTCCGAGATGCTTTCTGCATGAACAGGGCTATATAAATGTTGTTGTTGTTTGTGATGATAGGATCAGAAAAACATCCTGTCGCAACTCACTGTCCAGACTCACACATGAACAATGAGCAACAGCTTCTAGCTCAAAAGAACCACACTCCAATACAACTCAGTCTCTGCAAGAGAGGGGGAGGGATGGAAAGGAAAACTAACACAATTTGCATTTATGTAGTATCCTGGAGCGCTTCACAGTGGTGGAGTCTGACAACGAGCCAGGGGGAGAGGGAGATGACCATAAGTACGATCAAAAGGGAAGGTCTTTAGGCGGAATTTGAAGGTGGGGCGGGAGGGGCAAGGCGGAAGGATTGAGAGAGAGAATTCCAGAGATCCGGGGCAACTAAAGCAATTGAAAGTTTTGTTCTGCGGTTTGAATCACGTAATGACAGGTTTGCAGGACAAGAGAGCAAAATGATGCAATTCTGCTCCTGAGCTTTCAAGCAACATCAAAGCTAGATTAACTGCAGACTTTAGTCTTGATTTGAAAAAAAAAATCAACAATTTTGTTCAATGTAGGCCAGGTAGCCACATGTTCGCAAGGCCAATCAATAACACCATTGGCTCCTTTCCTTGCCTGTTAATATTTTGAAATCCCATTTTCAATATTTAACAAAAATAAGGCCTGATCTGAATAGTTGCGTGTGCTCAAAAAAAAATCACTGGTCAACTAATAGAGTAAAGATTTTTTTGGTGGTTACGATTGTATTGGGAAGAGGAGGGTGGGGAAGGAGAGAAGGAAGTCAGAGCAGAGAATATTTTTTTAATTAAACTCAAATTTCTGAAAAAAATAGAGTATAATGACGCCCACAGAGCCTAGGTTTCCGAATTGTTTGGGAAGCACAATATCTCGCAATGAAATCAATACAGGTTCCAATGCTTACGGAGGTTCCAATGTTGGCTTCCCTTCAGTTTCTATTCCTTGGTATGACATCAGGCATTGACTGTCTGTGAGCACTAGAATTCTAAGCAGCCTTTGACTTAAAAGGAGGTCCCAATCAATTAAAAAAAAATCTAATTCTGGTTTTGGTTTGTCTTCACTAGCTCTGTTCCTTCACGTCAATCACGTCTGATGTCTGCTCTGTAAATCAGGTCTCCGTGGGAGAGAAACATGGCAGTGAGGCACTGAATGTGCTGCCCTGCCTTGGTGCACCTGGCTGGCACTGTAACCAGCAGCTCACGTTACTGTCATTCACATTTCAAATGCAAGTTATGTCCTGGGCCAATAGAAAAATGGAGAAATAGTTGCCAAAAATTGTGGGGAGAATTGGAAATTTGGGGCAAATGTTGCAGAAAATGGCAGGAAGTTGATTGGTGCTACTGATGTACATTTTACTGCCAACCTACATTTTTTCACTTTATTGATAAAAACTAAACATGTTGCAAAAAAAAATGAATTGCTTTTTTAACAAAAACTGGATGACCTTTTTTTGGGGGTGGGAGGGTGACACCAGCAGGAGCTCTCAGGGCACCACATACAGAGCCAGAGAGAGAGAGAGACACACACACACACACACACACACACACACTCAGAGACAAACACACACTGAGACAGAGACACACACACACTCAGAGAGAGACACATGCATGCGCACTCAGAGAGACGTGCGCACACTCAGAGACACACGCGTGCACACACTGAGAGAGACACACAGGTACTCAGAGACAGGCGCGTGCGCCCCAAAAGACAGAGGCGTGCGTCCACTGAGAGACAGAGGGCCTGCACTGAGAGACGCACGCGAATTGAGACACACGCACACAGAGGCATACACATTGAGAGAGCGACACATACAACAGACACAGAGAGCCACACACTCACAGACACAGAGACACCCATTCTCAGAGAGAGACGCACACTCACATAGACACACACAGGGGAGGGAGACACAGACATACTCACACAGACACACACACAAGACACACATAAATGCATATAGAGAGACACACTCAGAGAATCATACACTCTCACATACGCACAATCACAACTCCGAGTGAAGCCCATTTGCCACCTTCTCCTCCCTCCACTACACAGTGACGTCAAGTAAACAGCTGCGGGCCAGAAACTATGTTTATAGCGGGTTTGTAGCGGGTTTATGGCGGAGGAGGTATATGTAGCTATGTAGCAAAATTGTGGCCGCACTTTTCTATTGGCCCAGGTTATGTCCAAGTTGATTATATTTGGTGTTGGACCATTTCAATCCCTTTTCTCTAGAGATTAGTTAGAAACCACCAAGAACCTGGTTGGTATTTACAGCAGAATAAAATGATGCTATCGTGACAAAGCTGAAAAACTGGGAGCGATTCTTTTCATAGAAATTTCAGATCAAACAGCCATTAGCCATCATACCTGCATCGTATTACCTTTCCCACTGGAGCCATGTTCTCCAGTCCCATATCCTTGCCCTTTCCCCATATACTTGTTGTATCTTTATTCACAATTACACAATTTTCTTGTTCCTAATTCCCTTTTAAATGTCATAACTAACTGATATTGCGCTTCACAGCCTAATAACACTGTGTAATAATATTTTCAAATTTCTCATAATAATCTGTAGTTGATGTGTATACCGTCCATTTCTGAAAGAGCTGGGATGAAGTACCTTCATCATAATGCTTTTTCCTGGTTGAGCTTTTTTCAAGGGATCCGTCCAAAAAGCCTTTCCCGATCTCAGACCAGATCTGCAGCAAAACACAAGGTGAGAATGGGCATCGTACAACAAATGGCAGCAGTCAATCAATATGAAATGTATGCGACAAATGGGGAGCAGTTTGTGACAGGAAAAAAAATCACAGACTTTACAGGGAAGCGCAGGACTGGAAAGGGACACTGGAGCCGTTATCAAATAATGTCTCTTCCTTTCTCACATATCGCTCAAATCCCTTCGGTGTTAAAAAATATCCAATTCCCACATACAAATCACCTCCCTAGGCAAATGGTTCCACATATTAATCAGTGTTGAGTAAAGCAGCTAAATCCAACTGCCCATTAGCAATCCCTCTTTTGAGTTTCAAACAATGCCCCCTTGTTTGGAGCTCTTGACCATATCAAACAGCAATTGCAGCAAGAACATTCTCCGGTGTACAATACAACACACTGAAGCTGAAAGCAAATCCTTCTGACCTCATATAAGATGTAAACGCTAGGAATTGTAAATGCTTTGAATTATTAATGCATTGTATGAAAGAGTAGAATTTACCCAGGTGAGTGTAGAAGTTACATAACTATTTGTTCAGTTGCATAAACACAATGTTTGGAGTGTGGGAGCATAGAAACAGTGTCCTGTCACAGAACCTGTGATTGCTGCCCAATCACGAAAGTAACAGAGTTGCAGACTTTAAGGGCTCTTTCCTTTGTCTCTTTTTTTCCATCTGGGAGACTCCACTCCCTCCCCGCATTACGCAGAATAACCAATTCCATGAGTCTGGTAGACTTGCTTGGTGCATGCTGCCAATTGTTACTCCCTGACAAAGGGCTTTCCTGGGGTTTAACATTAATCTCTCAATTGAAGCAATGCATTCAAAATTAACTAACCTGCAGTACCATCATTTTGGATTAGAATTACAATATGAACCCATGAACTTTGAATCCTCCAGACACTGGACTGACCACTCTTGTTCAATTTGTCAGAAGGCTGTGGTTTCAAGTCCCACGTTGGGCCTTGGAATCACATAGGCTAAACTGATACTCCAATGCAGTGCTGGGGGGCAGGGGAGGCTGGCACTGTTGGAGGTGCCAACCTTCAGTTGAGACATTAAACCGAGTCTGCACGTTCAGATGCATATCAAAGAATCCATGGCACCATTTAAAAGTGAAGGGAATTTCTCCTGGTGTTCTGGCCAACAATGCCCCAAATCAAATTGGTCATTCACTCCATGGCTGTGTGCTGGAGTGCACGAAACTGGCTGCTGGGTTTCATCCACAAAATACACAGTCATTCCACTTTACATTACGTCATGTGAAGCGCATCGAGACACCTCAACGATGTGATAAGGCCCTATATAAAATCTAAGGTTTATTTAAGTTGCTTTTCTCTCCTTCCAGGAACCAGGTATCTTGACCAAATCACTCGCACAATCTAAAATATTCAGGATATGTTCCCACCCACCTCACCAAGCTCTTTGTCCATGTGGGAGACTGCTGGCTCAAGCTTGCTGGCTCACCTGATTGGATTGGCTGAGATATCAGCTAAATAGGTTTGTCTCCACCTTTCTCCATTCTTGTTTTCTTTTTAAAAATGCTTCTATGATATCAGCTTCTATTAATTCATTGGTGAAAACCAACAAAAAGATGGGGGGACGGGGGGGAATCAGTCTCGCTCTCCCCTCACGTAATATTATAATCCCCCACCCACAAGGTGACTCACCGCATCGTGGTTCTTTCGAAAGTTGATCACTTGTTGATCGTCTTCAAAGCAGCTGCCCAATGTTGCTTGTGTGATGGACTTCATGGCAAAGCCTAACATGTGCTGGCACAGGGGGACATGCTGAGCTTCAGGGTACGAGAGCCACTTTGATACCAGCTCGTCGGCGAGCTGAGGAAGAAACAAGGATTGCAAACATCTTTTATTGGACACGTTTCCAACAAGAGTATTGGAGTGGAAATACAATTCCTCCTCATTATCACCAGAGTCTCAGAAGCCTTTGGCAGGTTTGCTTTAATTTTGGCATTGTTCCACACAATATACAGTCACACCATTTTACAGAATATCCTGTGAAGCTCTTTAGTCCTAAAGAGGATCTTGAAATCTTCCCAACCAAATGTAAGGATTATTATTAAGGGTTATCATTACTATTAAATTCCTGTACCATCTAAGCACACACAAGCAGACGTAACTAACACACTTCTTCCCCCCACTCCCCAAGCACTTATTTTTTCCAGCCCCTTGCCCTCTAAGTATCAACTCTGTCGCCTGCCATACCTTAATTTTTTTTAAGGTAACATAATATGCGTCTTCAAAAGGGTGAGGGGCAGAGTGAATTCACCAGGATTCAAACTCAGAACTTTCTATTCTCAAATTCAACAGACTAAGCTATACGACATGTTCAGGACGTCCTTGGTCTGTATGGTTCCGTTCCAAACTGGGCCACGAAGGAAGCTTTGATTTTTGCATGTTCAAGAAGTGTATGCTGCAAGTAATGATCCGCCATGGAGCACTAAATGTAATGCAAAATAGCGTATTAAATAATAGGATTTTGGTTAACAGCAAAAGAAATCCAGGCAGTTTTCCAGAGTTGGCAAATTGTGTAGTTCACAAATCTAACGTATGAATAAAATTGGAACCATTTAGATAGTTGGCCACATTTCCGCACTGAGGACTCAAATCTCGCACATGCTGGAGAAATCCTGTAAATCTGTGCCATATGATCATGAAAAATAGTCTTTCAAAAACATATGCTAATGGCGCACTGATTGGTACTTCCTACCCTTTTTTGTTTGTAATTGATTAACTCCTTATCTCAAACAATTACTTGTGCTGTGATTGGGGAACTTGCCAAAGTGTGGCAACGTTCACATGCTTCGGGACTGGAGAGTGGTAACATTCACAGCTGATACACGTGCTCTGAGATGCCATCTGGCGTGGAAGGCGCTATATAAATCCAAGTCGTTGTTGTTGTTGATCAGAGAGTGGTAACATTCACCTGCTGACCTGCAATTACCCTCACAATGGCCATGTGGCTATGGGTTGGCATTTTCCGAAAGTGAGGAAGATAAAACACAGGCTCCTAAGTCACAAGCACAACCAACCCTCATCCAGCTATCACCACACCCGCTCTCCAAATACCAATTGTCACAACAGCAACAACTTGCATTTATACAGTGCCCTTCACACGGGGTAGCGTCCTGGAGCACTTGACCCCGAGTGGCGGAGTCTGACCCCGAGCCAGGGGTGGAGGGAGGGGGGAGGTGACCGTAAGCACGATGAAAAAGGAAGGTCTTTACACGGGATATGAAAATGGGGAGGAAGGGGGCAAGGCGGAGGGACTGAGGGAGAGAGGCTGAAGCCACGTCCACCAATGGTGAAGCGGAGGGGACGAGGGACGAACAGGAGGCTGGAGCTAACCGGGTGGATGTAGCGGGTGGGGGAATAGGGGGTAAGCACGTCAGATAGGTAGGGAGGTGCAAGGGCAGCATGATGGGATTTGAAAACCAGTGAAAGGATCTTGAATTCGATAGTCACCATATAGAGTAGGATATCCTCCATCACTAACATTCCCTGTTAATACCAGTGTCCCTGTCACACTCTCAAATACCAACTCTTCCGTCACCAACACAACCAATCTCGCACATACCATTTCCCATCACCAAGAAAGCTTGTCCTGCTCTCAGAATACCATCTCCCCCATTTGCTTTCTCAGCTGGGTAAAGGTGCATAGAACAGAGGAGGCATGAAAAAAGAAATAATCTGATTTAGAAAAGATTTTGTACTGTATCACTTTAAAGCTGTTGAGCCACTGGTGATATTGTATTGAACAGAATTTTACTGCTGGGTCTGCATAGTGCCATCAGGTGGCTGGGAGCTGGTACTGGATACCTGTTTCAATACTCCACTTATATATATAGTCTTTGCGGAACAAAAATCAAGCACCACAACAATTGCCGCCAGGCTTAAGCATCCTTCTCTATTGGGTGAAAGGAACAAACAGCGGAGCAAATTGAGTACCGTCGTTGAGGTGTGACCTTGCCAGAACACCACACAGTGTGCACGTAATTTATGGGATTCCGAATTGAACTGATTCAAATCTTCCAGTATCCTAGAAACATAGAAACAGGAGTAGGCCATTCAGCCCCTCGAGTCTGTTCTGCCATTCTATAAGAACATGGCTGATCTGTACCTCAAGTCCAATTAGCTGCCCTTGCCCTGTATCCCTTAATACCCTGACCTAACAAGCAGTTAGGTAACAAATCCTGATCCCCTTGTGTGCTGCTGCCTTGTACCGCTTCACAAGTACACATAAGTCTTGATCGGTCAGAAGGCTTCAAATGATGACGTTTTTCGAGAAGGAGCTCTTGCTCCCAGATCATGCTGAAACCCAGCCAAACATGGGTCAAATCTCTGCCTAAGTACATGTGTAAGATGCTGAATTCAAAATATCCTAGTTTCTGTGACAATTGATGAATCCTCAGGGTGCACTGGGACACAGCAATTACTGGACTCTACACCTCCAGTGAAGGGGTCGGATGTAGGATTGTGGCTTGACCTGAAGGCTGAGGGCACTTCTAACTTTATGATTCAGAAACTGCTGGATCTTTGAGGACAGTGGAAAAATAATGTGTTCCTTGGTATTGACAATGATATATCTAAGGCGGAGTTGAAAGCTTTTCCAATCTAACATTGGAACCATTGCTATTTACTTAATAGGGTGCTGAAATCACCCTTCAGATTCTCAGTGCAATCACAAAAGTAAGAAAATGTCAAAGCCATTTTACATAAAGCAAGTTCCCACAAGATGAAGGAAAAACTGATCTGGAGGATCATTGGGCAGAAATCAGGAGAAACTTATGTCCACCTGGACAAGCATATGGGACTCAGGTAAATTGTTTAATTTATGTGCAACTTTACATGTTCAGCCTAGCCAGGAGGAGTCATTACATTTGGCAGAAGAAAGGAAAAACTCCCATCCGATAATCTTGTAGGAATGTCATTGTCTGAGTCATTCATTGATTCCATGCTCTGGCTCAGTGGGGATAATGGAGGATTCCCAAATTAAACACTCACTGGCTTCAGTTCAAAGCTCAGCACTAGCCCGAAGGTGAAATGTCTAAATATACACTACTCTTTCAATGGTCGACTTAAACCTTTCATTTCATTGGTGGTATAAACTGTGGAATTGAAAAAGACAAATGAGATTGATCTTGATGCTTGTCTGATAAAGACTGGGGTTAGGCTCAGAAATAACACTATAAATCTTTGCTGGAGTGCTCCATGAAACAGAACATCAAAGTGAATGTGGGGCACTGATTCAGGCTGCTTTCCAGCTATGCTGAGATCATTCTACTGGCACACTGACAGATGGTGTGAGCTTAGTCCAAGACCCATATTAGAAGCACAGTATAGACTGACATGAATGTTCAGTAACAATAACATATAATTTGCATTTGATATTCCACCTATGACATCAAAAAGGCTCAAAGCACTTCCAAGGGTACTTCTACCTTTATAGTGACCGTCATTTTGCACACTGCAAGGCCCACAAGACCCACATTCAGTGCATGAACAATTAATCAGGAGGAATGTTGGTCAGGACATCAGGAGAGATTCCTTTTATTTTTTTGAGTAGTGCATGGGGTCTTTAACATCCACCTGAACAGGCAGATGCGACCTTGGTTTAACGTCTCAATTGAGTATGGCACCTTTGACAATGTAGAGCTCTCCCTGGACTGGAGTCTCAGCTTGGACTGTAGGCTCAAGCCCCAATGGGAGAGACGTATTGTCAGAACTGCCATCCTTCAGATGAGAAATGAAAACAAAGTCCCTTTTCTTCAGGTAAGACTCTAAGGATCCCTTGACAACTTCAAAAGAAATGGGAGTTTCTCCCAGTGTTCTGGCTAACGATCTTCCAGATCAATCAGTCATTGTCTATGTCGCTGTTGTTGGACTGTGCTGCACGCAAACTGAGTGCAGTGTTTGCCTGTAAAAAAACAAGCAATGCAAGTGATAATAATTACTGAAAGTATTTGGATATTTTGACATACAAGCGCCCTATAAAAATGCAAGTTGTTTCTTTTGAAGAGTCTACACCGTGAATAACCAAGAGGCTCCGGACAGTTGGCATTGCTGAGGAGGCTGTGCAACAAGAACTGCCATAGCCACATTTGTGTAAAGCAGCCTCAAGGAACTACTTGACCTTGACAAGTTCACCGGTCTGGAAACTGAATCTGCTTAACGTTCATTCAGAGAAAGAAGAAACGTACAAATCAAATGACTCAAGTTGCCTGTAGAGGATGGTTCTGAAAACGTTACCCATTTTACACACTTAACTCCTGGCTCTGGAGCGCGTAGTCCTCTACTGAGCAAGGATTGAATACACACACAGCCATTTGTCTCGTTATATAAAATTCTTAAGATTCAGTCTTAATTTGGTAGCCAGTTCTCCTTAAGAATTGTAGAGAAACAGCCAGCAAACTAAGAAATTTCAGAAATGTACAATTTTAATTTTTTAGATAAAACGGTCTGAAAGGCTGAAATAGCTGAAATTTGGGCCTCTGAATGCTGGCCAGATACCCTTGCTGAAGGCGCTTGAGCTGGTGGACATCAGATGAGGACAAAATCTGGCACAATTGCCAACCTCCCATCCCTTATCCTATTGAATACCCTGCTGACAACTCACAAGGATCACTTGAATAACCACTTCAGTACCTGTGGAACAGTGTACCCAGAAGAAGGCAAAGGGGATCAAATTCCTTCAAAAGGGTGAGGAATCGGCAAGACGACATGATGGCAGGTGTGGAACGGAGGGCAGTGACCTTTTAAGATTGACTAAAAGTTGCATTGCTCTGGCAGAATCAGTAGAGTTTCACTTTGCATAATTCCTGACCTAACACTGGGTCTTAAAAATATTCACAAATCATCCAAAAATATAATTTATTTTCAAAAGAATCAATGAAAGAAGGTTGATGGCAACACAGCGCAGGTGGGTGCAGAAAGGTAGATTAAAGGAGGGGCGTCAGACCGCAAGTTTTGTCAGGGCTGTCACCAAGCCCTCTCTATTAGCTGACTTTAGAGAACCAATGATCTTTAGTGCATCTTCCGAGCCAGAGAAGGTGCAAACCTCTGCATGAGATGGAGAGGCTTGGAGCGGAAAATGAATAACCCATCGACTGTGAAGCTCTTTGAGACATTTCAATGTTCTAGGATTTCATCAAATGCATGGATCATTATTAATAAAGCACATATGAAGCTGATAAAATAATCTAAATTAAGCCACAAAGATCTTTAAGATTGCAGCTTCACACTGCAGCCAGTGATTCAATGTGAGACATTCCAGACATGTATAGACCCCGGGGTTAGTTTAATCCAACTGCAATAATTAAAAAGATCAGATAATGTTAATAAACTAGATTTCACATTGCAGTCACCTCCCTGGGCTGGAAGTAGACATTTGACATCTTGGAGCACACAATTTCCATTTGGAGATGGACTGATGTACTTGCTGAATGGCCTGAAGGAAACCCTGGCCGAGAGGAGAGTGAAAACACCTTCATAAATTTTTTGACCTTCTCCTCGATATACATAGGTTATATAGCACAGAAACAGACCACTCTACCAACTCGTCCGTGCTGGTGTTTATAGTCGTGAATCTCCTTAACATCAGGAAGAATTTTTTAAAAAACACTGCTTGCAAATATATTGTATATAGACATGTCCACTATGTGTACATATATATACATATAATATATATACACATACACACACAACTTGCATTAAGACCCTTTCCAAGGACCGGGTTAGACCCCAAGCAAGTATGAAAGGAGAAGGAATATATGTACATTTAGCCACAGAAAATTTTGTAATGGTAATATATTACAATATACCCTGCTACCCTGCATGGAGGGCACTATATGCAGACCTCCGCGACCTCCTCACCCCCTACCAACCTGCCTGCTCCCTCCGCTCAGCGGTCTCCGGCCTGCTTCACATCCCCTGCCTCGCCCACCCCCTACCATTGGCGGGCGGGCCTTCAGCCACTCTGCCCCCACCCTCTGGAACTCCATCCCGCAGTCCCTCCGCCTCGCCCCCTCCTTTGCCTCCTTCAAGACACATCTCAAGGCCCCCCCTCTTCGACTGTCCTTTCGATACCCTCCTTCCCCCCACCGCCCTAAACCTTCCCCAATCCTGATCCCCCAGCTCAGGTCCGAAACACTGACTATCCAACGCCTTGGGAAGTGAAATGTAATGTTGTTGTTGTATAAGTGCAAGTTGTGTGTGTGTATACATATATATATAATCACGTTTTAGAGGTGGGGACGTTCTCTAATCTAATATACAGTACGTTATCTACACTTTTTGATGCATTGTTTCTTAGAACCAGTGATGTTGGGGAAACCTGGCTTTAGAATTTCCTCAAAGCATCTTGAATGGAACAGTTGGGAAGCACTGTACCTTGAGTGACATTTTAATGCAGCAATACAGAATGGAAGAACTCTTACCTTCAGCATCAGTGGGAAGTTACTCTGAATGGTTTTGTTCACGGCGCTTTCATAAACCTTCTTCCTCAAATGACTCTCAACAGCATCTCCTGCAAACCCAGACTGGTATCCCAGCAGTGACTTCAGCATCATCTCAAATGGATCAGCTGTACATGGAAGAACGAAATGGGATGAAATGTTAACAAAAAATGCACAGCTTACAGTTTCAACGCAATACGGAGAGTAGCTGAGTGGCTGACTTTGATGACTGGTTCAGGTGCCTAGGTTCAACACTGCAGCATTAATGCCAGTGCCTGGTGAGGCTTGCCTGCACTCCCACCATTTTCATACTGCCGCCCCATAGAGTGCAAGTACCACAACGCCAGGGACTCCGAACAACACGGAGAGGTGTTGCCATCCTCCCACCAGTCACAAATAGCAAAAAGGTATTTGGCAATGATAAACCATGGGAACGTGAAGGCCATTGATTAATATTCGAGCTACAACCATTTAATAATAATAATAATAATAATAATAATCCTTGCATTTGATATAGCGCTTTTCACGTCGGAAGGACGTCCCAAAGCGCTTCACAGAGTACACTGTAAAGTGAATTGACTGTATATTTGTGGGCAAACGCGGCAGCCAATTGCGCACAGCAATGTCCCACAAACAGTCGTAGATTGAAAATGACCAATTTATTATTGTTTTTGGGTTTTGGAGGGATTATTATTAGGCTCTGTGTGGAGTAAGGAAACTTGCCCAAGGTTTCGCCCTCTGCCTGGAAATGAACTCAGGTCTCTCGCTTGCAAAGCGAGTGCTCTAACCACTGAGCCACAGGACTTTTGCTTCCCAAAAGACTAAACCTGAATGTTGGAAGAAATTTTTACCCTCAACATCACCAGTACCAATCATATCCTTTAAGAACAAAAAAACCCAGAAAGTACCACTTGCCTTTTGTCACAGTGGAGACCAGGTCAAAGGCATGTTCCAATTACATTCACAATCTGTTCCTAAACCACCAGTCCATGGTATCTTCTGAACTCCATGAACAGACAGATCACAGCTTGCAATTTATTAACAGCCAATCCAATATTCTCTCTGCAACCCTCAAATACACTGCACACCAGTTCAATTCAGGTGTCTATTTTCCCAATATAGAATTTTGTGGTTTGTCACCATTGATCACCCAATTATTCTCTTGATAAAAATGCCTTTGATCGCTTTATCAGATCACCCATTATTCTGGATGCATGAACGTGCAGCTGACGAATGGGGAAAAAACCTTGAACAGAGCAGACTGTATACAAAACTGAACAGTAGCAATTGTGCGCAGAGCTCAGCGTTAACGGCAGCAACACTCAAATGCTAGGGGTACTTACAGGTTCGGTTTGGGTTGATGTGTTCTCTAAGGAGGTCTACGGAGCCTAAACTAACCACCAGCCTTCGTCCAAACCAGAAAGAAGCCATTGATCCATACTTTTCATGTAGGCTAACCAGGAACTGGTGAAGACTCCCCGTGTTCACAATATCTGGTAGGTTTCCATCCCTGAAGGGAGGATAAAACAAAACAGTAGCTATTTTACAAACTAAAATAGTGTCACTTAACTACTGAGATTACGCAGGAGTAAATGAGGGAACTGCCAATCTTGCACCTCTGCTCAAAACAAAAATTTATAATGAAGCAACATCTCATTTGATTGAGTTTCTCCCGGTAACCTGGCCACAATGCCCCAAATAAACTTGGTCACTCAATTCATGGTTGTCTGTGGAACTGCTATGCTCAAATTGGCTGCCGCGTGTATCTACAAATACAGAGTCAATATATAGGAACATAGGAACAGTAGAAGGCCATTCAGCCCTTCCAGCCTTTTCCACCATTTAATTAGATCATGGCTGATCTGTACCTCAACTAATCCTTTCAATTCCGATTTCCCGCTTTCTCCCCATATCCCTTAATACCCTGACCTACCAAAAATCTATCAACCTCACTCTTGAAGGTGTGGATGGACCCAGCATCCACAGTCTTTTGGGTGAGAGAATTCCAGATTTCTACCACCCTTTGAGTGAAAAAATGCTTCCTGATTTCACTCTTAAATGGCCTGGTTCTAATTTTAAGATTTTGTGCCCTTGTTTTGGACTCCCCCACCAGAGGAAATAGCTTCTCTGTATCTACTCTATCGAATCCCTTTATCATCTTAAAGACCTGAATCAAATTACCCGTCAACTTTCTAAACTCAAGGGAATACAATCCAAGTTTATGCAGCCTTTCCTCATAACTTAACCCTTTTAGGCCTGGTAACATTCTGGTGAATCTGCGCTGCACCTCCTCCAGGGCCAATATATCTTTCCTGAGGTACCCAAAACTGAACGCAGTAATAATAATAATCCTTACATTTGATATTGCGCTTTTCATGTCTTCTAGACGTCTCAAAACGCTTCACAGAATAGACTGTAAAGTGAATTGACTGTATATTTGTGAGCGAAACGAGTACTCCAGGTGGGGTCTGACTTAACGCTCCTGTGAAGCTGTTTGAGACATATTAACAAAGTCACAAGGTGCTACATCAAATGCAAGGATTATTATTATTCCCCTCAAATCACGGAGGAATGGCACAGATTGCTAACCAGACAACTGAAAAGCGTGGGTTTGCCCTTTCGCTTGATGGCACTTTCCCCTTCCCCTGAGCAGTGAGCAACCCAATGCCATAAGGTGTGAGAAAAATTAGTTTGTTCATAAAATAAGAAGCATCTATATAAGGAGCAAACACATGAATAAAGTGGAATCTTAATTATCTATGAGGGAGCAGGGCACAAACCAGGAAACCTCGCAATTTGTTGCATGGTTACATTTCACAACTGGCCATTTGCTTTGCTGACTGGGTCTCCAAATGAGTTTCTAAATGAGTTGGCATTGATTTTCAAAAGGGCTCCTTCATTAGTTCATTAGGGAAATGTGAAGTCTGAAGTGACACTCACTTCTCTTCTGTAGGAGCCATCCCTGGAATGCCAGATGCTTGCCTGGATGCCTGGAAAACAATATAAATAATAAGCAACTAGAAAAATAATCAGTTATAACAACCATAAAAACTTGCATTTATATAGAGCCCTTCTCATAGAAGAAGGGCTCAGAGCGCTTCATAATGATGGAATCATACGCTGAGCAAGTGAGAGGGGGGAAATGACTGTTGTCAAAGAGGTTTGTTTCAAGATGTGCTTTAAAGATAGACAATGAGTGGCAGAGGAAGGGTGGAGGGCCAAAGGCATGGTCAAAAAGAAGGGCCTTGGAGTTCAGCTCCCAGGAGATCCCACTTACCTCAATTAGAGAAGAGTGTGTTTGGAGTATAAGGGATCATTAGAGGGGGCAAATAATTGGAGTTTCCACAAAACAATTGTAATGAAGAAGGCCCTTCAGCCCATTTGATCTCATTCTTCCAGAATACCCACCCAATCATCTCCTATCACATCAAGAAGCTTCTTATTACATTTCCTGGTAACCCTGTTACTGTGCGTAAGTTATCCTCTGTGTAAACAAATACTTCCTGGTGGAGAGTCCTGAAATTGTCATTGGCAACTCTAAATTCTTACTCTGCTACCTTGGTGATCAGAAAGNTTTTTTAAGTTTACTTTCTCAATCCTATCCTTGAAAACTAAGACTGAAATATATTCAAAAAAAGTTGGTAGTTTCCAAACATTTTGTTTTATGTAATACGATAAATCTAGTCACATGAACGGGAAGGCAACTGCCCTTCCAGAAGGTGCACAATAATAGCAGCGAGAAAACAAGTATCAAATATAACTTCCTCCCACCACTGGATTGATAACTCATTATGTTGAGAATTTCATTGGAAAAACATATGGCTTCACTTTGTGGCACAGACCACCAGTGCTGGAAGCCAACAGGTTACCATAAGACCATAAGATGTTGGAGCAGGAGTAGGTAATTTGACCCCTCGAGTCTGCCCCACCATTTAATGGCTGATCTTCTAACCTAATTCCATTTACCCGCCCTATCCCCATATCTCTTAATCCCTCTATCCTTTAGAAATCTATCAACCTCAATCTTGAATATGTTCAAGAACTGAGTATCCACAGCCTTCTGGGGTAGAGAATTCCACAAATTCACTACCCTCTAAGTGAAGAAATGTTTCCTCAACACAGTTCGAAAAGGCTGACCCTTAATCTTGAGACTATGATCCCTAGTTTTAGATTCTTCAACCAGGCGAAACAGTCTCACAGCATCTACCCTGTCAAGGTTTCTATAAGATCACCTTTAATTCTTCTATATTCTAGAGAATATAGGCCTAGTTTACTCAACCTATCCTCATAGGTCAACCCCTCATCCCAGGAACCAACCTAGTGAATCTATGCTGCAACCCCTCTAAGAGGAGTATGTCCTTTCTTAAATAAGGAGACCAAAACTGCACACAATTTTCTAGGTCCGGTCTCACAAAGGCCTTATACAACTGCAGCAAGACTTCCCTACTCTTGTACTCTAACCATTTTGCAATGAACTCGAACATGGCATTAGCCTTCCTCCAACATGGCATTAGCCTTCCTCCAACATGGCATTAGCCTTCCTATGCTGGACTTTGTTTGCTTCGTTACCTGTTTGCTTGGTTCAAAACCGAGTTTAAATTTTCCCAAAATACACATACCAATCACTGCAATTAATTCCAACTGGTACCAAGAAAACATATAGTGACATTAACCAAATAATTGTTTCATTAAAGTTATATTTAATATAACTAAGTTTACTTTCTCTTTCCAAAATTCCACAAAACTGTGGGCGGGTCCACAAATATACGGTCAATTCACTTTACAGCATATCCTTTGAAGCGCTTTGAGGCTTCTGGAAGACGTGAAAAGCACTATATCAAATGCAAGGATTATTTATTACTATATTAAACTCTTCGGTGCTGTGTTTTAACTTTTTTTCTGAAGTCCACTGAACCTGTTTTTTTTAAGAATACGAGGCAAGAAGGATACTGTATTGAGCCCCGGTATCATCCCAACAGTTGGGAAGGTCCCTCCTTACCTGTTCCCTTACTTTGTATTCTCGCTTGATTCATCCCATCACTTTTTGGACCCAGATGGGAGAGGGAGATGTCAAGCCGGGGTGGGGTGGGGTGGGGTGGGGAGGGGGGAAACACCTGTAAACTTGGCTTCTCTTGACACTTCCCTTCCTTCTCACCCCATGTTTGAGTTGAACGACGACCGCAATCCTTGCATTTGACACAGAAACTCTTCGGGTCGTCGAGACGTCTCCCGAGCGCCTCCGCGGGACACGGCGTAAAGCGGACTGCGTGTTGCGTGGGCGAAAATGAAACTTTTGCGGTACGTCCCTGAACGGAACTTAAACCGAGACATAGTAATAACAACAACAACAACAACAACAAAGGGGGGAAATCCAGTTAGTGCTGATAACCAATGGGACTTCAATAATGAAGGCAACCGGACGTTATATTTAATGGGGGAGGAGGGGAGGGGGGGGGTGGGGGGGGGCAGCAGCTGTGTTTTTTTAATGCATTTGCAGTTGCAAATAGGAGGTTATAATTACAAGAGGTGTCCTGTACACAAACCGTGTTGTTGGGAGCGGCCTCTCGGGCCCTCACAGGGCCCACACCGGGCCCTGGCGCCGCGGCCTCGCCTCTCGCTCTTACCGGGTACAGGTGAAGCACAGCGCAGATGAGGAACACCACGAAGGTGATGGCGAAAATGGCGAAGTCCAGCATTTTGTGTGTGTGAGCGACACCGAGAGAAGCCGCTGCTCCAGAGCCGCCGCCGCCGCCGCCTCAACCACCTCAACAGCAGCCACAGCGCCGCCTGCACTGCGCACAGCCCCCGCCAGGGGCGCCAGCACTCACAAGGCATTGCAGCCCAAAGTCGCCCACTACCAGCCCAATAATAATAATAATAATAATAATAATCCTTGCATTTGATACAATAATAATCCCCGCATTTGATATAGCACCTTATCTTACCTTAACTGCTTATCTTACCTCTGCCGCCTCGGCCTCCTTGACCTCTCTGCCGCCTTGGACACCGTCGACCAACTCTATCCTCCTCCACCGCCTCTCCTCTCACCTCAACCTTCACGGCGCTGTCCTTGACTGGTTCAGATTGTGCCTCTCACACCGCCTCCACTTCATCTCCACAAACGGCTTCTCCTCCGGCCCCCGCACCGTCTCGTGCGGCGTTCCTCAGGGCTCTGTGCTTGGTCCCTTCCTCTTCAATATCTCTATGGCGACATCATAATAATAATCCTTGCATTTGATATAGCGCTTTTCACGTCTTCTAGACGTCTCAAAGCACTTCAGAGTATACTGTAAAGTGAATTGACTGTATATTTGTGGGCGAAATGCGGCAGCCAATTGCGCACGGCAGTGTCCCACAACCAGTCGTGGATTGATCATCCGCAGACATGGGGTCAACTTCCACATGTATGCGGATGACACCCAACTCTACCTCTCTGCCTCCACCCTTGACTCCAGGACCACAGGTCCTGACAGAATGTCTGTCGCACATCAAGTCCTGGATGAGAGCTAATTTTCTTCAGTTGAACGTCAACAAGACCGAAGCTCTCCTGATTGGCTCCCATCAGCGCCTCCACGCCTCAGATGCTGACAGCATCACCATCCATGGTTGCACATCCACCTTGTTAAGCCAGTCTGGAACCTTGGGGTCTTATTTGACCTTCAACTATCCTTTTTACCCCACATCTGCGCCATGACCCGCTCTGCCTTCCCTCACCTCCGCAACGTTGTCTGGCTCCTGCACTGTCTCACACCGCAGGCCGACGAAACCCTCATACATGTTGTGCGCAATTGTCTGCTGCATTTCTCCCACAAAAGTCAATTCACTTTACAGTATATTCTGTGAAGCACTTTGAGACATTTCAAAGACATGATAAGATACTACATCAAGTACAAGGATTATTATTATTTATTATTATTTATCAAATCGTTGAGACGTCTCAAAGCTCTTACTGGAAACCTGTAAAGTGGAGTGACTATTTTGTGGGTGGAAGACAGTAGCCGATTTGCACATAACAATGTCCCACAATCAGCCATGGAGTGAGTGACAACGTTTAGAATAATAATAATCCTGCATTTGATATAGCGCCTTATGTCTTGTACAGTGATTTGACTGTAAATTTTTGTATATTTTTGACTGTATATTTATCTAGGGGATTGTTGGCCAGGGCACCGGGATAAACTCCCTTTCTTTTTGAATAGTGACAAGGGATCTTTAACATCCACCTGAACAGGCAGACAGTTGGTTTAACGTCTCATCCAAAGTAGCCCAATATCTTGCGTTGCCTGCCTATGGGTAGCAGCAGTGGCCGATTTACATTTAGTAAATCTTTTTCAAACTAAGAAAAGGTCTTCAAAGGGAGTAAGAAATACCTTCTGTAGGCTTACATTTTTTAAAAAAAACATTAGGTGCTAGCCCAAAGTGTTCTTTTACACAGGCACAGCACAACAGAAATACAAACCCACCCCGACCTGGCCACATCGCCACCCAAGCGCTTCAACCAGTGTCAACATAGCAATAGCTCAAGTGACACAGATCTGAGCATGTGAGACAATCTGAAATCCTATCTGTCTCGCTCTATGATTGTGTGTGTGAGAGAGACAGGCAGGCTGAGACCTGACTGTGTGTGTGAGACAGGCTGAGATCCTGTCTGTCTATGTGTGTGACAGGCCAAGACCCCGTTTGTCTGTGTGTGAGACAGGCTGAGAGAGAAGCTGAGATGCTGTCTGTCTGTGTGTGTGACAGGCCGAGGCCCTGTTTGTCTCTGTGTGAGACAGGCTGAGAGAGCTGAGACCCTGTCTGTCTGTGTGTGATATCTGCCTGTGAAACAGGCTGGGTTTCTGTCTGTGACAAACTGGGTCTCACAGATAGTCTGAAGCATCTATAATTTAATTTCCATCAACTTTTCTCATTCATCCCTTTTTATCAGATTCTATCTGATGAGTGGCCAAGCCTTTCAAAGCTGTCAACACTTCTCGAATATTACAAATGAGATTATTAGTATTGTAACAATAAATGCAAATCACAAAATGATTGAAATAGGAAGCTGTGTTTATTCTTCACAGTGATACTCTTTACAGTTCTAATCCCAAATGAATATTTCTCACTTGAAACAAATGAGACTTGACAGGACTACCACTGAAGAGGTGAACAACATGTAGTGTGCATCAGAACAGAGTGTGGTTATATTTAAATACACTGACAGCTTGAGAGACCCATAATCCTACTACTGTTGATTCCTGTTTGCTTACTATTCAAACTGCAGCCTGGATCAAAGGATTTCTTTTGAATCCTTTCATTGATTTTTTTCTGTCACTCATTTCACAACAGCAATATGGACCAATTATAACCACACTCACTGAAACAATCTGGTAGGTTGATATTTCACGTTGAGGAGCTTGGGATCCAGAAAATAACTTGCACTACTTTCCCAAACCATGTCTCCAAGATTCCCTTCAGGCCTATGTTCCACACATGACCCCCAACTTTTATCTTTATAAATCCTTGCCCATGCATCTCTACTTCAAGCACTTTGAATCAATATTGAAACACCATGACAGCAACTGGCTGATCAGCACCTGTTCTCTTGTTTAATTTCTGGTTTATTTTGATTTCATTTTGCACATTAATTTCTTAATGGTGCAATGTCTCAGTATTGGTGATTAAATCAGCATTTCAGAATGCATTCAGAGGCAGAATCAAATGTAACGAATGCTCACACTGCTCCCATCTCAAAGCTCCTCAATCTGAATTTTGGGCAGCACCACTCCTTTGTAGTGTGATCTGATATTATATTCATCTCCAGGATACAAATTGAACTTTCAGAGCAGGCCTGATGGGATAATGAATAGAGGTGCAGCTGATGGACTGGAACCTCACTGTTTCAAATCACAGTCCATGCTAAATTTGCTGGTTTAGGTTAAAATCAGCCAGGTGTTATGGCTCTGGTCCCTGTTTAGCAACCTTGACTGCCCGGGCACCTGTGGAATAACCAGGTGGGGAGAGATAAGGAGAGGCTATGACACCCTCTACAGCCTGCAAAGATTCAAACATGAAGAATGTTCACTTGGGTGGTATGACAGAAAGCAACTGGTGTCGGAGGAATTATATCCTTCGATGATGCTGGATCCCAGGAGCCAAAAGGATGCACGAATTGGGAGAAAATTATTAAGCTTAATGGACCCAGTTGGTCATCACTTTGTGGCTGTTTGTAGGGCCTTGCTGAATGATAAGTAGCTACCACATTTGCCTAAAAATACAGTCAATATATATCTGATAGCCATTACTTGTGAGGCGGTTTGAGATGCTGACACTTTAGGCGTTATATCAAATGCAAAGTTTTTTTTGAGAGTCTAGGGTTTGCATCAAACAATCCCAAGTCTGCTATTCATCACAGCCCAGATACAGAAGTAGCCTCCTCTGCTCAACTGCACCAGTGTTCCTCATCAGACAACCCCTATGTTCTTCGCTTCCCCTCCAGCTACCCTGCGGCCCTCTGAGGGATGCTGACAGTTTTGTGTTCGGAACTCATACCCATTGGGATCTGGATTGAGACTCATTTCACGTGGGACCCATAAGGGACCCCAATGACAAGCAGAGAGAAATGATTTTCACCTAATTACCAGCAAAATGCATCGTCACTAGACTTTACAGGAAATCCTGTGAAGGGCTTTGATATGTCTCAATGACATGATCTGGGGCTATAGCAAATATAGTACAAGGATCATTATAATCCTAGATTTGAACTCTGACCCATCAGGTCTCTTCAACAGAAACTGTAAAAACCTTTTTCCTCCTAATCGCAACAAAGTCATAGATGGTCTTATGTCAGACATAACGATAAACACTGAAAAAAACATTATAAACAATATTATATAGATGGTTATGCCAAAAATGATCTGAAAGTATCAAACCTATCGAGTCTCACAAAGACATATAAACATTTGTAACAATGAAACAATGCAGAAGTTTTATGTCTGTGTTTTTGTTCTGTCTTCTAGCTCAGGAAACTCATCTGTATCCAGTGCAAACATCAAATCTAGAAAGCAAAAGTTACGAAGCATCAGTACTGAGAAAGTAATCTCGTTTAGCAGATAAATGGGGTAAATGTCACTACAGTATGAATCACTGTGTTCAGTAGTTCATGAAATAGAGAAATCATCAAGTTACAAACTATTGATATGTGATACTGAGGCTGCCCATCAGTACTGTATACCTGCAGAGCCCTATAACACTGAGGCTGTCTGCTAGCGCTGAGTACAGACTTCTATGTGCTGAGATATGTGACAGTGAGGCTGTGTGCTAATATTATGGTCATTCACAGAATCCTGAGATCCCGAGGCTCTGCACTTAGGGGACATGTTTGGAGCACTGAATTGTAATCAATTCCTGTCACACACACTGTCAACGGTAATCAGAAAACACACACCACAGAAGAAATATATATATTAAAAAAATAAAACAGTCAGTAGCAGATCTAAAAGAGAGGTTAGGAGGAACCTCTTTACACAGAGGGTGGTGAGAATGTGACACATTGTCAGAGGCTGTGGTTGAAGCAAAAATCATCAATGCATTTAAAGAAAACTTGATGCATACATGAGGGAAAAGGGATAGAAAGATATAAGAGAGGAGATGGTGGCTCAAATGGTGTATAAACACTGGTAAGGACTATTTGCGTTAAATGGCCAGTGAACTTAATTATCGCATCAGAATCTTTATGAGGTTGTTTGATTACTGACTTGTAATTTTGGGGAGATACTCAGGAACATCAATAACTGTCATTACCTTCAGTGTGATCCAGCAGGGGTTGAGTGGACAGGAAGACCCAGGCCAGCCCGACCAAGAGAGCCACAATAAGGTTCACCACGATCCAGGGATACAAAATGGTAAGCTCTGACCCAGGAGGCCTACGCAGAGGCATATGGCAATGATTAGACTCCTCAGGATTTTGCTACTACAGAAAATACTGTGAAGCGCTTTGAGAAGTACAATGTGGTAAGGCATTAAGATGACTGTTATTACATGCAGTGAAACTTAGGGACGATATTTATGTTAAGTAACGTGGCAATCATCACATCTCAGCACTCAGCCAACTAAAGTAAAAGAGATGACTGGGTATATGGCAGGCCAATCCATTTCGCACTACAAAATTACTTAGTACTGGCTGGATGGGTTGATAATCTGGCGAGTGAAATTGCTTTTGTGGTTTGAAACATTATAATCCAAACCCAAAATACCTCAGCATTTTGATGATGATGTTAATAATAATAATCCTCACATTTGACAAAGCCTATTTCACTTTGGGAAGACGTTCTTAAACTGCTTCACAGGATTGACGCGCTTTGACACGTCTCGAAGACGTGATACGGCGCTACATCAAATGCAAGTATTATTATTGTTAACTGTAAAATGAAGTCATGGTATATTTTGGAGGTGCACATTTAGGTACTTTGCCTCAGTTGGTTGCACTCGCTCCTCTGAGTCAGAAGGTTGTAGGTTCAAGCCCAATGTCTGGACTTCAAACTCACAATCTAGGCTGATGCTCCAGAGCAGTGCAGAGAGTAGTAGTACTCAGTGTGGTCCAGCAGGGGGTGAGTGGATAGAAAGACTCAGACCATTTGATGCAGTACTCTGTATTTTCAGAGACGCCATTCTTCAGATGAAATGTTAATAACAACTTGCATTTATATAGCACCCTTCATGCAGGGTAGAGGCATTTAAATCAAGACCCTGTCTCCCTGTTCAGATGGATATTAAAGATCCCATGACACTATTCAAAAAGAGAATTAAATTTTAACAATCTCCCAGATAAAATTGGTCGTTCACTTCATGTCTGATTGTGGGACAATGCTGTGGCGCAAACTGGCTTCCGCATTCATCTACAAAAATACAGTCACTGGACTTTACAGCAAATCTTGTGAAGTGCTATGAAATGTCTACACTTTGTGATAAGGATTATTTCATTCATTGATTAATTCCATGGAAATTACAGTACAGGAGAGGTGTGGTCTGTTGCATTTTACCAGATGGTGATGTTGCGTATAGGTGCACGTGTTGGCAGTGTTATTGGTGGAAGCGTTGGCACTGGTTCCCCTGGCACCAAGTAGAACTGAATCCTGTCGCTTAACTGCTGTTGGCTCACAGTGAGTATCAGGGCCATAAAGTAAACTGTAGAGACAGAAGGGAAACAATAGAATAAGCAGCATTCACCAAAGTTATTATTGCGGTTTGTCTAACACAATCAAGTGAGAGACCTTGGTTCGATTCCTGGGAGGGCGAAACATTGGGCAGGTTTTCTTACTCCACACGCCTCTGGTTACCTAGTAGTAAGTAGGAACCCGGTTGTTAGTCGATTGGTGGATCGTTTTTCCGGGGATAATAAATCCTTCAAAAAAAAATAAAAAAAATTGGTCACTGAATCCACGGCGGTTTATGTGACACTGCTGTGCGCAATTGGCTGCCATGTTTTGCCCACAAAATATACAGTCAATTGACTTTACAGTATATTCTGTGAAGCGCTTGGGATGTCGTGAAGATGTGATAAAGCGCTATATCAAATGCAAGAATTATTATTATTATTTTCTAAAGCAAAAATGTCACCATCAAAAACGCTGGTCAAAAATTAATCATAATTGATTGAAAAGGGTTTGATTCTTAGAACTATGTGCCAGTTATGGTTCTGAGAATCCACTCTGATGGGTTTACCTTGTCGGCAACAGTAATAATAATAATAATTATCCTTGCATTTGATATAGCACCTTATCACGTCGTTGAGAATCTCAAAAAGCTTCACAGAATATATCGTAAAGTGGGTTGACTGTATATTTTGTGGGCGAAATGCAGCAGCCAATTTTAGCCACAAACCAACAAGCCATTTAAGAAAACCATGTTCCCATGCAAAAAGGAACAAATCATAGCTGTGCGTAAAAACTCTCCTGGTTTGTCAAATCAACTCAGACTGGTTTCTGACCTACTGGCTGCTCCATTATATGTAACTCATTGCTTCTGATCCACCGATAATAGTTTTCAAATTCAATTCAACTTCATATCTCCTTTCAGCGCTTCACAGAATATAATGTAAAGTGAATTTGACTGTATATTTTGTAGGCGAAAAAGTAGACGGTACAAGGATATGGCACCAACTACAAATGTATGGCATTTCAGTGTTGCGCTTTAGATCCAGACTACATTCAAATCAAAGGTGAAAGGACAGTATTTTAATTCACTAACACCCAAGTTGGATTCAAATTGGTCTCGGGGGAGAAAGTTCAAATCTTCCAGGCTACTTGCTATCCAATCTCTCCCAGTCATGTCAGAATTTGAAATAGCTGATTGTAAATGACTGAAAAGACGTGAGGTTGATTGCATTAAACATGTAAGAAAATAGGCTGAAACTGCAAATATCCACACACTGGAAGCACTTACAGAAAGAGGCCCAAGCAGCAGGGTCCAGCGTTATAATACCACGCACCAACATTGTTGTTTTAGCCAGATTAATCCTGGAGAAAGGAGAGCAACAAAAAAAAGGCAAGTGAAGCACAGTACAACATTAAAGTTAACCCGATTCGTTTACTCCATCCCAGCATCTGCAGTCTCTAACTTTCCTCACATTGAACAACTTAATTTACGTTAATTTACTGACCTCATTACTCACAACATTCTAGAAACACTTGGGTCTAATTTGCAAGAATAAGAAAAATAATTCATAAATCGGGATCAGTGACGAAGGAAAGCTCCAGGGGATCAGCCTCTGGCATATCCTGGTACCAGCAGGATTCACCAGTTGTGATTCCTTTTCTGAGTCTCATAGATTTCCTGCATTCTTTTACATTGTTGATTTGTCCAAAGCATCATTGAAACTTCTACGTGCCAGCAGTGCTGCCCCATTTACCCCATGTGTTGTACAGGATGTGATTCCAGAGCACTGGTGCTGCTTCCCACCTGGCCAACAAATCTCCCAAATAAGAATGGCCACTCAATCCATGGCTGTTTGTGGGATATTGCTGTGTGCAAACTGGTTGCTATGTTTCGCCCACGGATACATAGTCAAACCACTTCACAGCATATCCTGCAAAGCACTTTGAGACGTCGCAACAATGTGATAAGGCGCTGTATCAAGGATTATTATTATGATATTATAAAAGATATGGTTTATGGCCCAGAATCTTTTGTAGAATCACTTGCAGCTTGGTCTGACATTTTGAGAGCAATTCTCTCACCACAATGGAAAACCCCGTCTAATTCAAGCGCTCTGAGACGCCGTCCGGCGTGGAGGGCGCTATACAAATCCAAGTTGTTGTTGTTGTTGTTGTAATTCTCTACGTGGTGGTAAATTTACTGACCTCAGTGCCTGGAGGTTGTAACATTCAATAAGATCTCTCCTCAAGCTTCTCTTTGGTGTTAATATCAATATTATAAATTCACCCCACCAAATGCAATTAAATTTCAACAGTAATACAATAAGTTATACAATAAGACATGCATCTTAAATACTTTATACCAAGTATTTTGAATACAGTAACTGGATGCAAATAATTGAGATATTTAATAAAATAACCAAATAAATGGCTTTCCATCAATTTTACACTACAGTATTTAAATATTCTCCCCGGAACTGTATGGAAATGCAGAATGAAATTCCCCTAGTCTCATTCAGAAATGGAAAATGCACTTTGCTGTGAAATGAATCACAGAATAATTCTGTACTGATACCACAACAACCTTTCACAGACATAAATCAATGTTATTTTCGTGCCCTGTGGAACTGACGTGAGCACTGTTTTCAGTTCAGCTAGACGATAGACTACAAGGCTGCATATTTCACCTCAAGCTTCAGATGACGTCTGTGAACCACTTGAGCTTTGCTCCTGTGGTGCATCATTATCTGAAACGACTGAGTAAAATCTCAGGAGTATTACTGATTCCAAACCATCTGCAGTGCCACACATCTCCTGATGTAAATTACGAATCATTGACGCAGGATGTCTCATTGTGTGCAATGAAGCACAGCCAGATGTCTCAGATGAAAGACTAGTTTGGTACTGGTGTTGCTTTAGGTGCTCGGGACATCAGGACTGAGCCTCCACAGGTAACAAAGGGATCTTCAGTGCAAATCCAAATGCCATTGGAATCTCCTCCCATCTTTCTACGTAGATTACACAAGCCACACACGACACTGACAGAGAGGGCACCCTCACACATTAACTGTCCAATATTCCCCTTGCTTTGCAGAATCTTTTATTCCATGGCAGCAAAGCAATCCAAAGTATTACAAGTAGTGTAAAGGGACACAGATAAAGTTCACATAGTCCGGATATAGTGGAAGGTGGAAGACAACTCGACTGATAGCTGACTTTAGGCATCCAAGTTGTCAGAAGAAGCTATGGAAGCTGGTGATGTTAATACCATAGATAAGAAGTCTCAAGAGAGATCTTATTTAAGTATGCAACATCCTAAAGGGGTAAATTATATCTTAATAATATGCTTAATGTAGCCAAAAAATACAGAACAAGAGTTCACAGACTCATGCTCTAAAGAGACACAGTGAAAAGGCAATGTAGATTTTTATTGACTTTATAGAGTGTGGTGAATAAGTACAATGGACTAGTTAGGAAGGAGGTGGAAGCAGATCACAACAGTAAATTCAAGAGGAAATCAAATCGCAATTTAGCAAATTCAATTGAGCGATATGAGCAAGCTGTGAGACAGATAAGACATCAGAGTTGTGTAGGGATGAAACCTACTCCACCATACATAGTGAGTTGTGGTTGGTGGGAGGAGTTCATAAGTCAGTGCCAATCGGATACACCAAACCACAAATATCCACTGTTTTTCCATTATATTTCCCCTACCTGTCAAATGCAGCTACAGTGCTGATGGTGATCAACAGGTAAAGTAGGCACTGATTGGGGTAGGCCAGCTTTCTGTAGTTCTCCAGCAGATTGTTGGTAGCAGAAAGATTATGGCCAGCGAGCATGTAAATAACAACGATATTCCACACTGCATATCCAGCCAGAAATCCATTTACAAAGAGTCCAATTACCCTAAAAGCAAAGTAAATCTGGGTTTAACATTACACACAAATGAGGTTTGCCGGTCTTCATCACATAACTAGAAACAGATGTCCTATAAAAGTTAATGAAAACAAACTGATACACGCATATAAGAGATAGGAGTGTGATCTTATGCTACAAATGTTCACCCATCTCATCCAATGAACATAAGAACATAAGAAATGCTAGACAAAAAAAAGACCAAGGTCCATCTAATTTGCCTTCCACCTTTCTTGCATGCAGTGAAAGATTAATACACCTCAAATCATACCATCTATCCTTTGGATGCAACATTAAACCAATAATAATAATAATAATCCTTGCATTTGATATAGCGCTTTTCACGTCGGGAGGACGTCCCAAAGCGCTTCACAGAACACACTGTAAAGTGAATTGACTGTATATTTGTGGGCGAACGCGGCAGCCAATTGCGCACAGCAATGTCCCACAAACAGTCGTAGATTGAAAATGACCAATTTATTATTGTTTTTGGTTTTGGAGGGATTATTATTAGGCTCTGTGTGGAGTAAGGAAACTTGCCCAAGGTTTCGCCCTGTGCCTGGAATTGAACTCAGGTCTCTCGCTTGGAAAGCGAGTGCTCTAACCACTGAGCTACAGGACTCCAATGTCCTGGAACCAAGGTCCCGTCTGCCTGTTCAGGTGTTTACTAAATCCCATAAAACAATTCAAAAAGAGAAGGAAGTTTCTCCCGGTATCCTGGTCCACAATCGTGCAGATGAATTTGAAATTCACATCATGGCTGCTTGTGCGACTGCTGTGCACAAAAATTGCTACTGCCTTTACCCACTAATGCAAAGTCACTACATTTCACAGCAATTCTCTGGGAAGAATTTTGAGATATTTGATGTTAGCAGCACTAGTGAAAGGATCAGCCACTATACCCCGAGGCTCTGGAACTCCCTTCGCCTCGTCCCCTCTCTTCCTATTTTCAGGTCTCGGCTGAAGACCTTTCTTTTCGACCGCGGCTTTGGTCACCTTCCTCCCCCTCCCCCTGGCTCGGCCCCGGGATCCGTTACTATGAAGCGCTCTGAGACACCATCCGGCGTGGAGGGCGCTATATAAATCCAAGTCGTTGTTATTATTATCATCTGATCCCAATATTATTATCTGATGGACAGGCAGAAGGGATCTCAGTTGAATGTCTCATCCGATAATTCTTCATGTAAGAGTCGACAGATCAACAGACCCAAAATCTGTGGTCGGCATTGCACTCCAGCTTGCTCTCAGTAAAATAAATCACCTCCCCCGATAACCATCAGCAGTAGAAAAACTGCCAATTTTCCCCTCCTTCGCTCAGCGACACTGAAGCTAACATTAACAACTACATAATAATAATATAATAACATTAACACCTACATGATTGCCCTGACTGAGACAAGTTAATTCAATACAGTTCAGGGTTAGAACCTGGAGTCTTCCTGGCCTGTAAAGCTCAGAGCTACAAAGTCACACTGCACAGTGTGATTTTATATTCACTACCAACCACTTCCATCAGCTACTATCGCTAAACAACCATGTGCTATTTGCTCTTACCCAAATCCACGATACATCTGTAAAGCAACATCTTTCGTTGACCAGGACTTCACTTCCATATAAACATCGATTGGTTCGGAGGTTTTTACTAGATCTGCCCTGTCAGTGGCCTGGAATCGACCTGAGGAAAGGAGAGGACATCAAAAGGCTTAGAAATGGAGCAGAGCATCAGTGCGCTGGCACTGCAGGTCACTCAGAACTGGGCAAATGGGGCTCATAGCTGCCACTTCCCATGAGGCAAGCTCCTGATCTCAGCTACACTAGCAGAGGACTAGAGGTAAGACAGTTCTGGGCACCTTACTTCAGGAAAGACATTAAGGCACTGGAAAGGGTGCAGAGGAGATTCACGAGAATGATACCAGGAATGGGGAACCTTAGCTATGAGGACAGGCTGGAGAAGTTAGAATTTTTCCCATTAGAGCAGAAAAGGTTACGCGGGGACCTGATAGAGGTCTTCAAGATCATGAAAGGTTTCGACAGGCGAGATAAGGAAAAGCTGTTTCCGCTGGTAGGTGTGTCTGTGACCCATGGTCACAGTCTTAAGATATCTACCAAAAGAAGCAGAGGGGAGGTTAGAAGAATTTTTTTCACTCAGCGAGTTGTTCGAATTTGGAATGATCTGCCTGAAAGGCTGGACTATGGGAACTCTCTCCTCGCCGGCCTTCCTGGCACCTCCCTCCACAAGCTGCAGGTCATTCTTCAGGACCACATCACTCCCACCCTCGCTCGCCTCCACTGGCTCCCCATCCCCCAGAGGATCGATTTCAAGATCCTCATCCTCACCAACAAGGCCATTCACGGCCTTGCTCCCTCCTACCTCTCCGACCTACTATCCCCCTACCTACCTGCCCGTACCCTCCGTTCCTCTGGCTCCGGTCTGCTCCACATCCCCCGCCCAACCGCCCTACCATCGGTGGCCGGGCCTTCAGCCTCTCAGCCCCTAGGCTCTGGAACTCTATCCCCCAGTGCCTTCGCCTTGCCTCCTCCCTTTCCTCCTTCAAGGCCGGTCTCAAGACCTTTCTCTTTGACCGTGCCTTCAGCTCCCCTCTCGACTCTCTACCCCCTCCTCGCTCCCTCCCTTCCTTCCCCTCACCCTGACCATTTCCCCCTTGCTCGGGTCCTGACCCAACTGTACAGCACCTTGGGACGTCCTCCTGACGTGAAAGGCGCTTTATAAATGGAATCTTGTTGTTGTTGTTGCTCTGTCAAAGAGCCGGCACAGACTCTTTGGGCCGAATGGCCTCCTTCTGTGCCGTAACATTCTATGAATCTATGAAATAAAGACGTCTCAATGAGGGGGAAAAGCACCACCCAATCGAGCAAACTTCACTGGAAACGAAAACATGCCACTGATTGGAACTGAGGCTCACTGCAGTACAAAGAAAGATTTGTCTCTGGTTCACCTTCCTCCAGTGAAAAGCCATTGACAAATGGAGATGGCATCCAGTTAATGGGATCCTGCTCTTCATAATTTATTGAATAATAATCCTTGACTGAAATTACTGAGGAGCACATGAGATAATGTCACATATGCTGTGATCACCTATCCCCCTCACTCGAATCCTGTGCTGGAGCCTGCAAACACCAGCATTGAACAAAAAACAGATCCAGAATGGCACCCGACCATCAGGTAATTTCATTCCTGAGCTGATCTTTGGCCTCCAACACCTCTCGTTTTCTCAGTCTCTGTTTCAGCACAAAACTTGTGTGGCCGGAGCAAACGGCAACCTCTGGGAGTTGGGTATAAGTGATATCACAGCCAAAATGCATGGCACTGCCCACAACACATGATGAGGTTACTGCTGTGTCTGCCAGAGGCCAGGCAGCTGTCTCGAAACCCATCAATACCCATACTTCCTGAAATAAGAGTTCACTGTTCCCTAAACTCTCTCTATTATACTCCATGAAATAGGCATCACTATTTCACTATTCCTCAAAGTAAACCTACGGTTTCTCTCGAGAAACACTTTGTCCACAGGGTGGCTGGTCCCAGGAGATATTGCAAAGAGAGGCCCGTGAGGTCGAGGTGGCAATCCATCGCTAATGATGTCATCTTCCTCCACTCCAAGCTCATTGGTGTACTCGAGCTCCGCTAGCCGGCTCTTCCTGTTTGGGTTTTAAACAGACCTCTTGTTTAGGATCGTAATCCTGCACTTTCAGTGTTTTATAACAACACTACAAGATACCTGCTTGTATCTAAATAAAGGGATGTAAAAATTGCTACAGGCTTTCACCACTGTAAACCATCTACAACAATCAATTACATTGAAGTGCAGTGACAATTATGTAGCTAGAAGCAGCAGCTAATCTGTGACAGCAAACTTCCTATAGCAGCAATGAGATGAATAAGCAACTGAGTAACTTATGTGTTGTTTGGTGAATTTAGATGAGGAGGCAATATTCCTCATTGTGCACAGCAATTCCCACAAACATGGCTCTTTGTGAGACATCGCTGTGTGCAATTGGCTGCCGGGTTTCACCCACAAAATACACTGTTAAACCATTTTACAGTCGAAGCATTTTGAGATGTCTCAACCACATGATAAGGCGCTATATCAAAGTTGTTATTATAATATTCCTTGCTCTTGAAGCAGTGCAGTCAAATCTTTATTCCCGCCTGAACCATCAGAAGTCCTGTAGCTCAGTGGTTAGAGCACTCGCCTTGTAAGACACCTGGGTTCAATTCCTGGCAGGGCGAAACCTTGGGCAAGTTTCCTTACTCCACACAGAGCCTAATAATAATCCCTCCAAAACAAAACAATAATAAATTGTTCATTTTCAATCTACGACTGCTTGGGGGACACTGATGTGCGCAATTGGCTGCTGTGTTTCGCCCACAAATATACAATCAATCCACTTTACAACATATTCTGTGAAGCGCTTTGAGACATCTAGAAGACGTGAAAAGCGCTATATCAAATGCAAGGATTATCATTATTATTATAACAGGCAGAAGCTATCTTAGTTTATCATTTCATTTGAAGAGTTGACAGATCAGCAGGATAACAGGGTAAGGAGCATGGGCAGCATGAATTCCAGAGATTCTGAGGAGAGGAGTCAGCAAGTGGAAAGGGTAATGAGGTCTGACTCAATAACATATGATGGACTTGCACACATTGGGTACACATCACTTACTTGGCTCTCTTCCTGGTTTTACGGATCAATTCCCCCTCTGTCTGATTCTCCTCTTGTCCAGTGTACACATATGAGCCATCAGAAACACTTTGTTGGCTGATGGTGGTTTCCAAATCTACAAAATAAAACAGGAGCAGTTAAGAGTGATGGTCTCAAAACTCACACTCAGTTTTAATTTTTACTCTTTATATTCTTTCAATCCCAAAATGCTCAAATTATATAATAATAATTACAATCCTTGTATTTGATATAGCGCCGCATCACATTGATGAGACATCGCAAAGAGCTTCACGGAAGTAGATTGACTGTATATTTTTGGGGCAAAAAGCGGCAGCCGATTGTGCACAGCAGTGTCCCACAAACAGTCATGGATTGAGTGACTGTAATAAAGAGAGGAATGTGTGTGTGTGAGGCACATAGCTTGCAGCTTGGAAAAACAGGAAGATTGTACTACACATCAGACAAAGCAACTAAGAACCAAACGATCGGCCTGATCAAAGAAAGACCTCGTAAAAATACCAGTAATAAGCAGGAAGTAGCAGAGCAGTAAAAGCAAGGTTAAGATTAAGGGAAGTAACGCAACAATAGAAGAAAGAGATAAGGGCAGAACCTTATGAAAGGAGGGGGGCCCACAGGAAAGATGATCTCACATATCTGGAGATCAAGATAGTACTGTTCATCCCTGGATGATTAGAAGACTACTTCAAATTGGAACAGGAACAATACGCTACAGGACTCCGCTACATACTAAAATTACACAACCATTCTCGGGACTTATTTGATCTTCTCAGAACTTCTGAGTAACAGAAGTTTTAAAGAATGCTACACTGGTTTAACTACAGAGCTCAAAAACAGGGGCACTAAATGAGCCCAGAGATAGGGTGAGCTGTCACCAACCAAACTATGGTCTCTGAAAATATCCCTTGGTTGAATTGTTCTAGATATAAGACTGACTTATAGACTGTTCTAGATATAAGACTGACCAGGTGCTGGAAGTGACTTTCTCTTCTTCTTTTTCTTCTGAATAGGATCTAACGTCACAGACCCTCTAGCCTCAGACAAACGTCTCCCTGTTGATACGGCCGACTCTGAAAGATGACATGAAGCAGTGGATAGGTGTCAAAAGGTCATGCAGGTCAACAATTTAAGGTAATAATGCACCAGTTAGCTTCTGTTATGTCTAATCAAAAAAGAAGTTCCATCTATGCTGGCTTGAATCAAATCAGGGCAGGAGATTGTTCCACTAAATAAGAACATAAGAGTATAAAAATTGCTAGACTAAAGAAGACCAGGTCCATCCAGTTCGCCTTACCACCATTCTGGCAGTTGTCATGTACTTGTCATGCCCCAAACTATATTCTGTATCCCGAGATATTATTTCCTACCAGAAATCCAAGAGACAAATATTTGGACATCGCAGAAGACGTAATAAAATAAATCAAGTGTTTTATTTGTTGATTGGAAATTCAGACTGAAACCCCAAATTTCATATGATTAGAAATATTTAAATACAATCACTGTGTTCAGGATCTGGCGTGTGCATATAATAAAAAACAGACAATTAAACAGTTGCCCCTAAATAATCCAATCTACAGATCAACATTGGACATTTCCATCCAACAGAGTGCACTAGAAATTCCAACAGGGTACACTCGAATCCCGAGCTGTGCTCATCCAGCCTTGGTGAGAACATGTCCGTGTTCATCTACAAACCAGAAGAGTGTTCACTCCCTCTCTCCAGCTGTGGGTTTGTATTACATTGTGGATATGTGCACTACTGTGCAGTTATCTATAGCACTGTGCAGTGGCTTACCTACTCCATTCGTAGATTTGGTTTTTTTCTTTCTAGGTTTGCTCAAAGGGATTTCTGGATGAAAAGAACAAACAATTGAACTGGTTTACACATGCAGACGTTATCAAGACCGGTAGGAACAATTTAGAGCTTTACACACCAAAATTGCTTAGCCTTTTAAGCCAAAGCAAAGCCTAGGAAGCAGCTACAAGACAATGGCATCTTTGCCATTATACCAGCAATATGTTGTGCACAGCAACAACAAATTACATCTGTAAAGCACCTTTCATGTCAGGAGGAGGTACAAAGTCGCTGGACAGTCAAAATTTGCACCCGAGCTGAGGGTTGGAATCAGGAAGGGTGGAGAGTAAGAAGATGTGGTTGAAGAAGAGTCTTGAGACGGGCCTTGAAGGAGACAAGGGAAGGGCCAAGGCTAAGAGACTGTGGGATGGAGTTCCAAATGGTGGGAGCAGAAAGGCTGAAGGCCATACCGCCGATGGTGGGGCAGGCCAGATAGGTGCATGATACAGCAAGTATAATGGCTGTAACCAATGTACAAGATGCAATGTACAAATCCACCTGAGAAAGCGATGTCTTCAATGGTAAGGAGGACACTAAATAACTGGGAGATCTTGTCAGACTTCTTAGAATATCTTATGAGTCACACTTCCAGTTTTAACCTCCAGCCTTTTGCATTACTTCAATGACATTTCCACAAAATGGTTGAAGCTATCTCTACTTATTGCAAATGAAACCCTTGAGGAACATTAATTATATCAATAATTGCAACTGGAATTTCCTGTAAGTAAATACATTCTTACCCACAGGACACTTCCAACATGTTTATATCCAAATGATAACCCTCCCTTCCCCCCCCACCATATAACATGTAGCACAGTTTCTGTTATCTCTATATGTTCAAAACATCAAAGAGTTGACAATTCAATAAAATTTCCACAGAAGAAACATCAATAAAACCATCTGATCAAGTTTTAAAATTAATTTGGTAATTCTGTCCACCACCTTCTCTCCTCAGATCCTTCTCCATGCTCCACACCCCCATCCTTCTCCCACTTGACGAAGATAATTAAAGCCTAGCCCCAGGCCTCCACCAACTCATCAGCTCAGAATGCTTGAAAATTTTCTGAATGTCTCTTCTTTAGTTACTGAAAGGAAGCACCAGGCTGCTACTCTGCACTTTTCCCTCATGGTTCAGATGACAATAAGGAGCTGACAGCGTATTTGAATTAGAGGAGAACCAATGTCCCACGATTCTAGGGCACAGTGTCCACATTTCACTGTGAACTCCTAGAACACTGAACACAACCTCTGCAATACACCTCCCTTCTCTGAAGATCATATGAAGAAGTACCCCTTTATTATCTCAACCAAACAGATGTATGATACTGGACAGTGAGGGTCAACAAAGGATTTAGCTGTAAATCACAGGCTTCTGTAAAAGTAGTTTCTATATTGCTGAATGTCTACACACACATGTACACACACATAGGCATACAAACACAATTGGATAGGAAGTAGGAACACTGGTCAGCATTTCTCCTCTCATTCCCAGAATCATGGGAGTATAGCTCACACAGAATTATATACAGAAATGTTAAAATCCAAAATAAAAAGTACTAAGCATATCAGCGCTTACCTGTATTCTCGGTGCTTTATTCACAAAAAGCCATGGTAAAAAAAATTAAAAAAGAAAGTAAATAGAAAGCATTGTATATACGCAAAAAAATATTGTTTTTGAGCAGCAATATAAGGCAATAACGCACACATCATTATAAGAGCATAGAGTCATAGGAGAGCAGGAGGAGGCCATTCAGTCCATTGAACCTGTTTCACTAGTTTATTAGATTTTACCAGATTTGTTAATCCCAATGCACGTTCACTACACCCCTAAATCACTACTCCTAAATATATGTTCATCTCTCCTTTAAACATCCTTATTGAATCCCCTTCCACAGCTTTCTGGGACATACGTTTTACAACCCTTTGTGTGAAGAAATGCTTCCTGACCTCAGTTCTAACCACCTTGGTTCTGATTTTAAAAGGATGGTGAAGAGTCTCCACCATTTAAGCTATCAATTCCTTTCATTATCTTAAATACTTCATTCAAATCACCTTCCACTGCTCTATGGCTACTCCCAGTTAACCAGCCCTTCATTACACTTTATGTACAAATGAAGACAGGACCATACAATGCTCATGTTAAGATTTTTTTTGCAGTAGCAGATCAGGAAGTTGTCGGGAGAAGTGCATGGTGTTTGGTGGGACATTTTAGCCAATCCTGCATGTTGGCCAGGGTTCAGGTCAAATATCTATAAGGCTTAGCAAGGTGTGCTATAAATACTGTATACAAAACATCACAGACCAATGACACAGCCAGTAAAATTCCCTTTTGCAATTACTTGTGCTATTTTAACGCTGAAGTAACATTACAATCCCAACAAAGGTGATGCAAAACCTCTCAGCCATAATGTTAATGGGTTATTGTAGCATTCAGCAATAAATAGTTGAGGTAACAGAAGATACAAAGTCCTCGTGGAAAACTCCAAAGTGGAAAAATCCAGAGCCTGTATATGTTACAAATAACAGACCCCTTCCTTCCAGCTGTCTGTTGTTCTGCATAGAGATTCTCTCAGCTCATTTTATAACCCCATGTGGAGATATTTACTATTCCCTATGCACTTGATGGATACTTAACACTTTTGTATTCAACAGACTTACCTTGGTATTGGTGGGAGGGCACGAGGTGTACGCTGGAAGAAAAGCACAGAGAAATATTAGGGCTAGAATCTTGCATGTACATGCTACAAAGGCTTAAGTCGATCACGTTCCCATCTCCTAATACAAGCTCTTCGTCCAGTCATTGCAGCTCTCTAATCTTACAGGAGCGCACAGTGTAATTCAGCTCATAAGCCCTTAGTGCTGTGAGTGTTAAATATAGAAGTGCTGCCCTTTCTTGGTATCTGACTATATCTGTAAAGTACTCTGAGACAATATCCTAAGTGAAGGACGCTAACTGGATAAATGCAACTTGGTTGGTTTCTCTCATTTGCCAACCCATCACCATTTATAAACTCACTCTAATCATTTGCTAACTCACTCATTTGTTCACCTCTCACCAGGTGAAAGTTGTCCCTCAGCATTCTATTTAGCTTAAAAATCCCATCAAATAAAAAAAATAATAATGATTTGGTCATCCATGGCTGTTTCTGGGACTCTGCTGTCTGCATTTGGCTGCCACGTTTTGCCCAAAAATACACGGTCAATCCACTTTGCAACTCATTCTGTGAAGCACTTTGAGACATCTCAATGACGTGATAAGGTGCTATATCCAATGCAAGTATTCTTATTATTCTTATTAGCGGGTGTCTTCACTAATGTGGAGTTTCCCCCCCCATTATTAGTGCTTGCAGTAACTCCTTAAAAATCACCCCTTTAAATTACTTGGTTACTCTTCTCATTATAGTTTGTGGGATGCTACTGGCACAAATTAGTTGTGGCTTTTGGCTCTCTAATATTATCTGCTTTATTTCTATCTAATCTTATTCTGTTAAGTGTATCAAGATGTTTCTTTCATATAATCCCTCCAAAAAACAAAACCATAATAAAATTGGTCATTTTCAATCCAAGACTGTTTGTGGGACTCTGCTGTGCGCAATTGGCTGCCGCATTTCGCCCACAAATATACAATCAATTCACTTAACACTATATTCTGTGAAGCGATTTGAGATGTCTAGAAGACGTGAAAAGCACTATATCAAATACAAGGATTATTATTATTATTAAACTTTTTGAATAGTTCCATGGGATCTGAACAGGCAGACAAGACCTCAGTTTAACATCTCATCCAAAGGAAGACACCTACAACAATGAGTGCACCCCCAGCACTGGAGTATCAGCCAAGAATGGGTGTGTTCTAAGTCACAATATGGGGCTGACCCAGAGGAGTGCTTTCAGATGAGCCAAACTGACACCTAATCTTAATTTGGTTTCTTAATAGTCTCACTTGGTTTCAAAATAGAAAGGAGAGAGAAGTGACTGCAAAGGACTGATACATCTATAAAGCAAATCCAGGAGAAAATGGGAGATGTAGGGAATAAAAGGCAGTGCCGAGCAGGGGCACAAAGTCACACAGCAGGACCGTTTCTAACTGGAAAAGGACTCATTTTAAATCACTCGGCAGTTACGTTTGCTTATATTTCCAGTTGCTGTGAAAGGAAAGCAATGACAAATAAAAATAAATATATAAATAAATCATGTGGTCACTCAATCCACAACTGTTTGTGGGATACCATTGTATGCAATTGGCTGCTGCATTTTGCCCACAAAATATACAATCAATTCACTTTACAGTATATTCCGTGAAGGGCTTTGAAAGGTCTTAATGACGTGATAAGACACTATTTCAAAAGCAAGGTTTATTATTATTAAAAATAAATACTAATATTACTATATAAATAATACTACCAAATACTAATATTCATCAGAATATCAACTACAATATTTCACAATACAATGATCACAATGACACCAACCAGCGATTTCACGAACTGGATAAGAGAGAATCACTGGATAAAAGTTATGGTATGCCGGCAACACTGACTAGTTGCTGGCATACCATAACCTGCTAAAATGCTCGTCTTCCGCAAACAATCCAGACTCACCAACTGTTTCTTTTTCATTACACTCACGTTCCAAGCCAGCCGGCTGCACTTGGAAAGGGTCCTTGCGCCTGCTCTGCATCTCACTAATCCCACACCAAATCTGTCCCCAGCAATATCTGACTCAGGAGATTAGCTGGATGTCTGGTCCATGACACAACCTCTAAAAAGGTAATCAGGGCTCAGAGTCTTAAATACGCTGATGCAGCAAAAAAAAATCCAATGTATTTTCCAGGTTCTTCCACTATGGATGTACCTCAAGTTGCAAGTGAAGGATAGGAATGCATCCATCCAGTATCACTTGTGGATTCAGGTTGCTGGGAAGGACTCGATTCATACAGTTTGTTGCAATAATGAAACAGTATTTTATACCCCGGCTCGGGTGCAAGCTATGCAAAGCACGTTGAGACGTTCTTCCAACGTGAAGCAAAAAAAAAGACATAAAGGTAAATTGTACTCTATTATGGTTATCTGATTCAGTAATTCTCCACTAGATTCCACGCTTGAGGCAATAATATGTTACATTTACAATGTTGAGGGACCAATTGGCATTTTGCTGACATTTCAATCCCAAGCAGAGGCTTGCTGGAGGGTCAGTCCAATTTCTTTTGTCCCATCATGAGCATTTGCCAATTCAAGTCTTGCTTTTCCCCACAGAAAGGGAAAACAAGACAGATAGTTTAGGTGAATGATAAAGATCCAATGATACGATTTGAATAGAGAAGGGAGCTTCTGCTAGTCAACAATCCTATAGATTACATTGGCTTTTTGTGCGACCCTGCTATGTGCTGCTATATTTACCTACAAAACATTCAATGCATTTGACAGCAATTAGCTGAAACACCGTTGAAACACTCTAAAATTTCAAGTTCTTTCTTTCATTAAGGATGTGATTTTCTAAGATAGTCAGAGGAATACACAACAAGAACTCATTTCCCTCTCCCCGTTTCCCTTCCCTTCAATACGGGGATGTAAATCTTCCAAACACTCAAAGAATGTCACAGTTGATCTGCAATTGCATTGTTAAACAATTGTTGCTGTGGTGACGAATGATTCTTCCAATTCAAACCACCATTTAAAGTTGTTGTGTGGTGCAAAGATGTCACCAATCAAAATCAAAGTGGATAAATCAGTCACTGAAGTTCATTGATTTATTTTCCAATTTGGATCTAAATGCAACAATACTTAAATGTGGAAATTGAATAGTGGGGCGGTCGAGAGCTTATATTGATTATATTGGCACAAAGTGTAACATCTTATCTCATTGTAAACTCACCATACACCTGCCTATTCAATCTGTCCAGCAATCCAGCTATACTTTATACTTTGTCATTTAATAGGATTTGACATGACTCAGCAAAGAACACAAGTGTTTAAAGTGAAATGAATGGACTTTCATCAATGGATGCATTGGTAATACAATGGTGTCAGTCTGGCTCAGTTATAATAAGCGCTCTCACCTGAGTCAGAATGTTGTGGGTTCAAACCCCACGTCGGCAATTGGAAGCCATATAGTCAATGCAGACATGCCATTGCAGTGTGCTACATTGGTAGAGGTGCTGTCCTTCAGATGAGACGTTAAACCAAGATCTTGTCTACCTGTCCAGGTGAATGTTAAAGATACCACAATACTATTTGAAAAGGGAAGAGAGTTTCTCCTGGTGTCCTAGCTGACAAACTCAAAATAAAAATGGTCACTCACTTGGCTTTTTGTGGGATATTGCTGTGCACAAATTGGCTGCCATGTTTGCCCACAAAATACACACAATCGTACCACTTTACTGTATAATCTATGAAGTGCTTTGTGATATCTCAACATTTGATAAGATGGTACATCAAATGCAAGGATTATATTTATTAAAAATAATGTCTTCCTTGTATCCATTACACTTCAGTTACAGAAGTCAGGATTCACCATCCTTGCATATACTGCATTTCACTTACAGAAGTGGGTATTTAATCCATTGCACTAACAAAATTGCACTGGAATTACCGATTTAAAGCATGACTACCTTGTGTGCCTTGCATTCTGGTTTACAATTGTTAGGATTAACTTCTTCGGATGTATTTGTCCTCTTCCAAGTGTGTGGAACGCTACCCTGTGCTCTGGGACTCTACCCTGCATGAGAGTCATTATATAAATGCAAGTTGTTGTTGTTGTTGTGTGATTTGTACTCAGCGAGCTGTTTTTGAATGAAATCACAATCAATTTCTACCCGTGATTACAGGCGAAAGGTGAAAGTGCTTGTGGATTTGTTTCATACTTTTGAGGCACAGTGACAAGAGTCTGAAAACAAATGTAGCACACAGAAACTTAACGTTCGCAGAATGTTGCCCCGTGACGTTTCTATGGGTTTCCAATATAAGAAGTAATACCCTGCGATAACATTTCATGGTGGGGGGGGGGAGGAAAGGGAAAGGGAGAGAACCAGAGAAACAAAGGTGAGTTTAAGATGCAGCAAAGAAACACAAACACCACATCTCAATTGTCGTTACCCGCATTAAGAAATAAATAACAACAAAAAAACAGGTAAGGCTCCGCGCTTTGGAATCAGCACAGAGTGGCACCTGATATGGAGAGAGCAAGTTCTGAACAAAGTATTTTATGAACAAGAGAACATGAAACCTCCCCCCCGCGCCCTCCCCCCTCCACAAAACAAAATGGTAGAAAATTCCATTTAACAAACTAACTGTCCGTGAGGGGTGTAATGTGAGTCAGGTTCAGGTCCCTGCACCAGCACAGCGCAGGGTGCCGTGTGGAGGGTTAGATGTCCCTGTGTTGTATTGTTTGTTACTGACCAAGTCGCAGGTCTCCTGCTCCATCTCCATGATGCGCTTTGGCCCGTTGCCGTGGCAGCTCCCGGGTCACCGGCTCTCGCAACCACTTCCGGGGCGCCGGCGGCGCACGTCAATCATCGGCAGGGGGTGGAGTCCGCGGGGGATTGACGCTCTTTGCCCCGCCCGGTGGAGGGCGGTGCCAGCTCTGTGATTGACGGGTGAGTGGAGCTGGTCCTGAACCAAGCACTCAGTTCAACAACAACAACAACAACAATAATAATCCTCGCATTTGATATAGCGCTTTTCACGTCTGGAGGACGTCCCAAAGAGCTTCACAGAACACACTGTGAAGTGAATTGACTGTATATTTGTGGGCGAACGCGGCAGCCAATTGCGCACAGCAATGTCCCACAAACAGTCGTGGATTGAAAATGACCAATTTATTATTGTTTTTTGGTTTTGTAGGGATTATTATTAGGCTCTGTGTGGAGTAAGGAAACTTGCCCAAGGTTTCGCCCTCTGCCTGGAATTGAACTCAGGTCTCTCACTTGCAAAGCGAGTGCTCTAACCACTGAGCTCCAGGACTCCACAAGCACTCGGTTCAGCTGGTTCTTAGTGTCCCGCTGTGTAATCTCTGCCTGCAATCGACTTGAAGCACCGTGATGGGGTTCCACGTGTGCTAACTAAAAACACTTTTAGTGTCAGTGGCTGGAAAATGCTGAAACAGTCATTTGCCGTAACGTACGAGCGCAATTTCAACATCAGAACAAGTTCATCTGTGCAAAGGGATGTAATCCTTCACTTCTGATCTCATCACCTTCTGTCCTCCGCCTATATGTTTCCATTGTCTTTCTTTCCCCACCCCTTCTCTGCTCGTTCTCATAATCTGCTCCCTTCCAATATGCCCCAGATCTGACGAAAGGTCATCGACCTGAAACGTTAACTAATTTTCCTCTCTCCATAGATGCTGCCTGACCTGCTGCGTGTTCCCAGCGACTTCTGTTTTTATTTCAGATTTCCAGCATCTGCAGTATTTTGTCTTTTGTAATCCTTCATGTGATTCACAGGATACATCGGGATGAAACTGTTCTTTTGATATATTTGCATTAATGGTACTAGGAAATATAAATCAGGATCTCCCTTGATTCATGAAACGTTGACAGGATTGATTCTGTGGTTGAAGTGTCAACCTGGCTCATTTGTAAGCATTCTCACCCCTGAATCAGAAAGCTGTGGATTCAAATCACACATCAGGACTTTGAACTCATAATGTAGGCTGACACTCCAGTGCACTGCTGGGGAACTGCTGGATTGTCAGAGGTGTCATCCTTTGATTTAAACATCAAACCGAGTTCCCGTCTGTTTGTTCTGGTTAAAGACTCCAATGGCAGTATTCGAAAATAGATAGTCCCCCAGATGAAATCGGGCATTCATTTGTGGGCATCCTGTGTTCGCTTACCAAAAATGCAGGTACCACATCTTACAATAAAATCCTGTGCAACGCTATGGCATGTTTCAATTATGTAAATAAGATGCCATGTCAAATGCAAGGATTACTTAAATGATAGAACACAACATTAAGTACTGTGACAGGTCAGCAGGGAAACCAAAACTGGTGTGCCCCAGCAGTGAAACTGACTAATTATAACACTTTATTACTTAACCATCACATTTAGACAGAACATTTGTCAGATTAGATTACACACAGTAAATGTTTGAGAGAGCTTCAGGACACGCTATTTGCATGTACAAAGAATTATGTGCTCTGTGTCAAGTTAATGTACATTGTGCACTGTATACTGCATATAATATTAGTGGTTAAAGTTCTGGATTTCTAATTCGCTTTTCTCTAATATTTAAAGGATCGATCAACATTCAGCACAAAGACAAGAACAAAACCTTAATATTGTACCCATCACTGGTTGTTGTTTAGTTTTCAAATAAACGCCTCCTCTATCATGCACATTGCCTCGCCTCTCCAAATACTGTCGTCGCCTTATTCCAGGAATATTGTTAGTGAGCTCACCCTCTAATTTTTTATCTCTTTTGAACGCGAGAACGTGCCTCCAAAAAGCTCATAAATGACTTGAGCAAGGGCAGGAAGGTCCCAGTTTTAGAATTGCAGGCATATGTTCTGACAATCAGTGAAATAGTGCACTGAAGCATTTAAACTTTAAATGTCATTTGAATGAAGAGCCTGCAGCGGTTGACTTCCTGGGTGAATGTCATTGTTGCAGAGTGGATCTCATCGCTCCCGGAAACAGCTTAGGCAACTCTGTGCACTCAGCACAAGGGCTCTTCCACCGAAGGGAAGAGATGTCTTTCACAACCATCGCTGATGATCTCCTTTCTGTTGACCTGTACTATTTCTCCCCATTCCGTTCACTCTGAGTATGCACCATCCGTCTCTGCTCAGGTTTCATGTCTTGAGAGCTAGGAGTCCATGTCAGGGCACAGCCAAGCCTCTGGGACCCAGTGAGGCTCTTCCTGGGCCTGTCTCACTGCAGATAGCAGGTGCCCGCAGGCCAAGTGGAGGTCATCGTTGACAATTACACGATCAAACAAGTGTCCAAAATGGTCCTCCATTTTCTTCGCTGTGTCCTCCATTTCTTCTAGATCTTCATCCTGCATTGTCAGAGAAAATAGGACCAGGTTACAGTCAGCAGTCATTCACTTCAACACTCAACTCTTACACTATATCAGACAAGCACTGTCCTGAAACAAACGGTACTGATATCTTTATCTACTGTGCAGATAACTTCCACCTGAAAATCAGCCACAAATCATGATGTTTACATTTGATGTTCTATGCCCCTAATTTCTGGAACTCCCTCCCTTAACCCCTCCATCTCCCCACCCCCACCACTCTATATCTCTCTTCAAGTCTCACCTTAAATCCCCCTCTTTGACCATACCTATGGTTACTTCCTTTACCCCCACTCCCCTACCTGGCATCTGCCCAACTATTGTAAAGCACTCTGAAGTTATTCTACGTGAAGTGCTTTATATAAATGCAAGTTGTGTTATTGTCCTCTATCTCATGTTATTTCTGTTGATTTTAAAGCTTGTTTTTATTTTGGGGTGCGGGAGAAATACAAAGGTTCACAGAAAGCACACAGTTTGCGACATCCTTGTGGATTTATTTTTATTCAGCTGGAGCCTCAGCTAAAAAATCTCTGGGAGAACTTACTGACAGTGGATGGGAACGGGATATTTACAAGGATATGACCAGGGACGAGTTAGCTATCAGGAGAGAATGGACAGTTTGGAGCTTTTCTCTCTAGAGATGAAATGATTGAGAAAGGACCCAATAGAGATGTAAACTCACTGCCATAAGATGTAGTTGAAGCAAAAAGCTTCAGTGTATTTAAGAGGAAAAGTGATGGTGACATGAGGGAGATGGGAACAGAGGGGTAAAGGAAGGGTGGAGTGGAGGCTCACGTGGAGTTTAAACATTGGCACAGACTAATTGGGCACTGACAGGAAGTTACTGAGCTCAACAGTTCAATAGTGTAAGGAAATTGGATTAACATCGGTCGTAAAATCAGTAAAACTGGTCTTAATAGGGAGCCCACCAGCATGGGGGAGCTGGATTAACATATACACATTCAAAAATCGAAGACCCATCAAACATGATGATTGATGTTAATTAAGATTCTCAATGTGCAGCTGTGAAACTCCATTCAGTCCAATTCCTATCTCTCAATTATAAAACCTTTGTAGTACCCTCAGTGAGAAAGGCTAACATGAAGGATGGAATGTGGCGACTGATGTGGGGCTTTTGAAAGAATAGTTTCTGGAAGCCTTGATTGCACGCGAGACAAACCCACCTTGAAGGACCTGTTCACATAATACTCTGTTATGATGCGGCTGTACTTCCGAGTCTGTTGCAGGCGACTGATGCTGGGAGGTTTGATAAATACAATATACGGTTTCAGCTCTTTTGTTCGTGTCAGATAGATTCTCTGGAGCAGGAAGGAAGCAAAGACATTTTTGCTGTGGTGCTGAGTTAGGCATTGTATTGTAATGGGGGCTGAGGGGGGGGGGTGGGTGGGCAGAGGATGGGAGGAAGAGGGGATTATGACAATGGAAATGTAAAGGACTCAGTAAGTGATTTGATATCAACTTTTGAGAGAGAAGTAAATAATTATTTGGGGAGGGCAAGTTTGTAGGGTTATGGGGAGAGAGCGGGGGAGTGGGATTGATTTGAATAGCTCTTTTCAAAGACCTGGCACAGACACGATGGGCCGAATGGCCTCCTTCTGTGCTGTATATTTCTGTGATTCTATGAAGTCTATAAAGATGATGCAATAACCTACAAAGCCAGAGCTCTTCCAGCCCACCTGTGAGACCAACCTGCCCCTTAGTTCTTTGTCTCTCAGGTTGAAGGAGATGTCCAAGGTATCTGACACATGTGGAAACCCATCACCATGCTTAAGAGTTTCCAAGCCAAACTGACAAAAGTTGTTTGGATTAATGCGGACCCATTATATCTGATCTCCACCATAGATAAAGTTACAGGATTAGGAGTGCGAAAAGCAAGTTCAAGCCCAGGAAGCATTTCTTTAGGATAAATGATAATGAACGACTGCAACAGGTTATCATGGAGGGTGCTTGAGGTCAATACCCTGGACTTATTTAAGAAACATTTGATGCCGGAATGTAGAGACAGAAGGGAGTGTATTTGGGAAGAAGGAGATGAAATGGGCTTTAGGGCCTTCTTCATCCAAACCTCTCTTGTTACATTTGAGCTCTGCATTGGCCGTAACAGAGGATCCATCAATCAAAAGTTGCAACAAAATCTCTGCTGTTAAATTTCATGACAAAAAAAGTGACCAAGGCTGAGCTATTCAGTATAATGGTGTGCACCTCCCTCCTCTCCATCAGCACATGTGGTACTCACATGTGGTTCCAGGTCGATCACACAGACTTTCCCTGCATCTAGTACCGAGCGCACTGTCTCTGTGCTGGTGCCGTAAAGATGATTTTTATATTCTCCATATTCCAGAAACCTGATGCAAGTGAGAGTGAGATAACAATTGTGGCAGAGAGAGACGGAGAAAGACAGAGAGAGACAGAGAGAGAGATATTAGAAATGCAATACAGATAAAAATGATTATTCAGTTCATGGCTGTTTGTGGGACACTGCTGTACACACATTAGCTGCCGCATTTGCCTACAAATGCAGTTTCTACACTTTACAGTGAAATCCTATGAAGAGCTTTGAAAGTTTGAGGAAGCATTTCTTCACAAAGAGGGTTGTGAAGACATTGAATGCTCTGCCCCAGAAAGCTGTAGAGGCTGGTGTTGCAAAGTGTTGCAATTGTACCTCTTTGACCACACTTTTGGACATCTGTACCCTCCCCACCACCCTCGGCTCCAATCCTGGCCCTGTGGCAAGTGCTTTGAAACATCCTCTTGATGTGAAAGGTGTAATCTTTTAATGTGAATTGCATTGTATTGTATCCACCTTTGGCTTAGTGCCATGGCTTCAAATGATTCTCGGGAAACAAAGTGATATTCTCGTCCATCTTCCTCGTGGCTTTTGGGTGGTCTGGTGGTGTCTAGCGAGAGAATAGGGAGAATGGTCATTAGGATGTCATTCATCACTGCAGCAGAAACCTATGGCTGATATCACATACTGAGAGAGGGAATGGGCTGGCACAGAGTCTACGTTAGTCAATTGCAAGGGCTACACTTTCTATTCTGTATGCAGATGATTCATAGGAAATACCCCTCCCCCTCCAAATAGTCAATGGAATTAAACAAAATGATGATGAAACTGTGCAGCCCAACAACAACAACAACAAAAATATATTTATAGAGCGCCTTTCATGTCGGGAGGACGTCCCAAAGCGCTGAACAGTCAGGTGTCGGGGCCCGAGCATGGGGGAGGGGTGGTGTAGGGGTGAGGGAAGGCAGAGAGGTGGGAGGGCGACCAAAGGCACGATCGAAGAGAAGGATCTTGAGACCGGCCTTGAAGGAGGCAAGGGAGGAAGCGAGGCGAAGGGACCGTGGGATGGAGGAAGGTACGGGAACTGGGAGAGGCCGTGGCTCGGGTGAAACCTCTCAGTTTAGGCCCAGGAGTCCGTAAACTGTTCCTAGAGGTGGCTGAAGGTGGTCCATAATCACCCTCTCTCACTGTAATAATATTAATAATCCTTGCACTGTAGCCCTCATACAACCTCTCACTCGCTTTCTTCCTCTTATTTTCTTCCTTTGAGACCTCTTGACTTCGATATCTCCTTTTGACATGACAGCTGAACTGGAAGCTCAGGGAATGGTGCTCTGCAGCCCTGCCAGCATTGCATGGCATTGTGCGAGAAGACAGTGCTGGTTGCTGGCTTCATAAGAGGAGAACTGCAGTCGACACGGGGGCTAGCTGGAGAACAGTTTCAGAGAGGTCTCACCTCAGTCAGGAGATATGCCTGGCACAACACTGTTTCGAGATCAGTCAATGACTACTGTAAGGGTAGGGGAGGTAAGAGAGGTCTCCCTGGAGCTTAACAGGATCCAAGGAGACATATTTGTGAAAATTGTAACCCAATGCACTGTTTTGAAATCAATGAGATATATAAGAGCGGATAGGTCCTCAAACCTGGGAACCAAAAGCCTCAATAGTTAAGGTGTCCTTGTCTGTATAAGGACTGAAATGTAGCAGTGGTGAAATCTGCAGTTATTGTTCCCATCATTGTACCGAGCCCCACATGGGCGTGTGTGTTGGGTGTCCTTACATACGTGGCACTGGACTCTGGAAGTGATGAGGGTTAATCTCAATCAATCTCCTCCTCAGCTCATTAACACCCACTCCTGAGGGACCTGCAGCAATGGGAAAACAAACGTTCACATCAAAATCACTCGTTGCATTTCTTTGGGAACTGTTGCCCGTCCTTACAACAGTTACACATTTAATAATAAAAATAATAATAATAATCCTTGCATTTGATATAGCGCTTTTCATGTCTTCTAAACGTCTCAAGGTGCTTCACAGAATATACTGTAAAGTGAATTGACTGTATATTTGTGGCAGCTAATTTCACACAGCAGTGTCCCACAAACAGTCATGGATTGAAGTGACCAATTTATTATTGNTTTTTTTTCTTGAGGGATTATTATCAGGCGTGTGGAATAAGGAAACTTTCCCAAGGTTTCACCCTGCTGGGAATCGAACCCAGGTCACTCGCTTGCGAGGCGAGTGCTCTAACCACCGAGCTACAGGACTCCACTTATTTTTGCATAAAATTTTCACTTAAAAGGCAAACTGTGGTTTCTCCTCTGATAGCCTAATAGGTAAATGCTTTGGTTCTCCAGTGAGATGCAGACTTGAATGGCTCAAGCCCTGAGTTTGGTCTACCGAAAATTGTCCTCAACTGGGCTGGGCTGAGAAATTTCTCCCTGGGTTCTCGCTCTGGGTTTCTGTTCAATGAACCACCCACTTCCGTCCAGAAAATGTACACAAATCTTGGGTGAGGGCAAGGTTAGGCTGGGTCGAGCTGCAATATTCTCCAGAAACAACCTGCCAATAACTACATGTAGAGAAAATGAACATTGGCAAGGCAATGAAAGATTAATAGGAAAATAATCCATACATCTGATAGATATCAATACAAGTTACACTGATGCGCCTTTCACGTCAGGGGGACACCTTAAATCATTTCGCAGTCATAGATGGTCACCCTAGCTTTTGTTGTGTGGTGTGAGGGATGGGGAGGGGAAAATTGATCAAAGCGAGGTAAAAGAGATACGTTTGATATAGTATCTTTCATATCTGGAGGATGTCTCAAAGTGCTTCACAGGTAAAGTGTAGTGACTGTGTCTTTTGTAGGGTTGTTAGTACTTGTAAATTAATGATTATTAACTGTGTAAATTGATGCTCTGGTGTGTCACCCCACCTCAGTCTTACAGCCAAAGGTGTGGCTTTAATCCAGAAATGAATTGAAGAGCAAGAAAGAACACAATGATCTGGATTCCTCCTTTACTTTATGTTTAAATGTCGTGTCTGTTGTGAGTTTACCTTTGGTAGCAACATCCCGAAAGCAGCAATGAGATGAATAACCAATTATAACATGGTGAATGTGGATGAGGGAGGAATATTTGGCCAGGGGATATAACGAGGCTGGGATACCTCCGCATCCATCCTCAATGCATTATTCTTTGCAATATTCTAATCACGTACCAACAAGAATGACCAGCCGATGTTTGGCGTTAGCCTGCCGCTGGTACCTCACCACCTCCTCGTATGGCCACACGGAGTTGGAGTAACAGTTGTCTGGAGATCGAGCATTACACAGGAGCTGGTTGCTCTTCGAATTCCTCCGGCAAAGCCGTGCGCTTTTACGGAAACCAGCTAGGCAGGTTTTGCGAGGGTGGGGGGGATGAAATTAACAATATCAAGCACAAATATTCCTCAAAACACAATGAGACACAGTTTAATGTCCATGTCCCCCGCTCTGCCTAACGCACAATTGACGGTTCGGACTTCAGCTCTTTTGCCCCCACCCTCTGGAACTCCATCCTTGAATCCCTCAGCCTTGCCCCCTCCCTCCCTCGCCTCTTTCAAGGCCCATCTCAAAACCTTCCTCTTCGACTGTGCCACACTCCCATCCCCAACCCGCCAAACCCTCTTGATTCCAACCCCCAACTTGACTGCAAATCCTTATTTCTTCAGCGCCTTGGGACATCCTTCTGACGTGAAAGGCTCTATGTAAGTGTAATTTCTTGCTGGTGTTGTTTTATTGTCTGCATTTCAGAGATGGAAGACAGTGAGTTGACATCCCAGGAATGCCCATCACTCACTCCGAGCTTGCTCAGAGGCAAAGCTTGTTCGCGGGATGGACCATCGCAACAAAGCACTTCCATCCCGGAAGAAGAGAGAAGGTAAAGTCACTGAGCTGATGTTCAGCAGCTCCTATCAACATGTTCTGTAGGGCAGGTTTCAATAGAAATTGGTTTGTGACTGTGAGTTTGCCCCACTTAATACATTCCTTCCTCTGAGGAGGAGAACCAGGGCCTAGGGAGAGGTGACAGGGTACAAATGGAACAAAATTAGAGGGAGGCAAAATGGACAAGAGCTGTGACATACCTATGTAGAGACCTTGTTTATATCCGTTGAACTCAGCATCTTCTAACCAGCGAGGAGGTAGGTAGAGAAGGAGGAAGAGAAAAAGTGGTCAGATCAGACTCTGTGAGGTTGCCACCAGCAGTCAGATTAAAGAGCAAGAAAAGTCTAGCCAGAGGTGGGGTGGTGGAGGAGGGGGAGGAGATGTGGGTGGAGGTGGGAGCTTTGCTTGAGTATCCCTTTTATCTACATCCAAATAAATATATACATATCTCTCCATCATTGACACAGTGCATGTTTCCCTGGCTCATTGAGAACCCACTAATTCAGGTCTCCTTCCCTCCAGAGCTGTGCAGTCAGGGGTTAGTTACCGAAATGAAGGAATATTGTTCACTGGAATGCCTCCATTTATTATTATTAATAATAACAATCCTTATATTTAGTGTAGCACCTTTCATGGCAAGGGGATGTCTTGAAGCACTTCATGGAATATAGTGAAAGGTGTATTTTATCAGCAAACGCAGTAGCCAATTTGCACGCAGCAATGTCCCACAAACAGCCGTGAAGTGAATGACCAATTTTATCTGAGGAATTGTTGGCAAGGACACCAGAAGAAGCGCCCTTCTCTTTTTGAATAGTGCAATGGGATCTTTAACATCCACCTGAACAGAAAAATAGCACCTCGGTTTAACATCTCAACCGAATATTAAAGGTTATGCGGAAGGAGTAGCGAAATAGGATTTAGAATAGTTGGCTCTAAAGAGGAGAAACTAGCAGCCAAATACAGATAAGGTGAGCTGAACAGCATCTCTCTCTCTCTCTCTCTCTCTCTCTCTCTCTCTGTGCTGCAAGCTTTCCATCTTTCCGTGCATTTACCTTCTTGCAATTCGTCTTGAGAAAGCAAAAAGAGAAACAGGATTAGAGAATAGGAATGAGTAAAGCAGTTAAGATTCAGCACCTCTCTCCCCACACACATAGAAAGAATGCTGAGATCTGTATTTATGTTGCTCTTGCAATTTAAATTGCAAAATGGTCCCAAGTTCACACACTGGTCCAGCTAAAAATAGACGTATTTAAATATTTTGAAGTGCAGCTTCAATGTTATCTCCTTATCGCTTGCTTCTCCCCACTCATTTTCTGTTCTCCTTTGTGCAGGGAACGGACTGCAGTGGGATTAATTACAGAGTAAAAGCCTGCTTTGTTCTCTACCAAACAAAGGACTTTAACCTCAACCGCAGAGAAGGACCAGTGTGACAGATCCATTTTCCATCCTTCCATTCATTCGAAATGATACTGGCAGTTTCGATCCATTTTGTACCAAGTTATGGGCACTTTTGTTATCATGGGACAAATCCATCTGAATCTGGACTGAAGCCTTTCACATTCAATTCACGTAGGAAATAGAACAGAAAATGCTGCAAATGTACAGCAGGCCAGCCAGCTTCTTAAAAGAAAATTATGAGTTCAGATGTAAGGTTTGACCTGAAACATTAACCAATCTTTCTCTTGCGGATTCCAACTAACCTGCTGTGTATTTCCTAAAATGTCTTGTCTTGATTTCAGGTTTTTAGCATTCAGTTATTTTTTCTAGCACTTAAACCAGAGTGTAATTGCATTTGATTCACGTTTTATCTCAGCAAACTGTCTCAAAGTGCTTTGCATAACGGATTACAGTAGTGAACCTGCACTAATTGGGAGGGGCCCCATTGTGGATAAGGAAAGAGTGCAGGTAACATTAGTCATTACACAAAATACAAACTGGTTACAGTGCTAATTAAACAATCCTTTGATCGAGAGTTATATTGTCACACAAGCACTAAACTGTGCCAGCCATTCTCTCTCCCACTCTAAATCTTTCTCTAAGAATCTCTTTCTGAGCCCATCTCTCTCGGTCTAAGTCTCATTCATTCTCTTACTACAATAACAACTTGCATTTATACAGTACAATGGACTCATAGTGCTTCACAGGAATGGTGTTGGAAAGTTTTGTTGGCGAACGTGGCAGCCCAATTGCACACAGAAACAGCCATGCAACAAATTACCAATTTTATTAGGGTGTTTGTTGACAAGGGCACAGGAGTAACTCCCTTTTGTTTTTGGATAGTGCCATGGGATCTTTAACATCTACCCGAAAATGCAGACTGGATCTTGCTTTAACATTTCATCCAAAAGGTGGGGCACGTCCAACAATGCAGCTCTCCCCGAGCACTGCATTGGAACGCAATGTGGGGCTCGAACCCAGAACCTTCCAATGAGCTACCAACCGAGCCAGGCTGTCAACAAGAATGATACAGACTAACAGCAGAACTGTTGTAACTGTACGATCAAAGTAAAAGACTTACCTACCTGATTCAAAGGTTTCTTCATCTGCAGAGATGAAGAAAAGAAAGAAAAGTTTAGCAAAAAAATCTTTCAAAGAGATATTAAATTGAGTATTATCATCTCCTTCAACAGCCACTTGGGCCAACCAGCCCATGGGGGTGTTTATACTGCATACGAGTCTCCACCTATTCCTTACTCCCTCTCAAAGATTTACAAAGGTTTAAGATTTACATATTTAAGATAAATTCCATGCATACACCAGGGAGAGAGAATAGAGGGGTATTGCCTTAAAGCTCCCATCAAGACTGCACTTTCGGTCATCTCCCTCCCTCTCTTCAGCTTCCATACCCCTCCTCAGGTGCTGAGTCAGATGTCTGAAGCTCTTTGAGACATCCTTCTGATGTGATGGGGCTGTGCTACTGTAAATGTTATTGTACTGTATGGGAGAAGAAATTACGGGAGTAGAGGCTCACCTGGAATATAAACACCAGCACGGACTAATTGGCCGAATGGCCTGTTTCCGTGCTATAGCGCTCTGTTATTCTATGTTAAAATGTTGCTTTGCAGGAGGTGTGTAGCAGTGTGCATGAGTGGCTTGTTCCCCATTAACTGTGGTGCATTGAACATTCACACAAGTGGATATACAAGCTCGATCGAGTATTCAATATTCTCTGAGTGCCATGTCCTGACAATATCGAGACGTTGGTGCATCACTGACATGTGACAGTGTTATTGCCCACCGCACCTCAAGGATCTTCTGCAACCCTCATCCCCCAGTAACTCCCTTTGCTCTGACAACTCTGCCCTCCTTTACGACTCCTTCTTCTATCTACTGAACCCTTCCAACACTTTGACCCTTCCCTGCAGGTCTTTCTTTCAAAATCCCACCACTTCCTTTTACTCAGTCTTTGTGTAGTGGTTTGAGACATTTTCCCTGCGTGAAAGGTCCTGTATAAGTGCAAACTGTCGTTGCTGTTGTGGACGCAACAATGTTACTCTTCTCCCTCCATGAATACCACGTTTGTCAAATGCATCTGTGCGAACAGCGAGACATTGGGGATGGACTGCGGAGACAATGGGAAACGGCTCTTCAACCCATTGCACATCTGTTAGCATCATCGTCCCAAAATTAAGGCCGACGAAAGTGGTTACCTTACCTGTTTCGACGCACTTTTCATCAATCGCCATATCCTCTTCTGTAACAGGAAAAGTGGGAGGTGAATGGGAGGGACAGTTTCAGGCAGAAACACAATAGAAATGCAGCATTCCGAGCACACAGCTACTCACCCTCATCCACAGTGCTCACTGCCCAGTGCCAGCCGCAGGAAGGAAACAGATCAGATTCAGTGATTAGTGATGAGCCACAAACTCCAAACATAAACCTCTGCAGCTACTCAAACAGGGTGTCATGTATCAGTGTAATGAAAGAAAATGTTCACCTTCTGAAGGCACTATATAACTATAAATTGTACTGAATTGATAACTGTACTCATATAGCACCTTTCATGTCAGATGTCACAAAGTGCTTCACAGGCAGGATTTTACTGTGAAATGTCATGATTGGGTATTTGTAGGTGATTGAAGCACCCAGTTTGCATGCAGTAATGTTCCACAAACAGCCATGAAGTGAGTGACCAATTTTAATTGGGGGTTGTTGGCCAAGACACCGGGAGAAACTCCCTTCTCCTTTCGAATCTTGTCATGGGGTCTTTAAAGATCCACCTGAACAGCAACCCCTTTGTGTTTCAAACGGAGTTGGGGACAGGGATCGAAAAGTATTAGAACAATGCCCACTTGCAAAAAATGGGAATTAGATGCCCTATTGCAAGTAACAATGGTTGAAGCGAAGGCAGTGAAACACAAATAAATGATAAATGAATTGTTTCCCTGCCCTCCTACTCATACCATTGCTCCAATAGGACAGGCAGAGAAACAGATTCTAGCTACCTGCACCGAACAGAACTGTGGGCGCTGGTACTCACAATGTGTGGATTTCATACAGTTGTGTGGCGGAAAGGACTGAGACCACCAGAACTCTTTCTGCTTTCTGGGGACAGAAAAGGGAGGAGAATAAGTGTCACACAACCAAATAAAGAACAGCAATAAGGCTGATCCCCAACGTTAGAGCAATAACTACAGGAAACAGCTAAATACATTTCCTCACCTTTTCAGCAAGGTGTTGGAAGGAATTAGCCCAGCGCAGATGGAAGGAGATGAGACATTTTTTGCCTGCCACCAGTGAATGTCATTCCGGTCCACGATCTGCAGGATGTCCCCCCTTTTGAAGGCCAGGCCAGCGGCGACACAAGGGATAGACGTATCCTCCCCCGGGCGGTAATCAGCCATGGCTCGCACATAGATCTGCAACACACACACTCGCATGTTACTTGACTGCTGTAAAGTGATACAACGTAGAAACAATTCACTGTTGAAAAGTAACCTTGGGCAAGTTTCCTTACACCACAAGCCTGATAATAATCCCTCAAGAAAATAAAACAATAATAAATTGGTCACTCCAAACCACGACTGTTTGTGGGACGCTGCTGTGCGCAATTGGCTGCCGTATTTCGCCCACAAATATACAGTCAATTCACTTTATGGTCTATTCTGTGAAGTGCTTTGAGACATCTAGAAGATGTGAAAAGCGCTATTTCAAATGCAAGGATTATTATTATTATTATTAATATTATTATATATAATACAGAACTAAATTTCTGTTTACAACCTCTGACATTGAAACATAATAACATAATAATAATCTTTACCTTTGATATGCGCCTTTTTACCTCGGGAGGATGTTTCAAAGTGCTTCACAGAATCCACTGTGAACTGGAGTCACTGTGTATTTTTGTGGGCTAACATACAGAGTTCAGCACGGAAATGGGCCATTTGGCAAATCAAGTCTGCTTTGTGTTTTCTCACATGAGCCAATCTCATCTTGCCTATTCCCCATGCATATCCTTTAAGATTCCTCCTCTTCAATAACCTATCCAATTCCGCTGCAGAAGAATTTATTGACTCTGCTTCAACTATGGTTTGCGGCAGAGAATTCTATCTTCCAACCTAAATTGTTCACTCTCTCTCCTTGGAGGATCACACCCTGTTTACCCAGTTCCAGAAAGTGACAGACACAGGTTGATGAGAGCCAAGGCTTGAGGATCCCAGAGTGTGTGTTGGAGTACCGCTGAAATTTAACCAGCTAAAATTGCATAAATTGCATTGAAAGCACTGTATGGTAAGCTTTCTGTTGCTCGTCCAGCTAGGACCACCCTACTTGTGAGGGCTTTGACATACTGTGTTAAGAAGAGCTGTGTGACTGGTCTGCCCCTCCAACTCCTGCCGAAGAGCCAGACTGGGTGGTCTGTCATCAGCATTGCAGAGCAAGCTCAGCTCCAAGTAAACCCTATTAGCTTGTCTTCCACTTTTAGTATCTGAAGAATGGCATATATGACATTTTGGCGCTCTCCCTACTGCGCTGCAGTGTGCTAGACAACGAGCTAATCATTTCTATGAGTCATTTTGAAATGAATGTTAAACTCTTTTTGTTACAAAACTAAATTTTTGAGTTGTCCACTCTTGTGGTATTTGAGCCTATTGTCCATCCTTGTGGGATGCAGCTGTGCTCTTGTTGAACTTTCCTGCAAGACCAAAGCACAAACGACTTTGATTACTTATACAGAACATTACCAGCAACACTCAGACCTTACCACGTTTTGGGAACAGCTGATCTGCCGATATGATACTGGGATAAGCTTGAACATAATGGTACCTTGTGACCGAACCTATTCAGAGAGGTAAAGATGTATTGTCAGTTGTATCAATTTCATTTCACAATGTATATGTGTACAATAGGTTGCACTGGAGGCTTGTCTGTGACAATTTAAAAATTGCCTTATTTATGACTTCCTAAAAAAAAGACTGAAGGAATGAACACAAGGGATTCCAGCAGACCTCATTCAGACTGGAATTGTAGGTCATTCTCCGACATTTCGTTTACAACATGGTGGGAATTAGGTTAGTTTGTATCCCATATATAAGCGTTCTGAAATCCTACACGCATGAAGAGTGCTATATAAATGCAAATTGTTGCAAAAATGGTCGCCCAATTTTAAAGCAGTTGGCTACAGAGGACATTCGAGCAGCTGAAACTAGACTAATGTACAAAAACATGACATGGTCTGTTTGCGACTCTAAACTATTGTTCCATGATGTGCTGTGTTGGGACAAATGAAACATTAAGACATTAATTACAAGGATCTGGATGACTTGCTCAGGCTCCAGGCCATCCACAGGAGTTCCATTGACCTCAACCAACTGGTCACCAGGAAACAACAAACCTGAAACAACAAACAGAACAGAACGCCATCTATTTGTGTGTGCATATGGGGAGAGAGAGAGAGGGCAGTATTATATGTATAGAAAATGCGTCTTGTGTAGCAGTTGATTGCCATGACAAAGTTCCATCCCACCTGAAACTGGGAAACACACCATTTACACTGGCACATGTGGAGTCCTGTAGCTCAGTGGTTAGAGCATTCGCTTTGCAAGCGAGAGACCTGATTCAATTCCAGGCAGCGCGAAACCTTGGGCAAGTTTCCTTACTCCACACGCCTAATAATAATCCCTCCAAAAAAACAATAATAAATTGGTCATTTTCAATCTACGACTGTTTGTGGGACATTGCTGTGCGCAATTGGCTGCCGCGTTCGCCCACAAATATACAGTCAATTCACTTTACAGTGTGTTCTGTGAAGTGCTTTGGGACGTCCTCCCGACGTGAAAAGCGCTATATCAAATGCAAGGATTATTATTATTATTATGGCAATAATACAAAGTGGGGTGAGCTTTTGACTTCACTATGGACATCTTCACATCTGTCACTCCTATGTATCAGAGAGGAATGTTGATGGGGAAGCTGAGGCAAAACAGAACATTCATATCCCAAAAAAGTCACTTTTGTTACATTACATGATATTTTCATACGCACTCCCTTACAAAAAAAAACACTCGCACATCAAATAACTTTCCAACTTGCTTCACGCTTTCTACTCTGCCAATTCACAAATGTGTTGCACAGGGCGTGCAATCGTTTTCTTTAGCCTTGGTCTCAGAATGAAGGCTTCCAAACAAAAACTGAACTGCAGTCACCATCTGCCGGGAATCTGTCACTGAGAGGAAGGGCAGAGGTCCATGAGGGCTCACTGTGAGTCTGGAGGTGATATCTCAGTTGGCCTTTTCACTACCTTCCATTGAAGCATCTGTCTTCTCCCTGGCCAGAAGATGCTTTACCTGCTGTTGTATCCGCATGTCAAGAGGGGACACTCACCACTGCGGTCTGCAAGTCCACCGTGGATCACGCGAGCTATCACAATGGACCCAGCTGTTTCCTGCCGTTTAATGGTAGCACCCTGCGGATGAAACGACTGGTTAATGGGGGTACAGAGTTTAGTGCGGGGGAGATGAGTGAGAGGAACGCATAATTCTTAAGGACCAATGCTGCAAACATAACTCTATGCAGCGATGTAAGAATAAACTCAAAATTAAACAAGTAAACGGGACCTCGGTTTAACATTTCACCTGAAGGTCGGCACCTCCGACAATGCAGCACACCTCCGGCACTGCATTGGAGTGTCAGCATAGATAAAATGGGTTCCACGGGACAACATGGGGCTTGAACTTGCAACCGTTTGAGTCAGAGGTGAGCTCTCATGTCAGAGCTGATGCACTGTCCGTGTGAAATATGGGGGATTCTCTGAAGAACACACTTTTGACACTGTGGCCACTTCTGCCAGAAGCCATGAGATCACCTTTAAAATACCTGTGTAACAGTTTTAGTCACAAGTGGATTTCTGGTCCATCCAGGTATCTATCCCAACTTCCCAAAAGGTCTTACCAAAGGCTGGTTATTCTTCACCAGGCACACAATTCTCATGGCCTCCTCATCCTCGGGTAGGTTGTCTGGCAGAGGAGCGAGAACAGGATTGTAGTCCTTCTGAGCCACTGAGTCGTGAGCAGAGAGCAGCGCCTGTCAATCAGGTTGTGCATATGTTACCATCAGTAGCAAAACACCCTTTGGTGCACACGTCCATCCTTCAAGTGACAAGTCAAATGAATGTGAGTGATGGTGAACTCAGAATCCCTTCTCTCACTGTCGGGTTCTAATAGCTTGCTCCAGCACACTGCACTAACATAGGGCACCAGATTCGCAATGTGACGCTTTTCACAAGACTTAGATGCTGGAGGTACTGAGGGGAAGTGAGGAGGCGCTTCTTCGAAAGAGGCTGAAAACTTTTCCAGCAGCTAACAGGTCATTGTCACAACAATAGCCAAGTAGTTGACTCAAAAATATTGCTTTTGTATTTTTCACACAAAGGGTAGTGAAAATCTGGAACTCTCAAAAGGCTGTAGATGCTGGATCAATTGAAATTTTCAAGACTGAGGTCCATAGAGTTTTGTTAGGTAAGGGTATCACGGCATATGGAGCAAAGGTGGATAAATTGGAGTTAAGGTACAGATGAGCCATGATCTGACTCGAGGGGCTGAATGGTCTACTCCTGTTCCTCTGTTCCTATTGTGTGACAAAGACATGAGAGCTAGTAATCCAGGGCTGGGAACAGGGCATCTGCCACTACGTGCATTGTGTACACATATATGTGTGTGCTTGGGTGGGTGCTTGTGCACATAGACCTGAGTATATCACATGCATCTGTACACTGCATTTGCACATCCGAGACCTGAACTTCCATCGGCCAGGAAAGAGAAGAAAAATAACCTGGGCAGAATGGGCAGACAAATCACTTGAAACTTAATTTCAAATGATTTCAGATTCAAATAAGAACGTAAGCTGCCAATTGCAGGAGAGGGCAGAGGAGAGAAAAGGGAGCTGACCTGGAGATAAGGTTTTCTGAGCAACCACTGCAGCTCTCTCACATGAATGGAATGAGATGCTTCAGAGAGCGTTGTTACTACCTGCAGATGAGAACACAGCACATGCACATGAACGTACTCATATAGACAGAGGTACACACACACACACTCACACACACATTCATAAACAAACACATGCATACACAAACACACACATAAACAGACACACACATACAAATATACGTACAGAGACACATTAAGTTAATTCTCAGATGTCAAAAGGTATCTTAAACAGAAGCACTACATACAATATTAATAGCAATCACTATATTGTATTATGTGGGCAATTTTCTGAGGACTGACACGGTCAGGACAAGAATTAACATCATCAGCAAATGACAATCTGGAGTAATAAATCCCATCTCAACCATTCGAAACATACCTTGGCTGAAACAGCAATAGGTCCGATCTCTTCTTGCAGGATTAATGGGAGCTGAGTGGGAAGAGTCCCTAAGCCCAGTAACTAGTCTGCCATTCCAAGTCCTGCCGATGAGCCAGATTGGCTGTGCTGTAATCAGCAGTGCCCTGGAATACTGCTGAGACCGCCACAGAGGTTTGGCTCAATTTTGACATCCCTTTGCCAGGTTCGTCAACTTGCTTAACAGTATCCAAACCAAACTGAGAATTCCATGCATCGCGTCTACACATGGAAATCCCAGAGATAGATTGATGGAATGGAATGCACTCTTTCCCTGGAGGGACGTATCCTGCTTACCTAATTCCGGAAAGTATTAGGCGCAGGTTGGCAAGAGACAAGGCTTGGGTGTGCGTTGGGGTAACTGCCGGAAACGAATCCAGAGTCCTGGCTTTAACCACCGTTCCTGCTCACCTGTTCCAGGCATAACATACCCTCTGTCTAAATGCTTTCCAATGTCTGACAATTGTCCACTCCAGGAGGAATAATCCACATTTATTTCCTTTGCAAGTATTTATAAATTAGTTACAACATGGTGAAACGTATGCTCCCTATTTCTACTCTCTCTTGTTGGGCTTTAACTGGACGTGCTGTACGGGATGAATTTCTAGTGCCTTTTCAAACCACAAGCTTTTGTCTCACCTCTCGGCACAGCACAGATGCCTGGGACATGGTGGGAGCTGGTCTTGTTTTCGAGAACTTGTGCAGACACTCATAGACCTGGAACAAACAAACCAGAAATGATCATTCAGTCACACATTTTCTCCAACCAAGGCAGTGAATAAGCAGATTGCCCTCAAGCCCGTTTGCAGTGGAATTTTGTTCATACATTTTTAGTTCCATGTTATCTTGCCTCCTCCAATTTTCTCTACTTCTCTCTTCCTTCCCTGAAGGTGTTTTGCTTTATTTTACCTTCTGCTTGGATATTATTCATATTTTATCCAATGTGCTCCAAGAACCTTCTAGTATCTCACTCAAGAGGTGATTCTTCATTTTGAGCCTTTTTTTGTCAGCTGAGGGTCTGGCACATGGGGAAACCCATCACCATACTTAACAGTGTCCAAACCAAACTGAGAATTCCATGCATCCCCTCTTCACATGGAAATTCAAGCGATAGATTGCTAGAATGGAATGGGCACTCTCTCCCTGGAGTGATGCATTCCGTTTACCTAATTCCGGAAAGTATCTCTCATGCAGAGATTATATGAAAGAAGTGTTTCTACCAAATACTGAATCAAGGTATTTTTGTGACAGTGGGAGAGGTTCAAGGAATTCTGTTGTACTCTGTTACCTTTACCAATGACTGCAGCCACTGTGCGTTGAGCAGTCCATGAAGAATATCCAGTCCACTGACATTGTTGTCCAGAGAAAAAGAAAGTTCATCAATGACCATTGACAAGAGCTGAGAAAGGCCTAGGGGAAAGGAACAGATTCCTCAAGTTAAGTTCCAAACAATGACCCCCACCCTCTGCCTCGTCTCAAACAATGATCTCAGCCCCTGCCCATGACCTAAAACTATTTTTATGGAGTCCCATAGTGGTTCGCGCACTTGCTTCACAAGCGAGAGGACCCGGGTTCAATTCTTGGTCGGGACAACAACAACAACAACAAGATTCCCTTTATAGAGCGCCTTTCACGTTGGGAGGACGTCCCAAGGCGCTGCACAGTTGGGTCAGGACCCGAGCAGGGGGGAAATGGTCAGGGTGAGGGGAGGGAAGGGAGGGAGCAAGGAGGGGGTAGAGAGTCGAGAGGGGAGCTGAAGGCACGGTCAAAGAGAAAGGTCTTGAGACCGACCTTGAAGGAGGAAAGGGAGGAGGCAAGGCGAAGGCACTGGGGGATAGAGTTCCAGAGCCTAAGGGCTGAGAGGCTGAAGGCCCGGCCACCGATGGTAGGGCGGTTGGGGCGGGGGATGTGGAGCAGACTGGAGCCAGAGGAACGGGGGGTACGGGCAGGTAGGTAGGGGGATAGTAGGTCGGAGAGGTAGGAGGGAGCAAGGCCGTGAATGGCCTTGTAGGTGAGGATGAGGATCTTGAATTCGATTCTCTGGGGGATGGGGAGCCAGTGGAGGCGAGCGAGGGTGGGAGTGATGTGGTCCCGAAGCCTGGTGCGGGACAGTACATGAGCTGCAGAGTTCTGAATGACCTGCAGCTTGTGGAGGGAGGTGGCGGGAAGGCCGGCGAGGAGAGCATTCCCATAGTCCAGCCTTGAGGTGATAAAGGCGTGGACCAGGGTTTCAGCAGCGTGAGGGGTGAGGTAGTGCCGTAGTCTGGCGATGTTCCGGAGGTGATGGAAGGCGGTGCCAGTTGTGGCGCGGATATGGGGGAGAAAGGACAGCTCAGGGTCGAACAGAACACCAAGGTTCCTGATGGTTTTGAGAGGTGGAGAGTGCAGCCTTGGATGCTGATGCTGTCAGCGCCTGAGGTGCAGAGGCGCTGACGCGAGCCAATCAGGAGGGCCTCAGTTTTACGCACATTGAGCTGAAGAAAGTTGTCTCTCGTCCAGGACTCGATGTCGGACAGGCAGCTGTCAGGACATTGGTGGTCGTGGAGTAGAGGGTAGAGGAGGAAAGGTAGAGTTGGGTGTCATCCGCATACATGTGGAAGTTAACCCCATGTCTGTGGATGATGTCACCAAGGGGGACACCGCACGAGACAGTGCGGGGGCTGGAGGAAAAGCCGTTCGTGGAAACAAAGTGAAGACGGTGGGAGAGGTAAGACCTAAACCACTCAAGGACAGGGCCTTGAAGTTTGAGGTGGGAGGACAAGCGGTGGAGGAGGATAGCGTGGTCGACCGTATCGAATGCTGCCGATAGGTCGAGGAGGATGAGGAGGCAGAGGGAGCCCTGGTCGCAGATGGTCAGGATGTCATTGGTGACCTTGACCAGGGCAGTTTCTGTGCTATGGGCAGCACGGAAACCCGACTGAAGGGGTTCGAATAATGAATGGGTGGAGAGGAAAGAGCGCAGCTGGGAGGCGACAACTCTTTCAAGGACCTTGGACAGGAAGGGGAGGTTGGAGATGGGCCGGTAGCTTGATAGCTGCGATGCATCAAGTGAGGGNTTTTTCAAGGTGGGAGTGATGGTGGCAGTTTTTAAGGGAATGGGAACAGAGCCAGAGGAGAGGGACAGGTTGACGATGTCTGTGATACGTGGGGCAAGGAGGTGGAGCTGAGAGATAAGGAGTGGAGTGGGGATGGGGTCAAGGGAGCAGGTGGTAGGTTTCAGGGATAGGATGAGTTTGGTGACAGAGGGTGGGGAAACGGGTTCGAAGGTGTGCTGGGGAGGATGGGTAGGAGTCGGAGTGTGGGAGGGAGGGGGTGGGGGGTGGGCGGAGGTTGGAGGGTAGTGCCTGCGGAGCGGATTCCCTTGATTTTGGATTCAAGGAAATCCAGCATCTCCTCACAGTGAAGGTTGGAGGAGATGACCTGCGCGGGGTGGCGGGGGGGACGGAGGAGTCGGGATGTGGTAGAAAACAGAAGCCTGGGGTTGTTCTTCGCCTCCAGGATTATCCTGGAGTAGAAGGACGACTTGGCCGAGGCTAGAGTGGAGCGGTAGATTTTGAGGAGGTCCAGCCAGATTTGTCGGTGGACCGTTAGGCCAGATTTGAGGCAGGTGATTCAGCGGCCCGCACCTGGCTCTTCAGTGAGCGGAGGTGGGTGGTGAACCAGGTGGAGGTGGTGAAGGAGATGAAGTGGTGATCGGAGACGGCCTTGTCGGTGATACTGACATCCGAGACACTGAGGCCCCGGGTGATCACCAAGTCGAGTGGGTGGCCGTGACTGTGAGTGGGGGAGTTGATGTGGAGGGAGAGGTTGAGCGAGGAGAGCAGGGAAGAGAAGTCCGAGGGGAAGGAGCAGGAGGGGGTGAAGTGCAGGTTGAAGTCGCCCAGAATGATGAGGCGATCAGAGCAAAGGCAGAGAGATGTAAGAAGTGTTGAAATATCGGAGATGAAGGTGGGAGAGGTTTTAGGGGGCCAGTAGAGGAGGACGATTTTGAGTGAGAGGAAGGAGGGGTGGGAGAGGGTGAGGTGCTTGAAAGAGGGGAAAGAGCCAGAGGAGTAAGGGGACAATATATTAGGCAAGTTTCCTTACTCCACACACCTCTGTTTACCTGGCAGTAAGTAGGAATCTGTTTGTTAGTCGATTGGCAGATTGCTTTCCGGGGGTAATAAACCCTTTAAAAAAGAAATTGGGTTACTCAACCCACGACTGTTTGTGGGACACTGCTGTGTGCAATTGGCTGCTGTGTTTCGCCCATAAAATACACAATCAAGTAATTCTGTGAAGCTCTTTGACACGTGTCAACAATGTGATAAGACGCTATATCAAAAGCAAGGATTATAATTTACAGTTAGATTGCACCTGACACGTTGAGAGAACAATCCAAAGTGCTTGAAGTAATCAATGTCTATGAACACGAACAGACTGGTCTGTAAGCAGCAAAGCAGCAATACTGATATGAAAGCTATCCACAGCTTGTTTGGATCCCTGCTGGTGACTCAGTCTCCAGGTGCCTTTTGTGCTCTATATATTCTATTCACCAATCCCGTATGAGGCTCGAGGAAACCTTGTCCCACCAAGCCGCAAAGCCAGACATCTCATTACCTTGGGACATCCTCCTGACCGTGAAAGGCACTATACAAACGTAATGTGTATTGTATTACCGTTTTCCTTCTTTGTTTGCCGCACTGGTGTCTCCATGGTTTGCATCATTTTGAACACGAGATGCTGCCAACAGTTGTTTGAGGATCTGTTGGAATTTATGAAAGAGAGACAATTCAGATATCAATTAAAGGAAATGTAGAAGTAACTTCAAGATTAAAGTTAAGAACTTCTTTACAATCGTCCAGATATGTTCCCTAGCACTTGCGCTCATGAATATTCATGATATTTGTATTTGAATTCTGGGACCTGATATCATTGAGAAACAAAGGTTGCTCAATAAATTCTCAATAGGAAGATATTTTTGGGGGGTTGGGGGAAAAAGAACATGATACAAGCATTAATAATGATAAGCAGACAAGCAGGATCGCAGATGGGATACTGGAGATGGTGATTCAGGCGCATGTGATTAATATTAGAACAGAGATGGTGTTTCACAATAATTGTCATTAAATGTAGTTAGTAACTATGTATTTGTAGGCAACCAATTTTGCACACAGCAATATTCCACAAATAGTCCGAAAGTGAACAAACTACTTATAATGTAAAAACTGTTTTAACCACAACTCCTGATGCCTTGGCCAACAATCCTGCAAATAAAATAAATGGTCATTCGCTTCAAGGCTGTTTCTGGACATCTGCTAATCAACTAACAACCAGGTTTTTACTTACTACTGGGGAAACAGAGGCTTGTGGAGTAAGGAAACTTGTCCAAGGTTTCACTCTGCCCAGGAGTCGAACCTGGGTCCTCTCGCTTATGAAGCGAGTGCAATAACCAATATGTTACAGGATTCCACAAGTCCTGTAGTGACATGAGATCTTTAACGTTCATTATATTCTCTACCCACCCCCACCTTGGTATTGGCAAATCAAAAGGTAATAGAGACAACAATGGTTTAATCTCAACTAGATTTGATTTTGTTTGGAAGTTTGGGAAGTTAAGTTAGACATTTAAATTCTGATCCACATGTAAAATGTGGCCCGTGTTTGTATTCAGCTCACTGAAACCATACTGTCTGCTGCTGCTTTTCAGCCGTGCACAGCTTATGAAGCAAATGTTTTGTTTTTATTGGGGGCTGAATTATTAAATCAGCAGTGGATAAAGATGTGCCGATTATTTTCATTTTTATTCCAGGTTGTACAATTCATGAGCAATCTCTCTGCACAAAGTCATTTCCCAATTATTACTACGGAAGCTAACTACTGTGCAGTTGACAGTAATTGCTGTAAAGTGCTTTGAGGAGTCTCGATAAGATGCTATAAAAAGCCTTTCTTAAAAAACATCCAGGCAAATTCTTGTAAAGTATCTGGGATTGTGCAGCTGCTTGGGTCCTTGTGTCCATTGAAATAAGCTTTTATGTTCATATAAAATACCATGACAGCCTGGGAAGAGTGATATCGATGGCTACAGAATGATACATTAACCTTTGGGTCTGGTTCATCAATAAGGAAGATGGGGCTCGTCACACATCATTGGTGAGATGTCTTTCTGTTTTATGTTGGCTTTGTCACTCTCGGACAAGGTCAACAAGATTCTGCTGACATAGCAACCAAGAGTATTTCCTGCAGAGAATGGATCCGCCAATAATCCTACGAGCAGCTAATCCTCCTGCTGTGTTTTCCACCTCCCATTATCAGAGATAAATTATCAGAGACTGAATGAGGAAAAGAAACTGGACACAGGAGATGGAAGGTTGAACACAGCTTTGAGAATAAAGCAATCCCCCAATTGATCAGTCATGAAGATGGCACTTGTGACAAATTGCTAAAGCTTGACAGGGCGCTTTGTGTCTGCTGGGAAAGCGGTGTTGGTGTGCTGGTAACTGTACTACAAATCAAGGGATATAGTTGGGAAGCTAAGGCAGCTGGTGAGGTTCAGGGAATTCGTCAACATCTGCTATTTCAACATTGTGCATAACTATGAATTTCATCTGCTCCCGTTGTGTTCAAATGGACTTGAGTATAACTGGAAAGGCACATGGAATTAAATGAACCAGATAAATACCAGCCTGCTCCAAGCGTAGAACTCTAATTGGCCTGTTACCTCCCAACGACTGTCATTATACGGAAGCCCAATGGACTCAGCCGTCTTCCATTCAGTCTGTTGGGCAGAATTCCAGCAGACCCCATCGCTTCCCATTCACAGGCATTGTAACCTGTTCCAAGGATCAAAGCAATACATTGGGTGGAATTCTAAGGGTTTGGGTCACCTGACATTCACTCTGTCTGCAAGGAGGAATTCCTGATACCGTACAAGCATTACCTTAGCTGTGTAATCTTGATCAGATCTTGATTGTGGAGTCCTGTAGCTCAGTGGTTAGAGCGTTCGCAAGCGCGAGACCTGGGTTCGATTCCCGGCAGGGCGAAATGGTGGGCAAGTTTCCTTACTCCATACGCCTCAATTTACCTAACATTAAGTCGGAAACCGGTTGTTAATCGATTGGCTGATTGCTTTTCCGGGGATAGTAATCCCTCTAAAAAAAAATAATTTGGTCACTCAATCCAGACTGTTTGTGGGACACTGCTGTGCGCAATTGGCTGCCGTGTTTAATCCACAAATATACAGTGAATTCACTTTACAGTATAATCTATGAAGTGCTTTGAGACATTTAGAAGACATGAAAAGTGCTAATATCAAATGCAAGGATTATTTAGGATTACTAACCACTATTGCCCCCACTATTAAATGATTCATTGGTATTGGGTTTCATGTTATAAATTGTTGGAATTTAGTTTGAATTCCAGTTGAGTAACTAAATTGATTTTATGATTCTTTGTCAATGCCTTAATCATAACCATCTCAAACCTTCCTCCAAGCACTCCCGGAGAGAGGACAAAAAAAAGGTTGCCTTCTGTACAGGGGATCCTTCCCTCACCTATCACTTCCAACCTCCCTCTCTCTTACAGTTTTTCATGACTTTCTCTCTTTAATTAATACTGGAGATCATTACTCAACCAAACGTTCCTTTCTTGCTTCTTCCAAGATCCGAAAAACATCGTGCTCCACGGTTTTCCTCCTCCTTAGATCCTCACTCTAGCTCATTCTTCTTTGAACTGAAGACTTGTACAGTACAACCCTTATACAGTACAAACTTTAAACACGAGCTTCAAAAGGAACATTCTCAGCACCTCCTGTTTACAGGTGCTTGAGTGGAGAGATTAGACTTAAATTCATGTGAAATAAGAAGGAAAAAAAGAGCAGCCTTCTGTGATTTGGTAAGTAACCTGCCCTCCAAAATGACCTGTCTTTATGAAGTCCATTCATTTCAAACTCTGTTGTGTCCGGTGGTTGGGGGAGGGGGGGGTTGCGCTTTGTATAGATTTATAATGATACAAATTTGCAAATCACTTACCGGTGAAGGGCTCAGATTGCAACAAAACTGGACCAAACGCACACCAGTCTGCCAACAGCTTCAGAACCCTACCTGCCACTGCTCTTCCTGTGGGCTCCAAGTACTTTGTCGAACAGGATAATCCCTTAATGTTCTCAAAATCCTCAACATAACCAACATAAGAACCCAAAGATCTTAAAGCGAACACGCTCTCTATTTTCATCCAGAGAACGGCCAGAGAACGGTACTACAAAAGCTGCTTTCTGCCCTTTAAGGAGCTTAGTTGGGTTTAAGCGAGGGCTGTTCTTAAAGTAGACTCTGTAATTATTTACACAGGATGCTTGGACATATGGGATTTTCTGCCACAGAATATTGTTGAGGCAGGGTCTTTTTTTAAAAAAAATCGAGAATTGGTCAGATGTTTGCATTTGATACAGTGCCTTTCCACATCATCAAGACACCTCAAAAATGCTTCACGGGATATACTGTAAAGTAGTTTGACTGTGTATTTTATGGGCAAAAATATTAAAGAGAATGGAGAGCGAAAAAGAGCGTGGCATTAAACTAAGGGGAAAAAAAATTCCAGGCGCAGACAACACACTGCATGGTTTGTTTCTGTGCTGCAACATTCTGTAACTGCCCTTTCACCTCAACACATTGGGTTTGAAGCCAACTCAGATAGATGGTCTGAAAGTTTCTCCGTCTGCGCTCATTGTAAGGATCCTATGTGAATTACAGGTTGTCACAGCCGAGTTCCTCCAGGGCATGGGCCTACAGTGCGAAACTACCCCCTCTTTAACACTCGATACACCAAAGCATTGCACAGCACGTCTTCAGCGACACACATAGAACAGCGGGTGTGCTCTGTTACATTGTGGCTGAGAGGTCTCAAAGCACTTCACTGGATTTACTGTTAAGCGTATTTTATTGGCAAGCAAGGCAGTCAACTTGTACACAGCAATGTCTCACAAAAGCCATGAAATAAACGACCAAATTTAAATGTAGTCTGAACTCAGGCAGTTTTAAGATGAATGCCCCCCCCCCGGTGGTGACAAATATAACACCACAAATAACTTCTCCAGATTCTGCGAACCTTCTTGTCAGACCAAGATTGAGCCCCAAAACTACCATCTTTTGTTTTTTGTCAACCGGATGTCTGACACAGGGGAAACCTATCACCATTGCTAAGAGTATTGAAACCAGACAGAGATCTACACATGTATCCCACCTACACATGGAAATTTCCTTGTGTTAAGGCTTGGGGACCCCAGAGTGTGTATTTGAGTATTGCTAGAGTATAGCCAGCTGCAACCCATAGTTTGGCATTGAAAGCACTGTCTGGCAAGCTTTCCACTGTTTGTCCATCTTAGGAACACCCTACCCATTGGGCTGTAGGTTTAACAGTAGCTGAATGAGAGAATTCCTGACCCCAATGACTGGTCTGCCCCTCCAAGTCCTGCTGATGAACCAGGCTGGCTATGTCCTGTAGTATGGCAGACCCATCTGACTCAGAAACCCGAATTGTACTCGGGTGTGGATCCCTGACTGTCCTCGTCCTCGCCTTCAAGGCCCTTCACAGCCTTGCCCCTCCCCACCTCTGCAACCTGCTGACCCCATATCAACCTGTCTGCTCCCTCTGCTCAGCAGGCTATGGCTGGCTCCACGTCCCCCGCCCAATCATTGGTGGTCAGGCCTTCAGCCTTCCTGCCCCTACTCTCCCCACCCTATGGATCTCCTTCCCACATTCCCTTCACCTTGCCTCCTTCCATGCCTCCTTCAATGCATGTCTCAAAACCCTCCTTTTCGACCGAGCCTTCGGACACTCTCCTACCCTCTCTGCCGTCTACCCTCCTTAATCCCAACCCCCAACTTGGGTCCAAATCCCTGACTGTCCAGCGCCTTGAGACATCCTCCCAACGTGAAAGGCGCTATACAAATGTAATTTTGTATTGTAAAGAAGATAGTAAAAAATTAAAACTCCTCTGTCATGTTGGTGTATAACCAACACAGTTCACGAATACCAGTGTAGAACCTGACACCAAAGCACACACAGGCTGTATGGTAGGCAAACAGATGGTTACCTTTTACCCACCATATGCTGAACATGTCATTTGAGTGCTCATTGAAGACAATGTACCATACATAGGAGTGATCCCTTTTATCCTGTACGTACATGAATCTGTAAGAGTAGGAGGCAGAGGAAAGCAAGGGAGAGGACGGAGCAAATTAGAAAACTATAATTAACAAGAATGTTCAGAAACGAATTACACCGAGATCCCGCCATCTGTTCAGGTGGGCATTAAGATCCCGTGGCACTATTCAGAAAGAAAAGGGAACTTTTCCTGATGTGGGGGAAATGGGATTAAAAGATCTGCAATGAATAAACTGACAAAACAGGCTCGAAGGCTGAATGGCCTTCTCCTGCTATGTTCCTACATTCTTAACCACAGCAGTAAGAATGAAGGAACTTTTCACATTGCTACAACCATGGATCATGGAACAGCTTCAAGACACCTGTTCTGGGAGTCTGTGGTTGTCAGGAATGTTCCTGGTCTGTGTTGCCTAAGTCGCTGTTCGCATGTTGTATATAATACACTCTTATTGTAGGTAGTCACTTACTATCAACTGTATCCATTCTCACCCTACTTTACTTTTGCACTAACAGCAGCTTCTGTTTTAGTGATCTACTGGTCCTTTTCAGAGAGTTTGTTCTCTGATGAAGTGTCTCACAAGCCACACAAAACCAGATAAACTCCCGCGAATATAAAGTGGCTACAACAAAATGTAAAGAGCTATTGCTGAGTTAATCTGCATTTAACGTGTTGGACTTTGCTGATTTATCCCATTGACCAATAATCCCCCCGATAAAATTGGTCATTCATCGTTTGTTTTTTTGTCGGACATTGCTGGGCACAAATTGGCTGCCCCATTGGCCCCCAAATACACAGTCACTACACTTCACAGTAATTACTGTAAAGTGGTTTCGGATGTTTCAGTGTTTATAGGCACTATATCAAATGCAATGAATATTATTATTAACAATAGTTGTAATTTATTTAAAAAGTTACACAGAAGGTAAAAGAGTAAACAGGAGAAATGCACTTCAAAACAAAATGTTTAGCAATAAAATACTAGCAATAAAAGGGATTGCAAACAAAAACAGGCCATGGAGCAAAACTAAAAAAGAAGATGTGAGGGACAGGAGGGGGAAGCAGGATATAATGTGGAGGAGGAATAATAATAATAATCCTTACATTTAATATAGTGCCTTATCACGTCGTTGAGACGTCTCAAAGCAACTCACAGGATATACTATAAAGTGGATTGACTGTGTATTTTGTGAGCAAAACACGACAGCCTGTTGTGTACACCAATGTCCCACAAACAGCCATGAAGTGAATGACCAATTTTACTTGGGGGATTGTTTGGCCAGGACACCGGGAGAAACTCCCTTTTCTTTTTGAACAGTGCCATAACGTCTCATCCGAAGGATGGCACTTCTGACCCCCAGCACTGCAATGGAATGTTAACTTAGACTTGTCAGAGTGGAGAATGTTAAGTTACACACAGGTTGCTTAATGTTTTACGTTCATAGAAAGATACTTTATTAAATGTATAGGGGATCAGGAAAATCAGATTTCACTGAGTGTTTGGTCTCCATGAACCTCCCGGGATTGTTTTCTATAATGTTCTGGATAAGAGGCAAGTGGACAGAGGGATTCGGTTGAATTGGAATTAGTGATACCTGGTTGGAATTGTTGGGGAGGAGAGGGCTGGCAAGTGCGAGGGCACGAAGGT